ATCCCTTGTGTCTTACATATTACAAGTGCCTAATAAAAACTGAATGCATGAATGGTAAGAGATGGTAGTGGGAAGTGTTACATATTTACTCCTGCAGCTATGCCAGGTGCTTCAAATACGGGTGAGCAGAACTGTAGAAAAGGCTCCCCACTCAGGGAGCTTCCATTCGAGTGGGAGGCGGCCAGTGAACAAAGGTAAAACGGCTGTGCTGACCTGGGCAGACAAGGGCAGGTATGGGCAGAGGTCAGACATGGCCTCCCCACACAAGGAGGCTGGAGGAGGCTGGAGACATGCACATCTGGGCAACATGCCTGGTTGTTAGGCATCACCATGTCAGAGGCTGTGGGCAGAACACAACAGCTATGTGGTAGGGAAGGGTCGGTTGCCCCAAAGCAGGTAAGCCTCACTGTGTCTCAACACTCCCTATTCCAGGCCTCAGACCTGGGGGGCAGACCTTAGGGAACCAGGTTCCTGTGGGGGGCAAGGGACTCTTAGCCTTTGCAACTGAACACAGGCCAGAGCAGGAATCTGCTGCCGACCGGCATTCTCTTGAGTTCTGCAGAAGGAAAGGCACTGGATAACAGGCCTGGGGGATGAATGCACAGGCTGGTGGCACTGGCGGACAGGCTCCTCAGAAAGGGCAATGAGGTCTGTGCAGCTAAGCCTGTAGAGGGGCAAGCTGGAGCAGGAGATGCCATTTTTCCTGAGAGGCTGTCTGGTTTCTGATTCCTGCCTTACCGGCACCCAATTCCAGGAGACCCTGCCCTCTCCCCACCTCAGCTGGGTGTCCCTGGGGAGCACTCACATCCTGCTGGGCGTACTCGTCTGCCCCAGCAGTCTTCCCGTAGTCACAGAATTTGGTTGTGCAGTGCAGCACACCTGGGGGTCTCTTCCCAAAGTAGGTGACCAGTTCAATCTTCTCCCTGGGTTCATCTCCAGAGACAACTGCAGGGTGAGAAAGCAGGACAGTCAGGGTGGGAAGGCAGCAGCCAATCCCAGCATCTATCACCAAGACCATGGAGGCTCAGAGGGAAAAAATCGGATGTTAAGCATAAATTCTTGGGCTATCCACTACAGTCCATTTATTCATTAGCTGGTCAAACTAATAGCAACTTTAGAGCTGTAAAAAGGTGTTTAAGTTCCCTGGCTTTGTGTTACGTAGATTTCTACATCTCTAAACTTGAAAACTAAGGCACTTGTAACCCAGGGCAGGCAGCATAGACCAGGGGAATCTCAGCTTCACCAGCTACTCATCTGAAAGAGGGAAGAAAGTCATGAAAAATGGGGTAGGAAGAAAAAAGAGGGTTGGGAACTGTGGTGTAATGGAAGGAGCCAGAAATAGCATAATTAGCATCCCAGCTCACTTAGGAGCCATTTGACTTGGGGCAAGTGATTGGCCCTTATCAGGCCATCAAGTACAATAATTAGGGTGGCCATACACCTCAGTTTACCCAGGACCACCCAGGGAACTCTGTAGTGCCCATTTCACTCAGGCTCACTCAGACAAGAAGTTACCTTGTCATTAACTGTACCTTGCAGGTCAATTTGGTGATTGAGAGCCTATAATGGGCCTGGTGTAAGAAGGGTCTTGGGATATCATGGGATGACACTATGTGGCTGGTAGTCTCAAGGCTTAGGAGTATCTGTGATGTCAATTTCCAGACTCCAACCCTTGTGGCTACTTTAAAGTCACTAAGTTTTTTCCTTTTTCCCAAAGTTGAGTTCCTTCAAGGATGTCTCTTACCATCCACAGAGGAGGGAGACCTCCACTCTGAGAGCAGAGTCTTGCCCATTACCTTTCCTTCAGCTGGGGTCCCAGGAAGAAAAGGACTCCAGCTTTTAATAGTTAAAGCAGCTTCAAGAGGCAGAGCCATCAGCTCTGATGAGGAGCCCTGCCTCTAGGGTGCTTTTCTGCCAAGCTACTCACAGTGACAGGGCTCACACCTGGCCCGTGTGACTATAGGCACCACGGTTCCCTCATTTCCCAGCATCCAATGAAGAGAAGAGTACATATGTTCTCTGGGGACACCTACAGGCCAAATTACCTGCCTCTGAACAACACAAAGATACATGGGTGGGGATATTTCAAGTATGAAGATAATCTAAAATGTGGAGAAATTAGAAACAGGTTAAGGAATAGGTGGATTAGCAGGTGACATCCCCAGGAAGCCATGTAAGAGAATGTAGGCCATCAGGGTTCTTCGTATCCCAAATCTACCCTATCACTGGAGCAAAGACCCCATGCCAGGAGAGAACCCTAGTCCAATATGAAGAGGCTCCTGCTAGAATCCACAACAGTTCAGGAATTCCGGCAAAGCCTACATCTCTTCTGGGTGTTTTCCCATCTGTAGGAGGGCTTGCACTTGGAGTGAGACTGTTCTATGGAGTTGTGGGGTGCACAGGAGGTGCGCTGGATGGCCCAATACCTGGGAATCATCTCCAGTGAAGTCACAATAGTGCTAATTTTTTTTGCAGCTTAGGATTCCATTGAATATTTTATTTTAGAAAATGAATCTGCTGCTAAAAATGAGTTTGAAAACACTGGACCAGATTTTCCCTGTAAGGTTCAATGAAATACTGACATATTCCCTATATGACAGTAATTTGTTTTTCCCACCTCTAGAACAGAGTGGTCTAGATCCAGGCTGGGAGAGGGCCGCTGGAGAGAAGGGGGAAGGAAGGAAGGGTGCAGGGAGAAGGAAGCAGCTCTGAGAAGCACCTCTCCCCATATTTCCATTTCCACTTCCCAACACTGCCTCTGCCTCGCACCAGCTGAGCCACCACCCGCCTCCCCTCTTCACTACCAGTGCTTTGAGAACAACAATGATCCCTGAACACAGCACCTTGTGCCCAGGTGGGGGGGCTTGAGATTGTGGCTACCTGGCCCCACCCCGCCCATCCCACCACCTACAGTGTCGCAGCTCCTTCTTGAAGGCTTTGTGGTTCCCCAGCTCCTCCAGGAAGGTCCGGCCAGCTTTGCGGAGGTTCTCAGAACTCTTCCTGGTCAGGAACCAGCCAAAGTAGAGTGGCAGGAAGTCCTTCTCCAGCCCAGGTTTCAGCTTCTTCAGCTCATCGGCTGACAGCTGCCACTGGTTCTTCTCCTTGAGCTGGGCACAGTCCAGCCGCCACGCCGTCTTGGGCTCCACCAGCACCACTTGGTACTGGTACTGGTCGGCCATATCAAAGAGCTGCTCCAGCCGCTCCCGCTCGTGGTTAGTGTCGTCCAGCACAAGAACTCGGATGTCCCGGCGGCAGTAGGCAGCCAGTTCCTCGTCCAGCTGCTTGTACTCCTTAACGAAGGCTCCTCGAGTGCCGGGGGTAATCTTGTAAGCGTCGGCAGACACCATCTTGGTGCCGTCCCGGTACCTGTCCACGATGATCTGTGCTAGTGTGGACTTGCCGCTCCCTGGCAGGCCGCGCAGGATGAAGAGGGTCTTGCACTCCTGCAGTGTGGCCACAGTCTCCTCATCCTGCAGAAAGGGAAACTGCAGCTCAGGCTTGTCCTTGGCCCCTGAGGATGACATTTTGCGGAAGAAGATCTTGGGCAGGAACGTGTGGCTTTTTCGGGAGAAGCCTCTATTCTGTGTGAGAAGGGGAAGAGCAGATGTCAGCCATGTCACTTGGGGCCACCCCACCAGCCTTGCCCCTTGCCTCCTTCTAACTGGGGGTTTCCCCAGCCTGAATTTACAAGCACTCCAGGTATTGTGGGCTGTGGAGTGGTGGACTTTCTCTCCTCCATCCTTGCATACCTGTCTGCTGCTGGCAGAAGATGGAGAGGGAAGCTTGTCTGTTTCTGAACTCTTAATTTTCTCTAGTTATAGCTGTAGCCACAAAAATCACCAACTGCTGCCACTTAAGGGAAAATGTGTTGGAAGTGCATGCAAGAAAGCTCTGAAGCCTGTGGTTCTAGAAACAGACCCTATTCTTGACACCTATTAAGGATGACCTCTTTGGAGGTGGGGGTCTCTATGTCTGGGCAAAGACACAGTTGCCCTGGCTCTGAGTGTGTGAGCAGGGAGAGGGTAGAGAAGGGCTACCCAACGTCTTCCCTTCCCCCAACAAGGGCAGCAACAGATAATACTCTCTTGTCTGGGATGGGGGGGGACAATGGTCCCAAAGAAGAGCCGTGGGGGGCAGGGCAGGAGAGAGACGGACAAAGGGCCTTATTCACCACCTCCGCCACCTCCTCCTCTGCCCTCAGCCCCCAGGGCCCCCAAGAACTGGGAGGCACAAGGCACCTGCGTTCAGGGCCTAGCTCTGCCCACGGCCTTGCTGGTGTCAGCGGCACCTCCCTGAACCACTTGTTTCCCTGCCTGCTAGAAGCCATAGTGGTAAGTTTTTACTGTTATCAGTAAAACCGGCTCCACCCCCCCGTCGGCCCCCCTAAGCCCAGCGGGCACACTGCTTCTTCAGACATCCTCGGGCAGGGGACGGCGAGGGAGCCCGCCCGCGCGGCCGTGGTCGCGCTATCCCCGGCCCACATGCCCTCGCGCTGCCCCGGGACGGCAGCTGCCGCACCCCCGAGGCCCTCCCTCTCCAGCGGCCGCTCCCGCTTCCCCACGGGTCCCCTACCTCAGGGCTGCGCCGGACTGCCAAGCAAGACTCAACTCTCCAAACTCGGGTCCGGTTTGCATGCCACTTCCTCCCGAAACTCCTCCACTACTCCCGCTTTCTATTTAGGTGCTACCCCGCGCCCGGCCCGCCCCTCGCGCCCGCTCACCATGATGAGGAGGGGGCACCGCAGTCTCCGCCTTCGCAGGCACTAGCTCCCCAGGGCCGCCCGCCTACGCGGAAGGACGCGGAGTCCAACTGTGGCGCGAACCCACGCTGGGCAGCCTTACATAGCCCGTGGGCGGAGCGCGCCCGGGCGGGGCGGGCTTTCTGCGCAGGCGTAGCGGTCGAAACCCGAAACTGACTCGGCGCCGGATGGAAGCTGCAGTAGCGGCGCACCTGTGCCTCTAGAGCGGGCGGCGGGAGCGCGGCTGCAGCCTCTTTATCTTGCACGAGTTAAAGACGAACTCTGTAAAGAGGGAAGCAGTCACCCTTACCCGTTCCAGAATTAGAATAAGGCGAGGGAGGTGGGGTCGTGCAAGTGCAAGGCCAGATCCTGTCTCTGTTGCACATTTTGATGTTTTGTTCATCATGGGTTTTTGCATTTTTATTTTGTACAGTAATGCATTAAAATGCTGATTATCCTGCTGAGTAAGTTTGTTGGAGCCTTGTGAAATGTTGCATCTGAAATGCCTCACTCGCCTCACCCTAGTCCGTCCAGATCCCAGCCTAACCTCAGCCTTCCAGCAGTTGTAGAGATGGAACCAAGATGGCAGTGGCCAAAGGGGCAGATGAATTATGTGGACTCCTGACATCCTCTGGGGCAGCTGCTCAGCCACCACCTCTTTTGTGAAGTGATGAAACCTCGGTTGAATTTTCGAGGACTTCCTGTGTTACAGGTGCTGTGCTAAACACTCATAATCTTCCCATCAACCCCCAAGGCACCGTACCCATTCTGCAGAGGAGGAAACAAGCTTGGGGAGTCTGATTTACCTGACTGTACCTCTGGAGGCGGCACAGGTGGAGCCCAGCGGCTCCTCCTACTCTGGGTCTGCTCACTCTTTTTGGACAGACATCTCCTCTCTTCCTCCGGGCTCCCAGAGCACAATGCCCCTGTCAGTGCCAGCATTATTGAATTGTTTTCCGGGCTGAGGGGTTTACAAATAGAGCCCCCTGACTGACGGCTGAAGCTGCCCCATCATTATTTCTTCTGTAAAGCCTCTCACAGTGCCCTGCACACAGCAGGTACTCAGCAAGAAGAAACAGGCCAGTAGCTGGACAGACATACTTCTATTCCCAGGTCTTTCTTTCCTCCCTGCTTTAATCTTTCCTGGTTCCTTGGAGCTCACCTGTTTCTTCACCCACCTGAAACCCTTTCTTCCATGAGGTCTTCGGACAGGGATTGGGGGAGAGGACCACATTTCACACCTGGATCACACTCTGGATTAGGCCTTGTTTGGGGATCTTGGTGTTCCTCACCTCCTTGGGGAAAGCCAGAGTTCCCCTTGGAAAGTAGTACCCCATGCCAGGTCATTCATTCTCTAAGGCTCTCCTGAGAATGGGTGGGGTGGAGGAGGCAAAATGACAGACTCAGTGTTTGTAAGAGTGAAAGACGTGTATTTAAAGGGAAACAGTAACAGAAAGAGGCAGAGGTGACCTGTGAGGCCCAGTCCACAATTTTCCTATTAAAGACACATGGAAGACCAGTTCCATAAGATCCCTGTAGTCCCTTGTGAACACGAGCCCCCTGATCCTAATGCCCAGTGACATTAGCTTCAGGTGCCCTCCTTTTCATTTTTTCCCATTGTTCCAGCATTTTCTGTTGTTTCTGTTTCTCCTACTTCTTCCCATTCTGTTTTCTCCAGTTCTTCCAATTCTCTTCTGCTGGTTTCTGAAAGTCTCTTTTCTAGTCCCTCTGATTCCTTTCTACTGAATTCTTCTGAGACTTTCTGGTTCAGTTCTGAAGGCCTCCTGTAAATTTCCCTTGATTCCTGTCTGCTCACTTCTGATGGTCTGCTGCCTTCCTCTCCTGATGTCATGCCTACTTCTCCATACAGTTTCTCGGCAACCTCTTCGGTGCCCAGTCGTGGTCTCACTAAGGGGATGGGGTTTTCTATTCCTCTCTGCCATTTTTCTTGTCTGCTTGTTCTGATGCCCAGAGAGTCCTTGGAAAGCTCATCTTCTGTCTCTTTCTCACTCTCATTTTGCTCTCTTTCCCACTGCTTCACCACCTTCTTGGGCTCATCTCTGGCTCTTCTTGTTTCCTTCTCCTTTGCCATCACTGTTGTAGTATTCAGTTCAGCAGCGTCTTCTGGAAAACAAGAGAAAGGAGGGAAGAAAGGTAAAAGTTTCCATCTCTGCACCTGGATGAACCCCAACCTGTAGGGGCCTGAGTTTCTGAGAGACAGCACACCTTTCCTGAAGGAAAGAAAGGGAATCATTATTTACAGAGTGTCAGCATGTTCCAAGCATCGTGTGACTGCCAAGATTATACCATTTGGGCATCATGAAATTACATAGTGTTGTTGATTTAACTTTGCAGCCAAGGGACCAGAAATTGATTAAAGAGAAACACATACCATGGTCACGTTGCAAATAAATTAGTGGCAGAGCCAGAATTTGAACCCAGGACAGTCTGCCCTCACGGAACATTCTCTTTCCTGACAACAAATAACACTGGTGCTGGGAAATGACAGGAGGGTCCTTTTCTCTGGCATCTTTATTGTGCATTTCTCTTTGTCCCTGGGAAGCACATTCATCATTTGTTGGAAGTTTCTCTGTGAAAATATGAGCAGACTGCTAGCAGGAAGTTCAGCTGGAGAGCACTTTTACAACCAGAGATCTTTACTCCTTGTTTTCAACAGCTACAGAGAAAAACCGCCAGTCTCCTTCTGAGTCTCCCACATTCTCTTCCTGAAAGCTGCTAAGATAGAATAGGGCTCAAGGTTCACAGCAAGAAAAAGGCCGGCGCTTGGAGGTAAAGATGGATGCAGTGCTGCCGCCTGCTGTTCTGTGAGGGAAGCGCCTAGCAGCTGCCACTGGCCACCCGCGTTCCCGATGAGTTTTCAGGACAACTTCCCCAGCACATGGCCTGCTAAAGGGATGGGAGGCGGCTTGGAGCCGCCTTTGTTTGCTGTGTCTCTTCACATCTATTGCTCCTGTGACTTCTAAGAACAGCCTCTAGGGCATGTGGGGACAGAGGCAGATTTGCTCGAAAGGGTCCAGCCACCACTTGGCAGGCACTGGATAATAAAGGGCTGTCATTTGACTGCACAGGTGCCCAGAAATCCCAAACCCAGATTCCCACTGCCACACACTGAGTCTGAGAGGACTTCAGCCTTGGTGCATGAAGGGGCTCTGTCCTCCTGGGTGCACGGTGCACGGAGCCTCAGCTTAGCTACCCCCTCAACTGTGACAAGGCTGGAGTGATGCACCACATATGGTCGGGAAGAAACAGTGTAGAACCCTGGTAACAGCGTGGGTTCTGAAAAACACTGTGGGACATTAACTCCTCTGCTTTCATGTCCTCATCTGGGATATCAAGCGACTAGTCCTTATTTCATAGTGTTCTTGAGGGGGACAGATGAGTCACTGCACATAAGCCCTTAGAATTGCGCATGGCACAGAGGAGGCACTGACTAGAGATCAGCCTCTCTTAGCCCATTGTGAGGAAAATGGAAGTTCCAATTGCCAGGAACCTCACCTGACCCTATAGTACTTGATGATGTAATTGGCCTGTTACTAGGCTAATATTTCCACACCTGTAGGCAATAAGCTATTATTGACTTATAAAGAACTCCACCCAGTGCTCTGGGCGGAGGCAGAGGCGGGGATCGATTATGGACTTGCAGACTTCTGAATACAGATGTGATCCTAGTGCTCAACCTACTGCTGTGAGAATAAAGCTGCTATAAACCCTTTTACCCCAAGAATATTCTGCTGTCGTTTCTTGGTCTCACCGAGTCTATAGTGAACTTGCTCAAGGCTGAAACCCTCAGACAGGACACTCATTCTGCAGGGACTGTTCCCGCTGACTCTGGGGCCGGGGGTCCCAGCCATCTCTGCTTCCCTTGTTCCCATCTAGAGTGGAGATGGGGCTCAAAGGATTTTTCCCTCCCTGGAGGCCTTGGGCAAAAGAATGTGGTAAGGCCAGTTTGCCCAGCAGGAGCACAGCTGAGACAGAGCTGCCTCTGCACCCCAGTGCCCTCACGACCCCCGCCCCAGCCCTACCCACTGCTGCCAGAAGAGCAGTGCCATGCTGCAGGGGACACTGTGGCTCCCAGTCAGATCACTTTCCCTCACTCAGCCTTCATTGTCCCAAACCCAGTACGTGCCCCCTAGTGGGGTGGGGGGTTGGGGGGTTCTGAATTCTCATTCAGACCATCCTGTGCTTAACCCAGCGCCTGGCCCAAAGAGCCCCATAGTCACTGTCATTCTCTTTGTGTCTTTCCTCCTGCTATTCCCTGTTGGAAACTTCTTTCCTCCTCCACTTCACATCTGAGGCATGTTTTGGAGCCTGAAGCTAATGATTCTTCCTCTCTGGAGCCTTCCCTGTCTCCCTAGAGAAACATGGAGCCCTGAGCTCAGAGCTGTCCCATGTGTCAGGGCAGAGCGCTTCCTCTGGTGCCCTGCAGGGCGGGAGCCCACTCACCCACAGCTCCCACCATCTGGCTTTGCTGCTGGGCTGTGGGCAACTTGGGGCAGATGCCGAGCCCCTGTCTGCTCCAAATCTCACACCTTCTAGGCGTGTGACAAGTGCTCAACAAATATGTGATGAATTCCTTGAGAAATAGAGGAGGGGCTCTCGGGGCAGACAGTGTGGGTTCAGAGCCCAGCCCGAGGTGGTGGAAGGGCCTCCTCTCCTGCCACAGAAAAAGGCTGGGGCTGCTGGAGGAACAGCTGGATGGTGGGGTTGAGCCCACAGGGGGGCAGAGGGAGCACTGAGGGAGCCATCCTTGGGGCTCCAGAACTCACCTCTCTCTTTATTTTCTCTGAGCATCTCCCTGTAGTTCGTTTTCCTCAGCTCTTCAATGATACTCCTTTTGGCATCATCCAAGGCCTGTGGGTGGCAGAGGGGCCAGTGTACTCTCTTAACCTGTTTGGTGCCTACCCTTCGCATTCCCCAACCCCTGAAGAAGGCAGGATCCTGCACTAACCCCACCACCAATGTACACTTACGGATTTGGAATCACCCCCACTAAGTGGGGTATGCGACACACAACTGCAGGTCACTCAGACTTCATTTCCCTTGGGCTTAGGCATGTATTTGGAGTTTTGTCAATTTACTCATATTGACCTTTTTACCAAAAGCTTCTTTTGGCTTCAGCCAATGCAGAGAGACAGTTCAAGAGCCTAAGCACTCAGCAAGGCTGCAAGCCAGGGAGCGGACTCAGAAACATACCTCCGCTGGGGCTGGGGGCTGGCCTGCCTTCAGAGCGGCTTCCAGGGTGTCTGTGGGTTCCCCAGGAGGCCTGAAACTCACCTGTGCACATCTTGAGGGCAGGCTCTGCCTTGTTTCTCACAGCCGTCCCCAAGGCTTGTCCCCACCACTTGTCCCAGAGCTTTGCACAGGGTGAAGCACCAATAGGCACTCAGGAAATGTCTACTGAGCAGCCACCAGGCCTGGACACTCCTGGGCAGTATCAGTCTGCCCCCTTATATGTGCCAGTCCAGGAGGAGGAAGGCTCAGGAACTGGTCCCCCGAGGAGCTGCTTAGGGCCATGGGGCTGTCTGGCCTGACAGGCACTTCTCTCTGTCTCTTACTTTAAGGTGCACAGCCTTTAAGGCGACCTCAAGCCTTCCCTGATGGGAAGGCCCCCAGCCCTGCCCCCCTTCCCCCCAGGCCTCTCTCCTCTGAACCCCCTGGTCCCTGTCATACTGGACATGAACAAGTGGTTTTTGTTTTAGCCTTTCTGCTGACACTAAGTGTCCTGAGGGCCAGGACTATGGTCGTCACCTTTGGGCTGGGCAGCCTAGAGCCAACTCATGGTCAGCAGATACTTACTAAATAGAGTTGTCATGCTCTCTCCAAATACTTGCAGGGCCATCACTCAGAAGAGGATTAAATGGGAGGGGCCTTGTGTGTGAATGGAGGAACACACAGCAAGGCTTCAGCGAAGGCGCACGTTCTTCCTCTGGACAGGTTTTAGGGGCAAGGTGCACATTTGGGGAGCTGACCCCCTCAGCAGAGGAAGATGACAGCAATGTGACAGGCCTAAGCTGCCTCTGGATGGGTGAAAGCAAGACATGGACTGCCACATGGTGAGATCTCTTGAGAGCGATTTCTCCACCATGACAGGGGATAGCCTCACCAAGGTCCCCACAAACCATGAGCTCACCCCCTGAACCCCGAGCAGATCAGGTCGCTTCTCTGCCATTCCCAGCCTTTCAAGTCCAAACTAGTCTGCTGGCTGCCTGGGGTTCTTTGACCCCATTCCTCCCACCCTCATAAGCCAGCCTTCAGATCCAGGTGCATGGTCTCTTCCCTCCTTCCCACAGATCCCTCAGTGCCAGGGCCCCTGTGCCTTCAGCGCTCTTTGCCCTCCTCAGCCTGGGCAACCCCTGCCACACTTGTCCTTCAAAGCCCAGCATTAAGTCTGCTTCCAGTGGGAGTATCCTTGGCGCCTTACTTCCTAGGGATCTGTTCCCTTTCCTGAGTGCACGCTGATCCCCCAGTCTGGTCCTAGAGGCCATGCCCCTCTGCTGCCCCCCTTTTACACAGTCTGCCCTCTCACAACCATGGGGGCAAGTTCCCCAAGGACAAGGGCCTTCTGATTCACTGTAGCACAGTAGTACTGTAGCTGTTTGATTCACTGTAGCACATGCTTACCGGGGTCCAGCACAGTAGCTCTGGAATTTCGACATGAGATAGGTCAGGGGCAACAATCTGGCAGGCAGGTGGAGGTGGGGTGGCCAGGGGATTCATGCCAAACTGCCTGTGCATCTGCGAGGTCAGCATGCTGACCCTGCTGAACTTGCACATCTGCCTGGAGTGGCTCTGGGAAGGGTGGCAAGCCTGATGCGCCTCCAGGCTTCCCCAGCTTCAGGGCCCGTCTCTGCCTCCAAAGCATATGGTCTAGGGCAGCCCTGTCCAACAGGAATTTCTGCAGCAATGGGGAATACTCTAGATCCTCACTGTGTGATACCCACAAGCCACATGCAGCTGTTGAGCACTTGAAATGTGGCTAATGTGACTGAAAAACTGAATTTTACATTTTATGTATTTCTAATTTATTTTAATCTAAATAGGTGCATGGGACCAGCAGCTGCCTTACTAAGCAATGCAGGTCCAGGCAAGAGAGTGAGGTAATCACATTGTATTTCTTCTCTCCTGGGGGTGGTAGCGTCTTTCAAACTAAGAGACCTAAAATTACTTTAGAAGGTCTCAACCAGCATTAAACAAAAGAAAAAATGAAAAAAAACAGTAAAATAGGAAATATCAGCATACATAGTAGATGTAAATACGTTTGGTAAAATTTCTGTTTCTTTCTGTTTTTGTTTATTTCAAATAAAAGTACGTGTATTGCTACTCAAACTGCTGGCAGTAGCAAACAGTCCAAACGTACCCACAATTGTCCTGCAGTTGGTAGGTGATAAGTATCTGCGGGATGGACCAGGGAGAAGGTTGAGGGGCTGAGGGCACACCCGCCCCACTCCCCACAGGAGGGGTCCAGCTGGGTGCAAGGCTCACACTGATGATGGCTTGCTGGGCCTGGTTGTTATGCAGGAGCTTCGCTTTCTCCAGGGCCTTCTCAAAATTGTTCACAGCTGACTCGAAGTCTCTCAGCTTCACTGGAGAGCAGGAGGAAAGCAAAACAGGTAGATCGTGACACTGTGTGTTGCCTAATGCAGCTGCCCTGCAGTGCCAGTGGCCCTCTCAGGAGCCCCCTGGCCCACACAGCCATTCCCAGGGGCAGTTAGAAGCTTAAGTGAGCTGGAGTCAGCCCCAGGCCTTGGGCAGTACCGCTGAGCTGCCCCCAACCCTTCCCCTTACATTCCTGGGCATCTCACCAGTAAGGACCAGAACCTGGAAAACTGAGCCTTGGGTCTCAGGCCATTCAAAGGGGTCGGTGAGAGAAGGGGACACGGGGTAGGGCCTGTGTGCACATCATGTCTCCTGGGCAGGAGGACAACTCCATCTTTACACTGTTCCAGAAGAGAAAATATGTATTTTTTACATGCTCATTCAGTTTTTTCAAAACACTGTGAAGACCAAATGAAAAGGCAAAGGGCTGGATGTGACTTGTGGGCCAGCAGCTGGAGTCCAGCTCCCACACTGGTGCAACCTGAACCACAAGAGGAGATGGCCCCTCCGGCTCACTCACCCAGCCACTTTGTGCTGGAGCCGATACAGGGATGACGGGCAGACTGACTGTGCTGAAACAGCTGAATTACTGGAATGAAGGAGAAAAGCTCACCAGCCAGGGTCTGGGAAACCCACACCCCACTTTCTTCACATACCACTACTTTCTCTTACAACGAATATACCCAGCATCCATCCTCTACCCAAGAATTATTTGGGGATCCATGGGAAAAGGAGGGCCTTGAGTCGGTAAGTCAAGCTACATTTGAATCAAATGTAATTTTGAAAATATGTGGAGCCACAGTAAATGAGCTCAAAAGTACATTTTTTTCAATGTAGAAAAAGAGTAACAGTGAATACAGAGACCACTGAATCAATGTCCGTGTCACCCACCCTGACACAGCAGGTCTGTAAAGAAATCATCATGCTCATTCAAGTCTTACTGAAGACGACGCTTGTCCTTTTCAACTGAATACATAACCTCAAGTTATAGTGATTCTGAGAGCTGTTTTCCTCCTCTTCCCTCCTTTAATGCATGTTCAAATCCACACATTTATACCTAGATTTTCTTGAGCCATTAATAGGCTTTCCTAAGGAATATAATTGCTTTTCACCAGTCAGAGATGCTTATGGGAAATTGGTGAGATAAGAGGGGAGGAAGGAGTAAATTAGTATTTCTTGAGCACCCCCTATATGTGAGTCCCTGGCCTAGGTGCTCAGGTGCTCAAGCATCACCTTATTTCTCACACTAACCCTATGGGTAGCATATACTCTAATCAGCCTGTTTTACAGAAGATGAAGCTCTGAGGCACAGAGCAGCACTTGCTCAGGGTCTCTGTGCCGGGAGGACCTGCAGCCCAAGCTCTGCCTGCTGGGCTGTGCTTTCCATAGAACCCAGTGGCTCCCAGGCTACTGCATGAGTCTCTCAAACCCAGAGTGGGGAAACTGAGACCAGTAGTGAGTGGCCTGGCTCTCCAGGAGCCCTCAGGCCTAATAAGTCCTCAAGAGTAGACTCAGGACAGTATCAACCCTGAAGGGCATATCTCATCTCCCCCTCGGTATACACAATGCCTCTAAAGAATAGGAAAGAGTTCTAGGAAAAGCCACAATCATCATGTTTTTCCCCAGGTTAAAACTTTCAGTGGTTTTTGCTATGCTTTTAGGAAAGTATCATTGATTTGTAACTAGGCCCACGAGGCCCTGCGGCTCTGGCTCATCATCAGCTCCTCACTCCAGACCTCTCGCCTCCAAGAGCTCCAGCTGACACTGGTCTCCTTCAGCTTCTTAAATCAGCCAAACTTCTTCCCACCTTCCTAAACGTTCCATTGGCTGGAAAGCTGCCATCAACTCCTAATGGAGCCTTCTTGTCCTTAAAGTTCCTGCTTAAAAGTTACTTCCTCAGACACAAGAGCAGGAAATATATCAGTTCTGGTCCCTAGGGTATACCCAACCTGGTGCCTAGAAGATGCCAAGTATTTGTGGTATGAACAAATGAGTGAATGACCCAGCCTCTGATTATAGTACTCTTCCTCTCCCCTGGGGGGTCAGCTGCATACCCGGGGCACGGGCAGCTTAGCGCAGTGATTAGAGCCCAAGCTCCGGGGTCACACAGAACTGGGTTTTAGTCCCAGTTCCATCACTTACTAACCTGTGACCTGAGGCCATTTCCTTTTTAATTTCATATTATAAATTATTTCAAATATATATAAAATTAGAAGGAATAGTATAATGACCCCCATTACTCATCACCCAGCTTCAACAATTACCACAATATTGCCAATCTTGTTTCATCTATTCCTCTTCACCCCTGCCCCTTGCTGGTTTTTTTTTTTTTACAACTTTACGGAGATGTAATTTACATATTCTAAAATGCACCCATTTGTAAGTATACAGCTCAATGATTTTTAGTAAATTTATATAAGAGTTGTGCAAAGAGTTCCATCACTCTAAAAAGGTCCCTCATGTGACCTGGGGCAATCTGCTCAACTGCCCAATGCCTCAGTTTCCCTACATATAAAATGAGGGCAGAAATGCCTACATCATTGGCTTGCATAGTGAATAAATACAAGAATGCACATGTAAAAAAGACAAGAGGATGTGGCACTCTTTTAAAGAGGACACAATACTGTGCTGGGAAGGGCAGCTCTCAGGGTGCCCCAAGCCCTCACAGAGCTTAACTTGAAGTAGGCACTTTCCACATGCTGTTCAACGGAAGGGTTTATCCCCACTCTCAGAATTAGCCTGGCCAGAGACACACTGGGATGGTAAGCACTCCCAGCCCTGGTGTGGCAGCTGTGCCTGAGGGCTGGGAAAGGTAGGGTAGTGCTATCTGAGCCCATACCTTGTGCCTGTGCCACCAGAACATTGGCATTCAGCTGCCATTCAATGTCCCCTTCTTCCTTGGCACACTGCTGGGACTTCTTGCCGTAGTTTTGGGCCTGCCAGGCCTGGTCCAACTCCAAGTAGCAGCGGCCGATCTCATGGAAGAGCCAGGTCTTCTCCAGGGTGGTTTTTGCCAGAGGTATCTTCTCTTCCCACCTGGAAACATGAAGAACCAGGGGCAGCTTTTCCACTCAAACCCTGCCCTTGGCCAGAGGAGGCCCAGGCTTCCTACTGGGCAGCAGAATAAAAATTGTCTTCCAACTACCAGTTCTTGTAGATAAGGAATAGAGCAAATAAGCATTAATATATTTTAAAACTACCAAAGCTATTTTGGTGCATCTATGGCATTGAGTTTGATGCAAAAATTGAACCTAATGTTTATAAAATTGCTTTTGAAATAACATAAGAATGATATTTAAGAATATTATTAAGTACATATAAGAGAAAATCAACCCAGAAAAAAGATTAGAATGAAAAACCAAAATAACAATAAAAGTAAGGGGAGGATTAGAATTAGTACTTTTCTTTGGGTGGTGGGACTGAATAAAATTTTTTCTACTTTTTTATATTTTCCAAATTAATACTGTAACAATAAGCACATATTTACCATAAAACATTTTATTGTAAAAAGATACAAATGGGTGGGTGAACTCTCAAATTCCTCTCTTTTGGCACATAGACACCACAGCCATTTAGGAAATGAAATTATGTGTGACTGAAAGCTGGTGGTGAACAAGACGGGGGCCTGAAGGACAAGTTCCTCTGTGCTAAGTGAGTGAGCCCAAGGAGCTGGCTTGCCTACTACAGGCCAATGTCCAGGCCAGGCCCTGCGCCCAGACTCCTTGGGGCTAAGTCACCCAACCAGAGCAGGGTTGGACATTAAAAGGTCAGTTGTTGGGCCATTTGGAGAGCTTAGGCTCCCTTCCCAATGATCCCATGTGACCACACAGAACTACAGAACGGCCTCAGGAGAGGCCCCAGAGGTCAGCTGGGCCACCAGTTCCTGAACTTGCACAAGGTATTGATAATTGGGAGTGCTTGCTAAAAACAGATTCCTGAGCTCCAACCTGGCCCTGCAGAATCAGAAACTCCAAGGCAGAGGCCCAGTAATTCATGCACCTAACAAGTGCTCCAGGTGATTCTTGTCACTGGGAAATCGGGAGGAAACGCTGATTCTATTCTATTAATTTATTTAGCTGATGAGCTGCAGAGTTTACAACAGGGCCTGCCCATGGTGGCCTAGCAGAGTCAGAAGCCAAGCTCAGGACTTCTGATGCCTCCTCGCCTGGCATTCCGGCCTCAGGCTGGAGTCTGGTGTGAGGATGGGAAGTCCTGGCCATAGGGTGGGGAAGTCACAGTCCTTGGTCACTCACGTGTCAATGGCTTGCTGGAACTTCCCAACTCTGGCAAAAACCCTTCCAATGTTGTCAAGGGCTCTTGACTTGGCATCAGGAAGGTCACTGAGGGGAGGAAGCACAGCAAGTTGTTCACTAGAAATCAGCCATTCTAGGCACTGTGCAGATTGGAAAGAAGGCAAAGCCAGGAGCCCTGGCCTCGGGGACCCAGGATCCGGGTGGAGGGAAGCTGCCAGGCTGGCAAGGCTCGGGCACACAGGCCTGCTAGTGCCCTGTGGCTTAGCATGGACACTATCAGGCCCTTCTTGGAGGGCCGTCAGAAGCTTGCAAACACGTCTCTTTGCTCTAGCAATTCCCTTCCAGAAATTTACCTCAAGAAAATGATGTGACAAGAACACTCATTAAACTCCTGTTCATAACAAACACCAGAAACAATCTGAACACTATCAGTGCCCTAGCTCTGGCGATTTTTGTGTATGAAGAGTCTCTGATACATTAAGTTAAAAAGTCAGATTAGAGGAGCATATACCATGTCTACTGTCCCATTTGTGTTAAAGATAAATAGTCAGGCCTGAGCCACAAGGTGGGCTCCTGGCTTTGACAGTGGGGAAGGGGCCCTGAGCCACAGAGCGCACTGTGCAGCTTCTGAGCTGGGGAAGGCGAGGAGAGAGAGTCACCCCTACAGCCTCGGAGGGAGCACAGCCTTGCGGACACCTTGATTTCGGCTCAGTGAGACTTCAGACTACAGACTTCTGACATTCAGAACCATAGAGAATAGGACTGCATTGTTTTAAGCCACCAACAAATTAATTAATTAAAAGCATGCATTTTTTTTTCAACTTTGCATTTCAGAGTTTACTTTTATTAATTAATTTGTTTGTTTATACTAAGTTATCATTGATATACATTCTTATGAAGGTTTCACAAGAAAAACAATGGGTTATTACATTCACCCTTATTATTGAGTACCCCCCATGCCCCATTGCAGTCACTGCCCATCAGTGCAGTAAGATGCCACAGAGTCACTATTTGTCTTCTCTGAGCTACACTGTCTTTCCCATAACCCCCCACACACCATGTGCACCAGTCATGATATCCCACGATCCCCTTCTCCCTCTCTCCCCACCCCTCCTCCCCCACCCCTCCCATTTGGTAAAAGCAGGCATTTTTAAAAGAAGAGAATGTAAGTCTATTAACAATGATTACCCAAGGGAAATGAGAATAAATTGAAACTTTCAATTTATCCATACTGTTTAGATTTCTTACAGTACTCATCTGTCATCAGAAAAGGGATCACGTTCATTCCGCAAAGAAAAAGATAAGTGCTCCCTCTACTTGGGTTCTGTACCCTGCCGTAGGAACATTCTGATCTCTCTGTTAACAAATTCCCCTCCCCAACGACTGAAATAGGGACACCCTCCTCCAATCCCAGATCCCCTCCACCAGCATCTTCTCCCTTCCCAGGGGGCTTTTCCCATTCCTCCTAGCCCCTCAGCCCCTGATGCCTGTGGGCTTCCATGGCTGCCGTGAAACTCTCCCCCTTGGAGTCATTCTCCCCACCGTGGCCAGGCCTGCCTTCCTAAATTGCAAATCTGATCAAGCCACCCCCACGTCCACAGAAATGCTGACACGCATCTGCCGTGTGGTGCTGCAGGCCTGTGTGATGGTGACAGTCGGACAGCCTAAGCGCTGCCCACAGGGCTGGAGTTCAGTTGGTTCCCGCACGGGCTGGAATACCTTTCTGTGAAGCCATTTAATGAATGATACACTTTCCGTGACACATTCTTATTAAAAAACAGAAAAAGGAGCTGCTTTTAAAAAAAAAATCCTACATATGTATATATGTACCTAAATACGTAGGTAAAAACATTGAAAAGGGGCCAGAAGCACACAGCTCAGTGTGGCTTCAGAGAAGCTGGAGTGGAGGCAGACGGAACTTTCAAGTTCTGTTCTCAGCACCACACAGTTCTGAATAAGCACAACGCTAAACACTAGTGTAAAAACACACTCCTCATGGGCCTGTGGACCTTCAGGAGGAGGTCCTTCTTCTTCAGTGCATCCAGGCCCCCAGCCCTCCTCCCGCAGCTCCCATGTCCTCCACCCCTGCCAGTCTCCTGCCTAGAGTACCCTCCCCCACCCCTTGTCCACTTTGCTGACATCCTGTCCTCTCTGCAGCCCCTCAGCTCTGGTAGGGCTCCCACCTGCCTCTCCGAGGCCTCTCTGCTATACTTCGCACCTGGCTGCTCTGACAGCACCCCTGATGTTGGCCTCCCCTTCTAGAGTGGGTGCTCTGTAACAGTGTGAGGAATGAGTGAATAAGTTGTAATGTGTGAATTTATTCTTAATATGTAATAAGAAATAACAATACATAACAATAATATGTAATAAGAATGCATGCAATAAAATAATCTGTATTTAGAGAAGGAAATGAGGGCTGGGGTCACTGAAGAAGCTACATAGATGAGCTACAGCACAGCTTGAAGGACAGGCTTGGGCAGTGGTGGGAAGACAGGGAGGGGGGACAGATAATAGCATGGGGGACATGCGGGGCACACCCAACTCACAAGGAAGACTGTGAGGAGGCCTGTTTGCAGGTGTTAAAAGGAACAAACATTGTTTAAAGAACACCTCTTTATTTAGCCATGTGGCACTCTTTCATTACATGCCCATTATGTGGCAGGTGCTGGGAAGAGAAAGGGAATATGGCAGCCCCTGCCAAAGTCCACAGTACGACAGAGCAAACAGGATGCGAGGCGAATGTGGACAGAGCACGGAGGAGGGATTTCAAAATCCTCCCTGGGGTGTATAGAAGACTTTCCCAAAGGAAGCCACTTAAATTTTGAAGCATGGGTGAGAGGGAGTTGATGAAGAAAGGACTGGTGTGGGGGGGACTTGGTGAAGTGGGGAGCATAGTAAACATAATGTTCTTCATGTAATTGTAGATTAATGATACCAAAATAAAAAAAATAGAAAAATAAAAAAATAAAAAAAAGAAAGGACTGGTGAAGAGAAGGTGTCTTGTTTAGGAGCTAACAGGAGCAGAGTTACAAGGCGCTGACTGGGCCACAGGATGCCCAAGGGCCCGGACAGAGCTGGGTCAACAGAAGCCAGGAAAAGTTAAGTCAGGAAGGGTGGCCTGAGTGGAGCAGAACCGGGTGACGGGCCTGTATCCTGATCACTGGACTTGTCTTGCACAGAAAGGCCAGCTGGACTGCAGGGAGCCCAAGTCAGGTGAAGCAGGCAAGAGGTGAGGCCAACCTGGAGTGAGTGAGGGAGGGGAACGGAGAAGGGAAGGCGCTCCAGGAGTCAGGAAGGAGGAGGGAAGGATGGCCACGGTGGCAGGGTGGGGGTCTGAGGGGACAGAGGTGTCTGGGAGACCGCCTGGGGACTGAGTGGCCAAAAGTGCCACCCTCAGGGATAGGGGACCATGGAAGGAGAGTTCTAAGGGAGGAGAATAAGGGATTCCATTTTGTACATGTTAAGTTTGGGGTTCTGGTACAACCAAGTGGAAAGGCCCTAGAATCGGGCCTGGGGCTCAGGTTTTGGAGACACAGGTCTGGGGGTAGGAGGGAGATCTGGTGAGGAGTAAAAGTAGACATCGTTAGGGCATGGTTGATGGCTGGATTCAAGGACATGTCTTATTGTATATACAGTAAATTCTATATACAATTTATTCTTAATAATGTCATAAGAAATAGCAATAGCAAGAAATAACAATACTTCCTCACAATCCCTGTGAGTTGTTATTATTATGCCTTCATTAGACAGGAGGATACCGAGAAGGTGAGCAGCTTAATCCAATCCACACAGCTTATGAGTGCCAGAGCCAGGACTCAAAGTCAGCTACGTCCCTAAAGCCAGGTGTTGTTTGCTTTCCACTTCTGGAGTGGCAGTGTGCGATGCTCCTGCTCAACAGGAAGGATGAACCAGAAATGGATGGCATGAGGGCGCAGATGAGGGAGGGAGAGAGGGCAGGAAGCAGCAGTGCTCAGGGAATAGTTTGACCCAAATGGAGGACTGATATGCAGGGCTGTGCAGAAGTGGGGCCGAGCAGGCTGAGCAAGAGTGTTTGGTTTTATTGTGCAGCCAAGGAGGGGCCGAGGCCTGCTTGTCGCCAGGGGAAGGAGCGCGATGGATGAAAAGCAGCATGTCCCTGGAGGGGGTGTGTGGGAGCAGTGGAGGCTGGGGGAGCTGAGGGATGATGGGAGACTGAGAGAGGCTCAGAACTGTGGGCCAAGTGGAAACTACGCAGGACAAAGTCACGAAGGACTCTCAAGGTTAGAGCCAGGGAGCCCAGAAAGCAACAGTACCTCTGAGAGGGGACAAAAAGGCTTGGCAACAGCTGCTTCCTGCGAGAGTTTATTTCATTCTGATTGTGGATGCCCAGCACCATCCTAAGATCTTTACATGGACTTCTGCATGGCATCCTGCCTCCCACCTGTCAGGTAGGGGCTACTCTATGCCCATCACAGAGGGGACCCTGAGGTGACAGAGGTGCAGTGCCTGACCGAAGGCCCCACAGCTGGGAGGAGCGTTCCAAACCCAGGGCAGCCCGACTCCAGAGCCCAGGCCCTTGCTCAGCGCCAGGGGTCCCAAGCCCTGCACCCTTGGTTAGGCCTACTCTTGGCCGCTCTGCCCCAGGCAATAAAAGCACGAGGTCCTGTACTTTTCCTTCATGATGCTTGTCACAATTATTAGTTAGTCACTTTTTGTTTTACACCTGAAAGGGAAATGGCCCTGGTATCTGGCCACTATTGTGTTCCCAATGCTAGCAGCACCTGGCATGTCCGGGGTTGATCACTGCTTGTCGAGATGACATAAGAATAAAAATATCAGCTAAAAACACTAATTCAAAAACAATACACATTACTGTGTTCATTGCAGCATTACTTAGAATAGCCAAGTTATAGAAACAACCTAAAGATTTATCAATAGATGAAAGAATAAAGATGTAGTATGTGTATATATACAGAATACTACTCAGCCATAAAAAGAAAAAAAGAAAACTTGCCATTGCAACAAACATGTACAGACCTTGAGGGTATCATGCTAAGTGCAATAAGTTGGAGAGAGAAAGACAAATACCATATGAGTTCACTTATAAGTGGAATCTAAAAAACAAAAGTAAGGGAGAAAAAATAAACAAGACACAGAAAACAGATTGGTGGCTGCCAGAGAGGGAGGTGGGTTGAAATGAGTGAAGGGAGTCAAAAGAGACAAATTTCCAATTTTAAATTAAGTAAGTCATGGGAATGTAATGTAGCATGGTGACTATAATCAACAATACTGTATTCCATATTTGAAAGTTGCTAAGAGAATAAATATACCTTAAAAGTCTTCACCATAAGAAAAAAAAGCAAAAAACTTTTCTATTTATGGTGAAAGATTTCAAATAGACTTGTGATGACCATTTTGCAATGTATACAAATACTGAATCGCTGTATTGTACAACTGAAACTAATAAAATGTTATATGTTAATTATACCTCAATAAAATAAAAAAATTTTTGAAGTTGAAAAAAATATCAGCTAAGAACTGGATCATTGGGAGCTTTTTGGAGTTATGGGCCAATGTCTCCCTTTTTGTGGCATAAAAGCTGACAGCCTAGGTCTGACCCAACCCCTCAATCTTGGGCAGGTGGCTCCTCCCTCCAGGGTGGTGTCCCTCAGGAGGGCGGGCAGAGAACAGGAGCTCAGTCACCAGCAGCCCTGGCAGAAGGCCCAGAGGCGGCCCAGCGGCTCCTCCGCAGGCCCTGGGCTGCCGTGCCCGCTCGCCTCCCGCAGGCACTCACTGTTCCTTGGCCATCTCCAGGTCCTTTCTGTGGCTCTGCAGTGCTGCTACCATCTGCCCCAGCTCCATCTGGGCATTCCCTATGCAGCTGTACAAGTTTCCAACCAGTTCATCCTTGTTGGGCACTTCTTCTTTGTTCCATTCCAGCACCTTCTTCAGCACTTTCTCAGCTTTCTGAAGGCTGCCTTCAGCACTGCCACTGGTCAGCACTGGGAAGGGAAAGAGGCTCTGTTAGGTGGAGGTGGGAGCAGCCTCTAGGCTGAAGGGAGAATCCATCTCCCACCAGATACCATGCACAGGCAGCGAAGCCAGGGCTCGGGCCGCTATGCTGCTCCCTCCCCACCTAGCAAGGGCTCCGCCCTTCTGAGAATACCACCCACACATGTCGATGTCCTCCAGGCTCTTGAGGATGTAACGGGCTGTCTGCGAGGGACGGCGTTTGCGGTCCCGCAACCATTTCTCTCGCATCAGCTTCCGGTCCCGCTCCCGGGCGTAGATGGGCTTCTGCTGCCTCCAGAAGTCACTGCGGGTGTCCAGGTAGTGGATGCCTGTCATGATGAGGTCCTCCACAGTCAGGCCACGCTTGATGGTGCCTTTGATCAGGTCTGTGAGGAAGGGTGTGAGGAGGAACCAACTAGAACAGGCGTCTAAGGGTGTCACCTCTTCTTGGCTCAGGATCCCCACTGTGGGGCTCCCTGTGCAGAGCTCTGCCTGAAGTGGTGGAAGTGTGAGGAAGGTCAGAGCACATGGGTGACAGCGTGGGTCTATCTGGGCCCAGATGAGGCCAGAGCCCTCCTTGCAGGTACTGCCTGGTGCAGAGCATAGTACTTGGGCTCCTTATCACAAGATATGAGGAGCCAGCAGAGGGGCAGCTGGTAGGTGACTTTCTGAAAGGCCTGCAGCCCTCAGGGCTCTCTTATGTCAAGCTGTGCCTTCAGAGAAGGCAGTTTTAACGCACAACCTGTCCCAGCTTGCTGGTGCCAAAGGCTTCCCAGGCGCCCAGTGGGCCAGTGTGTGTGGGGTGGGGGTTGAGAGGCATGCCCAAGTTTTGCCCACCCACCTGACTAGAGGTTAGAGCCCATAGCAAAGCTGAAAGGCCACTTGGGGTAATGTTCAGACCAGCCCTTCCTCCATGGAAGCTACTCTGGAGTGGGGAAGCATTTAGGCCTGTTACGGAAGAGATGTGCCGGTAGCACAGCACGGCCTGCAGAGAATCCTGTATGTGACCTTGGGAAGTCAGTTCTGGGAAAAGGCATTTGATTGAGGGGTGATCCCTACTCAGGCTTATTAGCTAGTGGCAGTACTCCCACTATGTGAGACATTCGCTTCAAGGCTCTGATCTACTTCCTGCCGTTGCCAGCAAAGCGTGGAGGAAAGGGTGTCAGACTGGAGGTTAGGAGGCCTGGTCTCTGGTGTTGACATCACAACTAACTTGCTTGTCCCCTTGGACAGGTTACTCCTTATTCAGGGTCTCTCCTTCCTTATCTATAAGAGGAGGGATTAGACCAGATGAGGTTCAGGACATTCCAGTACTAGCACCCAAGTTTCCCCCTCTAGCACTTCCTGGACGGATTGCTTTGCCCTTTATGCAGAGATCCTTCACAGACCATGGTGGTAAAGGAACCCAAATCTCTGGTGTTACCACTGTGCTTAACAGCACTGGTTCTGAAATTGGACTTCCTGGATTCCAGTCCAAGAGCCATGTCACTGCTCACCTAGGTGTGACTCCAGGAGTTACCTACCCTTTCAGCACCCGTTTCCTCATCTGTACAATGAGAACACTAGTGAAACCTATCCATAGGGATGTGTTGGCTAATATTCTGTGACAGGCTCTGCCTCTAGTTCAGGCATTAAGCATCCACCCCAGACATCCTTTGCCCCAAGTTCCCTGTTGCAAACAAGCAGTCTGAAACCTTTGTCCAACAGGAGCTTCTCCAGATATTCCTTGTCCACGTAGAGTTCGCCCAGGAGCTGGCGGAGAGTCTTCTCACTCTTGAACGAATACCTCTGCTTGGACTCTCTTTTGGGGTGATGTAAGAAGTTTCTCACAAGATGAGGCTTCTGCTGGGTTTTCATACTCTGGGAAGATGGAGCAACACCCAATAGGGCCTTAGCAAGGAGCACAGAGTATCCAGCCACAGCCCTAGAGCCTGCTATCCCAGACTCCTCCTTCAAGACCCGTCTGTGGGCCAAGAACCACAGAGTGTGTCTGGACCAGGAACAGCTAGACTCTAGACCCCTCTGGAGCTGGGTCAGAATCCCATTGCTGCCCACAAGGGGTAGGAGTGAATAGCTCCCAGGAAGAGGGCCACAAAGACCTGTGCTCCTCAGGCACACATGGCCTCTTCCCTTAGAGTGATGTGGTATCAGAACCAGGGCCCTTACCTCAGCCTGCTTGCTTAAGAAGGAAAGGTCCCCTTTGTTTTCCAGCTTAATTGAAGAAGGACCTGAAAGGAGAAAAGCTGGGTTTCAGGTCGGCCAGGCCCCCAGGCACAACCTATCACATATTTTTATGTGGAAATGGCTGCGTTTGGCAGGGGGATAGTGGAGGTTGTGGTAAAGCTGGCTCTGAGTGAGCCCAGCAGACAAATGATATAGGGTGTTTGATACAACACTCTCCTAGGAGCTGGGCAAGCCCTCACTAGCCCAACACCGTAGCAGCCAGATGTCCTAACAAAGGCAGGTACTGAGTACCAGAGGTACTCTCCATCCCAAGCCATTTGCACACTCTGCCACCCATAGTGGCAAACTCTCACACTCCTCCCTCCTCTGCCTGCCACTAACCGCTGGGCAAGGCCAGCCCTTGGTGTATACATGGTAAGGGAGGAAGCCAGAGACTAGGAAAGGCCAGGCTCAGGACCCCTTTCTTCCCTATTATACCAGGCCAAAGACAGGCCCACTGTGAATCAGCCCTTGCCATCTGGCTTAGAGGAGAGCCAGATGCTGCAGCAGCCAGCACAGTGGCCTGGTCCTCCGAGTGGGCAGTTCCTAACCCTCAACAAAACCAGCAGCAGCCAAATCTAAGCCTGAGACTCCCTGTAGGCCTGGTGGTGGTTGCTCACCCACTGTACCCCAGGCCTTCCTCCAAACCTAAGTATTCCAAGAGCCTTCCTGGACAGGGCATAGGCCCAATGGGCACTCACTTCCCACTGAGTTGTTGATCGCTTCCTGGGCTTTCTGAATTCCAACTCTGAATTCCCGATCAGGCCGCAGCTTGTAGCCTCGATGATAGAACACCAAGGCAAACTCAAAGTCTCCCATGGTGTACAGGGTCTCAGCCTTTTGCAAAATCCCCTGAAAGGAGAGGAAGTCAAATGGAGGTGGTCAGACAAAGCCTTATAGGACTCAGGTATGGTGGAAAGGAAGGGTGCTGGGTTGAGGATCAAGATTGGGATGCAAGGGCAGGGAGCTAAGCAAGTGACCTATGAAGGGAAAATGGCATCAAACTCTAGGCATTCTGGCTGGTTCTTCAACTACTTCTAACTAGAGGCTGCTGCAGGCAAAAGCAGTGGAGAAAGTAAGATTGAGTGCTCCCATCCATACAGTCACCTTGCAGAAGGTTGGGTCACCCTGGAGTGAGGCTTCAGCATCCTTCAGGGATTTCTCCAACTCTCCCATCTTCAGGAAGCACTTGGAACGGGCAACCAAGCAGTTCTTATCTCCATTCTGAAGGTGAAGAGCCTGAGAAAGGAACCACTTAGGTTGACAGGGCAGGGCAAGGGAGAAGCTCAACTGGAAAGAGTGGCATGAACCCTCCTGCTAGAGTTTCAAGGGGACTCTTCAGGCCAGCAAACAGGTCTCTGGATCTCATCAGACCAAAAGCAGCACAACATTGATCTTTGCTCAGCACACTCTATTATCTGCACATGGCCCATCCTGAACAAGGTCAAATCACAAGCTATGGTGGAAGCCACTGCTTGAGATGTGAGACTGTGCTCCTCCATGGATCTACCAGATTTATCCAAATGTCTGGGATTCCTCCAGTCTTCTCACGCAATAGAATGTTAGGATGTTTGGTGCATACCAAATTCAACCACAAACCTGAAAGAGCTGCACAGTACACTCAAAGGCTAAGTACTCTGAACTAGCTAAGCACTGTGGAGGCTAAAAAAATGGATTTTAGGATAATCTGCAACTTGAATTATCCATTCCACTAGCCCTCTCTTTTTACATAGCTTATTGAGAATGAATCATTATTTCATGAGATTAAGATTAAAATGCCAGGAAAATGGAAATTGATTTTTGGTCCTGAAGTGGGAGTGGAATGCTTCCCCTACTCCCCATTGCCTCTCTCTCTCTCTCTCTGTCTGAAGGCACTACTGTAGTCTGTGGTGTACTGTTGTCTTTCCTGAGGCATCAGACTGTATCCACCCCTTTTCTAGACCTTTCTACTTTTCCAGGAAGAGGAAGTAGCTATTGTCTTCCGTGGAAGAACGCCACTTCTCACCCAAAGCTATCTTCCCTCCGGGAGTTCTTTTCACTTTGCCAGGATGGAACATGATCCAGAAAGAGGAGAATGGGTCGGAGCAAGGCTCTTGAATTTAACTGTTGACCCATCTGGTCAATCACTTCTGGTTTTAGGGTGTGGTCGGTACAAAACACTCTGGGTAACATTGAGATGCTTGACTTTAAGGAGAGTCTTGGGACAGGTCCATTCGGAATAAGTGGGCTGTTTGTTGTAAAAGAAACATACATGAGAACTTCTAATAGCTTACTTGCTGACAAGTATGGTATGGCGGTTGGCACCTCAGCACCAAAGACTGAGAGCCTGGGTGTGAATCCTTCCTCTGCCATGTGCTAGTTCAGTGATCTTGGACATGTTACTCAACTTCTGTATCAGTTTTCTTATCTATAAAATGGCATAAAACAGTACCTCTCTCATAGGCTTATGTTATGCTTAGCAGTGTGCCTGATATTCTAAAACAACACTCAGTACCCTCAGGGTAGGGTGGAGCAATTTATATTAAGGTTACTCTATTAACATTAATAGTTATTTACTGACCACCTTCTGTGAGCAATTGTGTGACAGATTTCACCACTTCTATATGCAGCCTCCCAGCCAATTTCCCAGGCCAATGATGGGAAATTGAGTTTGCTCTGTGGAAGAAGACCATTCGATCATCAAACATTTGCATAAAAGAGGAAGAGATCACCGTTAATGCAGAAAATGGTTATTAACAATCAGGCAGAATGCAAGTGGGAACTGGTAGAAAATGACCAAGCAGGGACTTATCTGTGATAGTAGTGCATCAATCAGGAACAAATGAATAATTGAAACAACAACAGGGTCCTCCAAGCACCATCAGGACCTCAGTGTTATCAGAATCCAAAGTGGTGGTGAGTGGTTCAGAGGGCGACTCACGTTGCTGAAGCTTTGGGCTGCTTTAGAGTACTCCCCGCGTAGATAGAATCGCTCGCCCTCCGCCATGTAAGAGGGAAAGGTGCTTCGCAGGTCATTAATTTCTGGGTCCGACATGGTGACCGGATTCTGAGACGCTTCAGCGGAACCCCTGTCTGTTTTGAGGAAGCCCTGTCTCCTAGCAACCGGAGACACAGTTGCTTCCGGCCCCGCCCCACTTGGGCGGGGTCTGAGTTCAAGGTACTACTGCCGCCGGCGTGCGCAAGCGCCTTGCAGCCCCGCTTAGGCAGCGAGCGATGAGCACGTGGCAGGCGGTTGCAAGGCGGTGGCTCGCTGCAGTGTTTGCTTTTGCACGCTCCACTGGGGCTTTCCGGATTTGTACCGTGTCCAGAATATACAGCCAAGAAAATAGGAAGAGGATTGGGGTAGAATTCTAAATAGGATAAAGCATACGTGGCAAGGATTTGTGCACCGTGTACTGCCTGAATTCAGGGGCAGAGGGCACTGGCTTGGATTCGTAGTACTTGGCTGCTGTCTTCGCCTGTTAACTGTGTGATCCCTGCACCAGGCACTTAAGAGCTCTAAATTTTACACTTGCCAGGTGAACCTGAAGATAATAAAACCTTGGAGATGTGAGGATTTGCATGAGACTGTGTGGAAAATAATGTAGGGTTCAGCCTTCAATTTGACACATTTACTGAACACCTGCTAGTGGCAGGCCTTGATTGAGGCCATTCCTGACATCCTACCCCATTCCCCAATTTTCCCCCTCAAAAAGGTGGACTAGGTTCTTCTAAGTTCCAACAACACCCTGCTTTTGCTGCATTACTTTTAAAAAGGTCAACTTCCAATGCCAAGGAAACTAAATGTCTTAAACTTCCAATGTCCTAAAACAGAGGCTTTGTCATAACCTTGTTATTTCCAGAATTCAACGGTCTGGCATATAGTAGGAGCTAAACAAATCATTGTTAAGGTTTAGTACAAAGATATCCTTAACTACACACACATATACACAAATGAGTACATGTAAAACTGGGCAAATCTGAGTAAGATTGGTGGATTGTATCAGTGTTTTCTGGTATTATCATGTACTAAAGTTTTTCAAAACTTTACCAAATATTCAAAAATATTACCATGGAGGAAACTGGATAAAGGGTATGTGGGATCTCTGCATTATTTCTTACAACTGCATGTAAATCTACAATTATTTCAAAAATCAAATGTTTAATTAAAAACAATGCCTTTAATATCAAGATAACAATAATACAGTTCCTCCCTTGGAAGAGTTTTGTCTCATCAGGGACAGAGATAGTGAACAATAGTGACTACCCGAGGTGATACTAAGTTATTCAAATTCTGTGTGCTTGTGAGGGGTATGAGGACCCAGTGTAGGGAGGTCAGGAGAAGTGAGTAATTTAGTCAGGGTCTGGGCTAGATTAGAGACTTTACAGAAGGGGTAACATTTGAGCTGAGGGTGAGTAGGTTGGTGCCCAGGAGACCCAAATAGGTAAGGAGGTGAGCAAAGGCCAGAAGTGTGCAAGTTCATAAGGTCTGTAAGGAGCAGCAACTGCATGCACTGGAGTGAAACTCGTCCTGTTCTGGGTTAGTAAAATGGGCACGTAGGTGACTTGAACACACTGCTGAAGTGACTAGCAGTTAATCAGAAAAATGCTCCTGCAAAGAGGAAATCTGTAGGTTCAATACAATTCAGTCAAAATCCCAACAGACTTTTTTTTTAGCAGCTGACAAGCTAATTCAAAAAGGTATATGGAAATGCAAAGGACCTAGAATAACCAAACGTTTTTGGAAAAGAAGAATAAAAGAGAACTTATGCTTTGCTTTCAGGACTTTTAAAAAAACTACAGTGGTGGTATTAGCATAAAGGTCAACCTACAAATCAGTGGAACAGAACAGAGAGTCCATAAATAGATCCACCCTATATGATCTTATGTTCAACAAAGTTGCCAAGGAAATTCAGTGGGGAAAGAATGTTTTTTAACCTATGATGCTAGAACAATTGGATGGCCATATGCCAAAACAAATAACCTTGATCCTTACCTCACATATACAAAATTTAACTCAAAAGATTTCAATGTAAGAGGTAAAATTACATAAAACTTGAAAAAATAGTTGTAAATAACAGGGCACAATGAGCACAAAAAAGAAAATATAAATTTGATGCCATTGAAATTAAAAGCCTTTGCTCTTCAAAAAACTGTTAAGAAAAATAAAAAGCGAGCCACAGACTGGACTAAAATATTCACAAAACATGTATGTGACAAAAAAACTTGTATCTACAATATGTAAAGAGCTCTTACAACCCTATAAAACAAATAATTCAAATAAAAAATGACCAAAAGATTTGAACAGTTTCTTCATCAAAAAAGATACACGGATGGCTAATTAGCACATGAAAAGATGCTCAACATCATTAGTCATTAGGAAAATACAAATTAAAAGTCACAGTGAGATACCATTAGACACTCACTACCATTAGACTGTTTAAAATAAAAAAGGACTGACCTGATCAGGTGCTGGCAAGGATGATGAGCAATTAGAACTCTCATACGCTGCTGGCAGGAATCTAAAATGATGTAACTACTTTGGGAAACAGTTTGGCACCTTCTTAAAAAGTTAAACATACACTTAGCGTATGACCCAGCCACTCCACTACTAGGAATTTACCCAAGAGAAATCAAAGCTGTACCCAAATATCCATAACAGCTTTATTTATAATAGCCCAAACTGGAAACATACCTGTTGACAGGTGAATGGATAAACAAATTGTAGTTTATGTAATGGAGTACAACAGAGCAATAGAAAGGAAACAACTAATGATACATGCATACTATGGATAAATCTCAAAATAATTACGCTGAGTGAAATAATTCAGACAAAAAAGACTAAATGATTCCATTTATATGAAACTCTAGAAAATGCAAACTTAATCTACATTGCCCAAAAGCAAAGTGGTGTCTCCTGGAGGTAGAGCACGGAAGGATAGATTACAAAGGTGTACAAGGAGACTTTTGGGGGTGAAGATATATGTGTTATCTTGATTGTGGTAAGCTTTCATGGTATATATATATATGGGTTAAAACTCATCAAATTGCACACTTTAAATATGTACAATTTATTGTATGTCAGTTATATATCAATAAAGCTGTTAAAAAAAACCAATAAAATAGCAATAATGATGTATATTTTTTGGCAGTTTACAAAGCTTTCTGTGATCTTCAGAGCACCTGAGTGAGGGAGGGAGCTGGGCGGTATTTTCCTGGTTTCACAGAGGAAACACTGAAGCTGAGAGTGGTGACAGGTTCACCCCAAAGCACAGAACCAGGGTATAGGTGAGCTGGGCTGGGACCCAGCCTTCGGTTGAGTTGGTAGGGTAAAATAGACTGGAATTGGCACCTGCAGGGCTACCCCTTCCCAGGTAACCACCACCCTCCTTGTTACTACCCTGGTCTGAACCCCGTGGTCTCCCCCAAGGATTACTGTGTTATCTTTCTAGTTAGGTCTCTTTGCTTTACCCTTACTGTCTTCCCTCTCAACCAGCAGTTAGAATATTCATTTTAAACTGTCAGTCAGATCGTGTCACTCTGTTCAAAACCCTGCAGTGGTCCCCCGTTTCACTCTGAATAAAAGCTACTCTCTGACTCCCTGTGCTCCGGCTACCAGCCCTTCCTTATTATTTCTTGAACAGGAAAATAGCATATATGCTCCTTCCTAGGGCCTTTGCTCTGAGTGTTCTCTTAGCCCCAAAGGACCTGAAATTGGCCTGAATGCTCCCTCCCAGGTACTTAAGTGACCCTCTCCCCTCCTTTATGTATTTGTTCAAATCTCTCCTTTGTGATGAGACATACCATGACCACCCTATTTAACATTGCAGCCTAATTGCCTTTCATCTCCAATTTGGGAATTCTTGATTCCTTACTCAGTTTTCTTTTTACCATAGGACCACTTGCTGATATATTACGTAACTTCTTTATTCATCTTCTGGATTATTTGCTACTGCTTTCCCCAATAAAGGGTGAGCTACACAGTGTGAGTGTCTTTGCTTGTTTCATTCACTGTTGTTGCTCCAGTGCTCAGAACAGAACCTGGCACATTGCAAGTATTCAGTAAATATTTTGAATGAAAGAACTAGAGCCTAGTTTTTTGTGATAATAATTCCCTTGCTTTTCTTTGTAGCTTTTCCACCTAAGGTATCCATCCCAAATAATACAACTCAGGTTTGCTTGTTTTGACTCTATGTAAATTGAATCATACTATATTTGTCTTTTCATGTTCCACTTTCTTTTGCTCAACATTACGTTTTTAAGATTTATTCATGTTGTGTGTAGCTGCGATTCATTCATTTTCCTGGTTGTTGAGTTTTTTCTTGTATGAATATATCACAACCCATCCATCCATTCAACCATTGAAGGACATCTGGGCTTTGTCCAGTTTTTAGACAATCTCATGTTTATCTCCTGGCACACAAGTATATGAGAATCTCTAGGTTATGTACCTAGGAATGGAGAGCCAGGGTCTTAGTCATGTGACTCCTCAATTTTACTAGGTAATATCAAATGGTTTCCAAAGTGGTTACACCAATTGTCACCTCTTTGAGCCTTGTTTCCCCTGTATTTCCTTTTAAAATAAGAGGATTGGGGATTTCTGAGGTCTCCTTTGGTTCTGACATTTTATGAATCTGTAATCAAGGAGCCCTAAATAAGAAGCAGTTGGGGCAACACCTAAGTTACAAGGGAGAAAAGCAAATGCTGCCATGCTTGGGATGAGACCTCCAAACATCCTAGGGGTGAAGCATAGCCCCAAACTCCTAAGATTGGTGTCAGAGTAGAGACTCTGACCTTCACAGAGACTAACAACTCATTTGCATGCTGTGTCCTCTGCTTCTGCCCGCCCTTGGGAGAATTCTCAAACACAGATCATGGCAAAGAGACAAGAGGCAAAAATAATAAGTTCATTCAGAGGTAAGGTTAAACATGGCAAGTAAAAATTAAGGGTGAGTGATCTGTGTGAGGGCGGAGCTGTGCTATTTGTCTTTGGATAGGAAGTGATAAGCTGTCTTTCTAGGGAGGGCTTCCTGAAAGAGGAGGGAATTTCACAGGAACACACGAGGTGGAGAGGAGGCAGAGGCAGCTTTTAGGACAGGGTGAGGGTAGAGCTGGGGGTGTCACTGGGAAGAAGCCAGTGAGGAGCTGGTTGATCTAGCTGGAGAATATTTCCTGAGCACAGAAGCTGACTCTGTCCACATTTCCCTGGGGAGTTTCCCCAAGACACACAGGTCCTTGGCCCTTGGCTCCAATTGGAGGCTGGTCAGTGTTGGGCAAAAAGGGAGTGGTGCAGGAGTGAGAACCTCCTGGTTCTTCACAGGGTGGGTCCTGATGGGCCTCTGCTGTGAGCCCCTGTCTGGCTATTGCGAGGAGATGGGTAGGTTTAGGATTGCATGCTCAGGGAGTCCCTTCTCCTGGCTGCATGTTCTTCCTCCTCCGCCTTCTCTTCCCCTACAATTTCCTTCTTTCATTCACATGTTCATTCCAGCGTTTATTCAGTCATGCATACAATGAGTGCCTAATACATGGCTAGCCCTATGCTAGGCCCAAGGATGATGAAATAAACAAGGCACACTCCTGGGTCTTGAGGAGCTCACAGTCAAATGGGGGAGACCCACTGGACATGATTTTTCTTCCCTCCCTGCTCACCTGCAGCAGGCTGTAGTGGGCGGAGCAAGGAACTTGGCAGGAGAGGGTCAGTTACTCATCTGCAAAATGATGATAACACTTGGCTCAAGAGGTCGCTGAGCGGTGTTTGCCTTAGCACCTTGCCTTTCACATAGTAGCTGCTCAGTGAGTGTTAGCTAGAATGGACTAACATTGAGAAGGGAGTCATTAGGCAGTCTGGGCGTTAAGTCCAATGACATGAACCTGTCCTCCGACCCAGTCTATGAGAAGGGAGGTGATTCACAAAACAAAAACAAAAGCATTTAGAGTTTTCTAGTCAGAACAGAAAGGTGAGAAAATGGGGACCAGACTAAACTAATTCAGGGCAGAGGAACCTCTGTAGGAACCTGATGGGGTAATAAAGAGTCTTTCCTGGGGAGGATGGGGAGGCCTGGAATGAGACTACCAAGAGAACTGGAAAATCTCAGTGGTTGGTTGGTTCATGTGCCCTCTGGCCAGCACTCTCTTCCCTCACTCTCTGGACAGTTAGTCTCTTGTTGTGCCTACCCAGGACTAGTCAATCTTGGGCTCAGCAACACCTAGATGGGGGATTTAATCACTTAGCAAATATTCTGAGTGTTTCTTATGTACCAGGTCCTATGCAAAGTGCTGGAAACACAGCAGCGAAGAAAACAAAGATCTCTAGACAGGTGGTGATTATACAGCATCTTGCTATGCTGATGGACAGTGACTGTAGTGGGTGGGTGGGGGGGACTTGGTAAGGGGGGGAGCCTGGTAAACATAGTGTTCTTCATGTAATTGTAGATTAATGATAGCAAAAATAAACTAAAATAAAGAAAACAAAGATCTCTATCTTCATGTACATATGCAATGAATCTGAAGATAAATTGTTAGAAAAGGAATTGCTGGCATGTGCATTTTAAATTGATGGACAAAGAGTTTGCTACAATTTATGTTCCATCTGGATGCCTGTTTCTGGATGAGGCTATTTCTAACCAGAGGGATAAGAGCTGCACAGGTGATTCCTCCAGACTACAATCTTCCTGCTAGGCCATTAGCCTGAGTTGTTGTCCCCCACAGTCAGAAATGGAGTACCTTCATAGGAGATGTACCTTCATAGATGCCCCCTCTGAGATTTGTGCCATTTGGGGAGATACTTGATAGGGGTAGAGTTTAAGCCATGTAGGAGTGGAAGTCTTTCTAGGACCAAGAAATAAAGGAGGTGAGGAGCTGTTTCAAGAGGATGCTTGTGAGGGAAGGCACCAGAAAGTGACAACATCAGGGATCACTCGGGCCAAGCATGGGCAGCTGCCCCACTGCTGGTGACAGCTGGATTGGGGGAGGTTTTTGTCCACAAAAATGTCACAACATTGTTGCAGTGTGAGTAGGACCCAGGGTGCTTGGCAGGGGCACAGGCATGCTGATTCTCTGCAGAGTAGGCTTACCCCTTCACCTGAGCTGGTCAAGGCATGATTCTCGCACCTGGAGCTAGATGGTTGCTAGCGTCAGGTTGTGCTCCGGGGACCTAAAAGGACTCAGGTGGAAGTAGGGAAGCTCCAGAATGTTGGAGCATTAAATATATGTCCTGATTTCCAAGACTGTCTGATTTCAAATATTCTCACCCACAAGTTCACCAGCACCTGTCAGACCGAGTGTCCCAGTTTTGGTTTGGAAAAAATAGTCTAGCAAGAAATGGAGAAAGAGGAAGCAGTAGTTCATTCCTCCCAACGTCTAAGCGTGGGGCTGGGCGGTAGGGGGAACAGGAGACTGGTAGAGATGGCACCTGCCCTGTCCTGACATGTGGCGTTGAATTCTTCGCTCTGTGCTGCGGAGTGCAGGTGAGTGGTATAGGCGTTGCGACTGACGTCCTCATAACCCCACCTACTTACCCCATCCCCCGCCCTATCCCACCTTGGGAAGTCTGATCTGATCTCTCAGCCTCACCCCACCCGCTCAATGGAAAGGGTCCATGTGCAAATGGGAAAACACTGCCATGGCTGCTTAAAAAGCCGGCCTGAGCACTGGGTTCGGTGCGGCAGATTTCAGGCAGCCGAGACGCAGACGTCAGCTTCTCCGAAGAGGACAGGGAAAAGAAACTCCAGGTCCCCAAAGCTGAGCTACAGCCTGTTCGGCCACCGCCCCTCACAACTCCCTACGAAGTGACGGTCGGCCCAGCCCCTAAGCGATCAGGCCACTGCCCCCAGACGCGTGCTCTCTGCTCCCAGCGTAGCGCGGCCCATCTCCCCACCCGAGGCCCCGCCCCCGGCCGCGCCCCGGCCCCTCTGGCTCGGAGGCTGCGCCCTCCCGCCGTCCAAACGGAGGCGCCAGCTGGACTACAAGTCCCAGCAACCCCTGGGCCCCGCCCCTGGGACGGGCAGCGAATTGGGAGGAACCCTGGAGCTCAGGCTAGGGAACGCGTGTGGCCAATCGCGCGGCCGTTTGAGCCGTGTGCCGATGGGGGCGGGGAGAAGCCCAGCGGGGTCGGAACAAAAGCCGGATTCCGAGCGGCTGCGGGAGGCTAGAGCGCTCGGGGGAACTGGCTGTTCCTTGCGGCCTGCGAAGGGAGCGCCGTGCACCGACTTTCGCAGAGAGGTGAGCGGTGGGCGGCTGCTTTTGCGGGACGGACCCCACCTGCCTGGGAAGCTTCCCGCCTCCTCCCTCCAACCCGGAACCGCCACCCCGGCTCAGGCTTGGTGCTCACGCGCCCTCTCTGCACCTGCCTGGAAGTTTAGGGCGTCTTGGCTTTAGGTGAGTTTTCGCCCGGGACCCCGGCCGGCGGCCGCGTGTCGACCACCCCTCCCCTCTTCCACATGCCAGTTCCTGGGAGTTTGAACGGAGCTTCCCTCCGTCCTTGCTTCTTTTCCCTCCGCCGAATTGAATTTGCACCATCCTGACGCCCCTCACCCCGACACGGGGCCGGTCATAGAGCCGCTTCTGCCTTTATCCGGCCACCTCTTAACCCCCATCCGGGTTCCCCCACCAGATCAGGGAGACGGGAAGTAGAGCGGGGGCCACTCGCCCCGCTCCGACCGGGCTTGGGCCTGACTCAGTTTTGTGGAGAGTCTGTGAGACCCACGAAAGTGGAGGGAGCAAGCCGGCGCACAGCCTTGGCGGGCCACGCGGGCAGGGCTGCCCCAGGGTGTCCGAGGCCTGGCCTCGCCGCGAGGACTTGGCCGTGGAGCGTAGGAAGGACCCTCCTCGCCCCCGAGGTGCCGTCCGGCCCAGGCATTAAGCGACAGATGGCCTGGGTGCCTGTCTGCCCCCTCACTCCTGCCACTGACGCCGAGCCTGGCCGTGGCGAGGTCCTCAATGAGCCGGAGGATGCTGCCGCCCTCCTCCGTTGGGCCTGGCAGAGGCCCAGTCCCAGTTCCTGCTGCCCTCTCCAACCGTGGCAGATACTGTGCAGGACCAAAGAGTTCGGTCCTTAGGTGTTCCCCGGGAAGAGGATTTGGGTGGGGGGTGAACAGTGCATAGCTGTGTGGTCAGCCAGCCCACTCCTCTCCACCTTTTAACTTTGTTCCAGCCAGCTCAGATCCTTAGATTTATGAAATGTTGGCTGAGGGACAGCTGGTAGACCCCAGCTGCCCAGATGAGTAATTTTAACTGCTTAGAGAGCTTCTTAAATGGCTTGGGGGATGGTGATGGGAAGAGCCTGAGACACTGGGCAGCTGGTGTCTCCACCCCCGTTCTCGTATGGTGCTTACTGCAGTAGGGAACCCTCACAGAATTGTGCCCCTTGCCTTCATTCCAGGGATTGCTTGTCCTCTCAGAAAACCCCGATCCTACACAAACCAACCTTAAAATGAGTGCTCGTTGTCCTTCCCAGAGAGAAACCCTAAGTGGCATCCCCTGTTGTTCCTCTCCATGGGCTCTCAGAGGCACTTTCCTGGGGAACAGCCTCCTTCCACTCAGCCTTCCCTATGGGCTGCTTTTGTCCTTGGTGGCTCTTGTGGATGAGCCCAATCCTGGGTCACTTACGCTGTCTGCAGAAAAGACCATATTCAGCTTATAAGGCCCTCCCTTGGAGTATGTGTGTATTTTCAGGTTCTCTGCCATGATTCCCCCTGTATGGTTTACACATTTACCTGTTGCTAGCTAATAGTTCCTGGGGCCCCAAAGTGGATCCCCAGGATCTTAGCTCTGCCCTGAAACCATCTATCACCAGTTTGACAGACATTCAGTTTCTGGGCAGGCAGCCTAAGACTTTGGAGCTGGGGTGGGGATGGGGTAGCTCTCCCCAAAAAGCAGACTGTTAAGCCTCCACTAGAGCAGATATTCTTAACTGGTGTCCTGTGGGCCATCAGATCACAGTCACAGGTCAGCGCCTTGAAATGGAATGCACAATTGGATATGTGCACATTTTTCTGGGCTTTTCTTAAAGGTGTTAAAAGAGTCTGAGACCTCAAATAGGTTAAGAGTCATAGCCCTAGAGACTCAAAGACCCTGCTGAACGATTATATTTTCAATCTATCTCTTCCCAGGCCACTCCCTGGGCTTGTGAACCTTCTTACCCTGCATTAGCAAATATTCAGAGGCCAGATTCTTTTTCTGCTCTTATTCTACCATAAAAGTCTCTGTCTTGGCCTTGAGAGGGCTTGCCCCATCTAAGCCAAAGTCCTGTGATGGCGAATCTGTTTAAAGCTGACCAGTCTTTTCTCTCTCGTGTCATCCACTCGCAGTGTCTTCTGTGCCCCACTTCCCCCAGCTTTATGGAGATGAGCTCTTGGATCTGAGATTTGAGATTTGATCTAAGGCTCAAGAACATTGTGTTTTTTCGGCTGCAGAAGGGTCCCTTTCCTTAACCTTGTCCTTCCCAGAGTTGGGTGTTTGCTTTGGGAGGTTCCAGGCTGGGGGAGTTGTTGCTCTGGAAGTGTCTTTCAGACTTCTCCCTGCTCGGGAGGCTTAGCTGAAGGGCTTCCACCCTCCTGGAGTTTGTGATAACTTGTGTCCTGATGTGCCTGAGCTGCTGAGGGTGTTCAGAGTCCCCTCCCCCGCCTTCTTCCTCTGCTTGCTCGGCCCTGGGCTGCATTTTGTTTGGGAGGGGGTAGGGGCAGGTATACCCTTCTGATTTCAGGACCAGTTTTTCTGGTCTGAAGTCAAGAAGGTTGGGAAATGGGGCTGGAGTGGTTTGGGGGTTAAGGACTGTGGAGCAGTGGGGTTGTTGAGGTGTCTCCTTTGTAAACTCATGTTGACAAGGAGCCAGAAGTCATCCCAGGGGAAGGCCAGAAGAGGGAATATCTCCTTTGAGCCCCTTCCCAGCTCCCCCACTTTGGGCCAACACCAGACTGAATGTGCCCATTGTGCTGAGCTGGAGACTAGCTGGGCGGCTGAGGGAGCTGGCTAGGATTAGAACCTGAAGCCCTAGCCTGGCAAGTTGGGAGGAAGATGGAGAGTGGCCCCTGGAACTTTAGCCTCCCCTGAGCCTGGAATGGAGACCAACCTTCATGTATAAACCAGCCAGCTCCCTAACTCCACCCTCCTTTATTTGCATTTGACTTTTCTCCTCCAGCAAATACAGCACCTTCAGTTTTGGATCTTTGCAGGAGAGATAGGAGTGACTTTTCCTGATCTGGCCAAGCTCTTGGCATGAATGACTTGGTTTCTTTTCTCTCTCCCTCCTCCTTTTCCTCTCCTCCACTTCGTCCTCCACTGCCCCTGGGAGAGTGGGTGTGTCAGGACAAAGCAGGGGGAAAATGAGGAAATTGTCATCACATACCCTGTGTGAGATGAAGCAGCCCCCCCACACCCCATGGCCTGGTCCCTGAGGAAATGGTCTTTTCTCTTGGCCTGAGGCATGGAGTTTTCTGGAGACCAGAGTGAGAGGGTTTGGGTTCAAGTCTTGGGGCCTCTGCTTATTAGGCTCTTATTAGCTCTGAGTGTTACTCCTTCTCTAAGAAACAGGGTTTTGAATCTTGATGTGCCTCACAGGACCCGCATAAAATGTAGTGGAAGATGGTTTCTGCCTCCTCCCCTGGCTCTGGCTCAGGTAGAAGTGACCAGTACTGGGTGGTCGCTACAGAGGCCTCTGCTCTAACGTCGCATCTGGATGACTCGGTGGGTTAGGCAGATGCACTGAAGGTCACAGGTGGCCTGCCCAGTGTCTGCTCTGAACTTGGGGGTGGGAGTCTAGTGTCCTGGGAGAAATGAGTCTCTTCCTCCTTGCTCCTGGGAACTTGGTTCTGCCCGAGGCTAAGTAAACTTGCCCTCAGCCTGTTGTGGGGTGTGTGTGAAATGGGTGAGCCTGGGTGTGGGGAAGACAAAACCTGTAGGGGAAGTAAGGCCAGCGTTGCACAATTCTGGCCATGTGCTCCATAGGTCACAGAACCAAAAGGTGTGTTTCGGTGTCTGTGTACCTACCTCGGGTGGCACCAGCACTCAGGTTTGGGTCATACCTGCCCTTTTTTTTTTTTTAAACTGAGGTATTGTTGATAGACAATTTTATATTGGTTTCAAGTATACAACACAGAGGTTCAGCACTTCCCCACATTATCAAATCCTCACCCGCCTCTAGTGCAGTCACCATCTGTCCACATAGGAAGGTGTTGCTAATCTTTCTGGCCTCCTCATCCAGCTGCCTTTTGCTCCAGGACGAATGTGGTCATGGGTGAGCTGGTTTGCTGAGATGGAATAGAGATAGGGCTCAGCCAAGAGTCCTCAAGAGTGGGAAATGCTGCCTCTGTTTTTCTCCACCGTCTTCCCTCGCCTGTCATTTCCGAATCCTCTTCTGCTATCAGAAGTGCTGTTAGCTTTCTCCTTCCCACCCGTCCTGCTGGGGGCAAGCCTTTCTCTCCCTCCTTAGAAGCACTGGGATTGGGTTTTGTTGTCTGGAAGCAGCTGGGCATGACTCTGCTGTGCTGGAGAAGATAGTACCTGTTTCCTTGCCTCTTCTGATCAGCTGTTCTTACCTCAGCAGGTAGAGCAGGTCCATCTGCAGCCATGTCAGCCAAGGCAATTTCGGAGCAGACAGGCAAAGAACTCCTCTACAAGTACATCTGTACTACCTCAGCCATCCAGAACCGGTTTAAGTATGCCCGGGTCACCCCTGACACAGACTGGGCCCGCCTGCTGCAGGACCACCCCTGGCTGCTCAGCCAGGTAAGCCTGCTCTTCCCCCGCACCCCAGCCACAACTGGGCCCTTTGTCCAAGCCTGGGGTCAGAGAAAAATAAAGGATTGGTTTGTTGGGGGTGTTCAAGCAGGTCACATGATAGCAGACTGCCTGCATCAGTGGATAGCATGCAGTGGGCTGAGCAGGGGTCTGTGCTTGGCTCTGGGCCCTGCATGATGAGGTAGCCTGGTGTGGTGGTATACACGGAACATGGGCTGGGAACTGGACAAACTGGAGTCCAAGTCACAAATCTCTATTTATGGACTATGTTGCCTGGAGCAACCCATCTCACCTCTCTGAGTTTTAGATTCCCCATCTGTCAAATGGGTATAACACTCACACTGTGAGCTGTAAGGATTATCATTAACGTCTGGAAATCGTTTAGTGTGCTGCCTGCCAACTTGGTAGATGCTTATTAAAAAGTAGCACATTTGCCTCCCCACCTTTGGTCCCAAGTGGAGCATATCAACAATGTGTCAAGGCCATGGGAAAGTATGATGTGCTTTGTGTAGAATGGCTAATGGCCTTGGCAGGGGGCAGCCTGGGGTAGAGGCTCCTCTTTTCAGATCCCTGCCAGGCTGTCGTTGGGAAGCTGAGACTTCTTAGGCAGGGCCTGGAGAGGAGGATGAGGACCAGTGGTGGTTGTCTCAGGGACACATTTCCTCCTGGCCACAAAAGGAGCTGCCTCCAGAGGTAGGGACTGATTTCCTGGAACTAGAAGGTATGAGCAGAGGCTTGGGGCTGCTTGGCGGGCCTGTAGATAGGGTTCAAGCACAGATGACCTCTGAGGGCCTTTGTCACCCCAGGGTTCTGTCTGTCTGTCCTTCCTTTTGGAACACTGGTGCTAATCCATACTCTGACGAGTTTATGGTTTGATGAAGCTAAGATACCCATAGAGAGGGCAGGAGTCTTTCATTCATTCAGCAGATATTTGGTGAGCACCTGCCCTGTGCCAAGCCCCATGCTGGCATGGATGGCTCTAGGTTCTTGGCTGTCAGAAGAAACATATAGGCCAGAATAAGTGAGGGAAGCTTGGAGGAGCTGACCCCAAAGGATGGATGGCATTGATTTTGGGATTGGGGTGTATTGGAAGACATGTAGGCTGTCCTATGCTTTGGGTCCCCAAACTATCACTTCTTTCTCCGCCTTTTCTTTCCTTGTTCTAAATACAAACACCTTTCATTTCAGAGTTTGGTTGTCAAGCCAGACCAGCTGATCAAACGGCGTGGAAAGCTGGGCCTAGTTGGGGTCAACCTCACTCTGGATGGGGTCAAGTCCTGGCTAAAGCCACGGCTGGGACAGGAGGCCACAGTGAGTTGCCGGTATAGGGTCGGGGGGTGTGTTGTGGTAACAGAAGCATGCATGGTCCCTCCATATGGGCAGCCCTGTGGATCACCCCCACAGCCTGGTCCGGTAGCAGCCTGGGGAAGGTGGGAGGGCCCTCAGGGCTGGTGCTGGTGCTTGTTCCCAGCAACCCTATTATCAGGGAATAACAAGATGTGCTGCAAAGGCATCCCTGGTATAGTTCAAGAACCAGGTGGAAATGGTATGTTTCTTTAATGATGATCATGGAGATGGGACTCTGAGGCCCATTCTGGGAACCTCTTTGTTTTCATTTTCTAGAAGGGGTATGCTAGCTTGTCATGACATGCATTCATAAGAGAATGGGTAAAAAAAGTTAAAGAAGGAACATGAAGAATCTCTTAGGCAGAGAGATGTTATTGGTCTAAGAACCTAGGGTGATAGTGTTAATAACAGTAAAGAGTAAATTCCGTTCTTGGCTTTTTCTGGCTTGGTGATTGGTTTCAACTGTGTAAATGAGAGAGCTAAAGTGAAATAGGGTTTAGGAAGGTTAAGAGATGCTCAGAAATAAAACTGCATTTCTTTTTCTCCTCACTCCCAAAGGGAGTTGGAGAACTGAAGGGAGAAAGTGGGCTGAGGCATGGCTTAGATTGGGGGATATGCCATCCACATTTGGCTTTGTCCCATCTGGGGTGACTGTGGACTAGGGTGAGCTGTTCTCTTCTTTGGCTGCCCTGGAAGTAGGATGAAGATGGCAGTGGAACCATTATTGGGCTCCCTGAAATAAGTTCTTCATGTTAAATTCTCAGTTCCTTATGGATAAAGAGGGGTCCTTGAAGTTGTATGTGGCCTGGGGGTGGAGGGATCTTGACCTTCATGTTTCTAGGCCCTTGGAGAGAAGACAGCAGGGTTGTTGGCTGAGAAATGTCCCGAGGGAGGTCCTCATGCCCCCCCTTTCCTCTGCTGGCTGCTAGGAGAGGGATGTCGGGAGTGTCTGAGCTGGTGGCAGCGTCAGCCAGCAGGAGCGGCTCATTACCTCTGATGGATCACTGTCTGGTCCCTGACTCAGCAATGACGCAGGGCGGGTGGGGGCTTCAGGACATGCTGGGATAAGGGCTGTCTCGCCTCGGCTGCTGCCAGGGACCCACTCAAACTGATTAGCTCTGCAGGCCTGTTGTCCTCAGCCAGGAAACTCAGCCTGCTGAGCTCTGGCTCTTGTCCCCACCCCACCCATCCCCACTGTTCCCCACGCCTGGACTCATGTCCTCAGGCTGGGTCTACCTGCCTGAGCTCTGGGATGAAGAGCCTTGATTTGTCTGCGCTCCTTAATTTGCGTGATGGCTGGGAAGGAGGTGACTCCTGATCTTTGCGCTCTGGGGCTGGAGCATTGTCGCCCCTCATTTATCACCCTCCAGAGGAGGCAGAAGAAGAATGCAAGGTGTACGTGTCAGAGTGTGGCTGGCACATGGCAGGGATATCTATGAAGACTTCTTTAGCTCAGGGGTCTGTCACCCCACTGCCCTGCTTTCTGGAAAAGTCTTTCTCTGCAGGCGGTGTGGTAGATGTGCTTGGGCCCACCTCTGATGGGAGGGTGAGGTGGAGGGAGCAGAGGGCCATCTACCTCCTGCGCTGGGAAGCATGACATGCTGTCCATCCAGGCTTTCTCTCCCTCCATGTCCGTAGGTTGGCAAGGCCAGAGGCTTTCTCAAGAACTTTCTGATTGAACCCTTTGTCCCCCACAGTCAGGTATGTGTGAGGTGGCTCAAGCTGGGTCTTCTTTCTTCTGGAGTTTTGTGTTTGCCCGTCCCAACAATGAAGGGAGAAATCAAGCTGCTGGAGAAAAGTCAAAGGGACTTGAAGGTGTGAGGGTGCCGCAGAGCAGGGAGTCCAGAGATGGAGGCAGGGCTTGGTTTGCAGCGGGGAGGAACTGGGGCTGGTTAACAGGTGGGACTTTCCAGTGCTAGAATGAAAAGACTGGAAGGCCGGACCCCTCCCCCAGATCAGGTCACACTGGCAGAATCCCTTCATTTCTCTGGTCTCCAAGGAGAAGATGGTGAACAGGTCACCTCTGTGAGGTTCCCTGTTTAGAGATGAGCGCGCAGGTGTTGATCCCCTTACCCGTTGGGCTCTCTCTTTCCCTGAAAGGCTGAGGAGTTCTATGTCTGCATCTATGCCACTCGAGAAGGGGACTACGTCCTGTTCCACCACGAGGGGGGGATGGACGTGGGCGACGTGGATGCCAAAGCCCAGAAACTATTTGTTGGCGTGGATGAGAAGCTGAATCCTGAGGACATCAAGAAACACCTATTGGTCCATGCTTCTGAAGACAAGAAAGAGTTGAGTGAGAGGGAGGGCAGGAGGGTGGCAGTGGGGGAATGAGGAAGGCTGAACCCTTTGGGTACGGAGCAGGGAAAGCTGGTCTTCCCAACCTGGGCATCCACTCCCGGTCCCAGCATCTAGGTAGGGGGGTGGGGAGCTAGCAGTAGGCACAGCCCCGCCCTGGCCCTAGGAGGGGAGCTGAGGGCAGCAGGGGGGCCAGCTCAGACTGGAGGATGCCGTCAGCATCCCTCACCTCCGTGCCCCTGTCTGTCCAGCGTCTCGCCCACTAGCGCCGTTCCTGACAGCTGCTTTCCGCCTCAGTGGCTGAAGAGTGGTGTCCAGGGACTGGAGAGCGAGAGTGGGCGAATGCTGGGAAGTGGAGCTGTCGGGCCGTGAGAGATGGAGGGGGCGGGCGGGATGTGCTGCTGAGCCTGCTCCCTGATGGATTGACTGTCCCTCTCTCCTTGCCTCTAGAATTCTGGCCAGTTTTATTTTCGGTCTCTTCAATTTCTATGAGGATCTGTACTTCACCTACCTCGAGATCAACCCCCTTGGTAACCGGCTCTGCTGGGGTGGGATGCAGCAGGGGTCAGTTATAACAGTGTTCCAGTGCCTGTCGTAATCCTGGCCTTGACATTCCGAAGACCAGCCCCCCACTCGTAGAGGGCAGTGTAGCAAGTGTGTGCAGGGAGCTGTCTCCGGGCTCATTGAATGCAGACTCCTGTTTCTGAGCCCTCAGAAGACAAGGATGACTCTTCTTTTAACCACCTCCAGCCTCTTTCTTTGGTCTTAACTTGTTCTGTGTTGGGGAAGTCCTGGTTTGGATCTGATTGTGTGCTCTGTGGCTATTCCTGCCTGTGGGTCAGGCTGTTCTACCAGGAGTGGGGCTGCCTCTGTGCTGCCCTGAACATTCAGGCCCTTCTCTCTTCCTGGTCCCTCAAGAGGCCCCTTATCCCTCCCACTCCAGGAGTTGGTCAATCACTCACGCCAAGGCTGGGAAGACCTTGGCCTCAGCCTTTCACGCTGTGAGGGAGGCAGGCGGTGTGGGCTGGCTCTGGCCAAGGCTTTTCAGGGCAAAGTCTGATTCTGTATTCTAGTGGAGATGCCGCCTCTGTAATGGACCAGATGGCTGTGTGCTAACTTAATTAACTAAATGACCATGGGTGAAAGGGAAGATGGATGTCCAGTGAGGCTGCAGTGAATCCTGCTGGTTGGGGGCCCAGTGCACCCACAGCCTCTCACTGTTCCCCTTACCCCCACTGCCAGCAACAAGCCTTCCCCTAGCCAGGCCCCAGGAAGCCCAAATGTGCACACTTGGTGGGTGGGTGGGATATTCTGATAGCAGCCTCTACCTTAAACACTTTTTTGTTTTAATGGCAGGGCTGTGGATGGGTAAATGGCTAGGTATTTAAGGCACAGAGAGTGGCATTTCATAAAAATCCTCACACATTGCTATGGCAACTAAAACAGACTTTTCTGTCATTACCTGTAGGTCAGGGAGGTGCTGCTGGTCTTACAGAAGTCGTCTTCCCTTTAATGGGGGAAAGCTGTGTCTCCCTAAGGGCCATTCTGGTTTCTTGTCAAGCTCAGGAGCTGTTAGGCCTGGGTGGGACCCCATGAGAGTGGTGTGTGGGGAAGTCTGGAGGGGTTCGGAGGTCAGTGGTTGCCTCTGCCCGGGGCTGGTGTCTGATGGCCTTTGCTTTCCTCACAGTAATAACCAGAGATGGCGTATATATTCTTGACTTGGCGGCCAAGCTGGATGCCACAGCTGACTACATCTGCAAAGTGAAGTGGGGTGATCTAGAGTTCCCTCCTCCCTTTGGGCGGGAGGCTTACCCAGAGGTAAGGCTGGTTTGGGGAGGAGACAGAGGGTGAGGGGTTTGGGGAGAAGGTGACTAATTTCAGATGAGCATTTGGCCCCCCTTGTGGGTTGTATGTTTGGCAGGAAAGGAAGACCTAGAACCATTTAATTTTCTTCAAACCCCAGAGGAAGCAGGGTGGGAGTCAGCCAAGCCTCTGAATCCTGGCCAGAAATGCTTTTAGATTTCTCTCTCAATCAACCTCCTGGGTTCTTAACTTGTTATGTTGCTTCTCGATAATTCCAAGTGGCTCTCCCTAATCCTATAGGGGGAAGGTAGTTCTCTCTGCTGCTTGCTGAGAATTTTAATTGCTCCTTCCCATCCTATCCTCTGAGGTCCTCGCAACAGGATCAGGCCTGTTGATGCAACCCAGGCCATGGGAAGAGTCTGGGCTCGGGGGAGGGGGGCCTCTGATGAGCTTGCCACGCAGGTGCTGGGATCGGGGGTCGTGGTAGAAGCAGAGTGACCTAGTGAGGGTTGGGATTTGGGCAGAGGGCCAAGGACCTGAAGTCAGATGAAGGAGTTGTAAAGTGTCCGCAAGCGATGACTGTAGCCGTCGGTGGTTTTAGCACTTGAAGATGCCGTATGTTTTGTCCCAGGCACATAGGACCCTGAGCAACCCCTCCTTCCTGACCCTACTAAGGCAATTGTGACCTCTTCTTGTGTCTCCAAGGAAAGAGGAGGGGTCCTGGGATCTGGGACCTGGTGAAGGGGGCACTCCTGGGGCCCACCTGTTGCTCTCTGGTTCCTAGGAAGCCTATATTGCAGACCTGGATGCTAAAAGTGGGGCGAGCCTAAAGCTGACCTTGCTGAACCCCAAGGGGAGAATCTGGACCATGGTGGCTGGAGGTGGCGCCTCTGTCGTGTACAGGTAACTGGGGGCTGCTGAAGGGGCGGTGCCCAGGTTCACCCAGGGCCCACATGTGCATGGCCTGGATCTCAGTGCTTCTTCGGAGGGGCTCTCCAGTTTCTCAGAATGGCGCAGAGCAGGTGGACTCGTAGGGCTTCCCAGAGTGGCTCAGGGGCTCTAATGAGGGCTTACCCTGTACACAGTATCTCCTGCAACCTTCTTGTTTGCTTCAAAATAAAGTTATTTTTATTAGTTTTAATTCATATCATTAGTGATATGTGCTGTATGCAAAGGTACAACAAATGGAGGAAAGAACCAGAAAGTGAATGTTGCCTTGCTGTTCCCCCTCTGCCACTAGGTCAGCACAGTGAGCGCACTGCTGTGTGTCCTTCCAAGCATTTATTGCCCGTATGCGTATTCGTACTTGTACACTTTGTAGAAATAGTAGGATCATATTCTGTGCTGTTTACATAATTGGTAGTTTTTCACTTTGAGCACAGTAGACGTCTGCCCCTTTCTAGATCTGTAATCTGCCACATTCCTTTTCATGGCTGCATGGACTCTTCAGACTCTGGCTGAAGCAGTGTTACTTCTCCATTGGGCAGCCCAGCAGGAACTCCCGGAATGGGCAATTTAGTTTTGTGTCGGGAGGTGCCCCTTGTTCGTTTTACTTCCCATTGTCAGTCTAGGGCCCTACAGTGGCCCGGCTGGCAGAGGTCACTGCCCAGGAGAGTCTGGTGCAGCACAGTAAACCTTCAGGTGTGACTCTCCTGGGTCCGGAGGGTCCAGGGTCTGAGAAATAGGTTCCATAGACGGACTTCAGGGCTTTGGGGGTGACTGCATGTCCTCCTGGACACCAGGCTGCCACTCTTTGCCGCTGGAGTCAGAGCCAGCACTGACTACCATGTCTCCCCGGCAGCGACACCATCTGTGATCTGGGGGGTGTTGATGAGCTGGCGAACTACGGGGAGTACTCAGGCGCCCCCAGTGAGCAGCAGACCTATGACTATGCCAAGACTATCCTCTCCCTCATGACCCGTGAGAAGCACCCAGATGGTGAGACATACATGCTCCCTCCCCAGGGTGGCCCGTGTGCTGGTGTGGGGACAGATTTGGACTAGGAGGCACTCAGGTGGTGACCTTGGTCCTTTGCAAGCTGGGGCTAGTCATTTAGCTTCTGGGCCTTTGTTTCCCCATCTGCCCAGTGGGCTCTGGGAGGGCAAGGAGGTGGTGTGTGCACAAAGCCACATGAGCAGGTGTGGTGGCAGCGACTCGCTCTGATGGACTGCAATAAACTCAGCTCAGTGGCCCACCTACACATTGTTCACCCAGGCTGTGCAAGTCCCCGCTTCCCTTTACTACCTGTCCAGCCTTTGGGGACTACACATAACAGTTCCCTCCCTTGAGTCAGATAATCTGACATTCCCACCAGGAGTATCCAGAAAACAAGTTGGGTTTCTGATGCCAACTAGGAATGCTGTAGAGATAATGTGAGTTTGGATTAACCACCTGCATGTAGGTAATGGAGAGTCAAGCTGATATTTCTGAACAGGTATCAGGAGAAACAGGCTGCCCCACCCCACCTCTGCACTGATTCCTCCGAGCAGTGGGGGACCCTTGCTCAGAGTGGGGGGAGCTCCCTCAGGTGGATTTCTGTTAAGATGCTCAAGTCTACTTTTCTAACTCCTTTTTTTGTTTCTCTTACTGCAAACCCAGGCAAGATCCTCATCATTGGAGGCAGCATTGCAAACTTCACCAATGTGGCTGCCACATTCAAGGTAACCAGCTTCAGGGAATAACACAGTTTCTGGGGAATGTGGGCTTGGGGGAAGTGGGGAAGGAAGGTTTCTGAAAACTAGGTGTGAGACAAGCAGGCCCCCATGAGCTACCTAGTCTAGGTAAGGGCTCTTGATCCAGGTTTCTTTATTGGGGGTGAAGAAGACACTGGAATTGATCTGGGTCTTCTCCAAAAGGTAAAAATAAGGGAAGTGTTTTGATTATCTGGGGTTCTTGCTCATCCATCCTGTGCATGGGTCAGAGACATGGGCTCACAGTTGAAAGCATGACTGCTTGTCAAGAGGGATGACAGTTAACATGTTTTGAGAGTCATCCCCTTCAAAGCAGCCATCCCAGGAGGCCGTTTATTATTCTGTACTGTCAGATGCTCAGTGAGGCAGTTCAAGAATGTCCACCATCTTGTAGTTCCAGTTAAGTTTTGAGAATAATGAATAAATGTCAACCTTGAATGCCTGAGCTCTCAAGAAGTAGGGAACTGGGCCTCACCAGTCTTGCCTAAAACAGGGTCTCCCTAATTGGATCTGATTCAATAGAAAAATTTAAAGAGATGAATCTTGACAGCTCTATTTTATGTTCTGAGCAACCCTTTGAGAAAGGCAGCAGGAATTGTCTGTAGAGCTTCCAGTGAAATGCCTTGGGTGGTAGAAATTAGGCTCCTGGCCCAGTAATTATCCTCTGTCCTGTGAGACCAAACTGGTACACACCTGCCCATCCTCCTGTGTTTCCAAAGTTGATACCCATTGCAAGGGCTAGTCCCCTATTCACTTCAAGAAGCTTTTGTAGAACTTTGGCATTTAAGTAGACTATATCCTGGTACCTCTCAGAACTCTTGCATAGGACCCCGGCATACTCCCTCCCCATCCCATGTTGCAGTAAGAGAAGGCAAGAAAGACTGTAGATGGGGACAAAAGAGAGACCAGCAAAGGCCCACTAACTCCATACGTTGAGGGTGTCACTGCCAGATACCCAGACAGTCCCCTCAGCAACATTATAAGTGACCACTTGTCCTAGGCCTTTGGTTGCTAATGTGTAGTCCAGTCCACACTGGGAAAGTTCTTGACTTGGTGGCGCCTGCCATGCTTCACGAGGAGCAGCCCTTGTTCTATACACCTTGGTACGTCTGCTTATATGAATAACTGACTTATGGCTGCCTTGTTTTTAGTCATGTCTGTCATCCATTTGTGCTTCCAGGGCATCGTGAGAGCAATTCGAGATTACCAGGGTCCCCTGAAGGAGCATGAGGTCACGATTTTTGTCCGAAGAGGTGGCCCCAACTATCAGGAGGGCTTACGGGTGATGGGAGAAGTCGGTAAGAGGGGGGGCTTTTTCTCCCTCCCCCTTTCCTTTCTGGCTGTGCAGCTGCCTCTGCTTCTACCGTCTGCCCTCCCCTGACAAAGCACCCAACCTAAACTTCAGAGTGGGCAGTAAAGCATTTTCACTTAGCTGTTCATGGAACAAATATCGCAGAACCTGCTGTGCTGGGCACTGGGGTTATATCCACATAATCGATGGCTGAGTAGGTTGACTGTAATGTCGGGTTGTGCAAAGTGCCATGGAGGAAAACAGTGAAGGCATAGAGTATGTGGGAGAGGATGGGGCCAGTTTTAAATGGGGTGACCAGAAAAGGTGACATTTAAGTAAATAGCTGGAGGAGAGAAGGGAGCAGCTCAGTGGTGGCTGTCTGCAGAGGAGAGGGCAAGGTCCAGGGCCCTGAAGTGGGAGCATGCTGGGACCAGAAGGGAGGGCCGGGGGAGCAAGGGGCAGGGTGTTGGGAGATGGGGACAGAGGGGCAGTGGGAGCACACACGAGGCACTGGTACAGGTCCCAGGGAGCAATTGGCTGTGGCCCTGGGCTGGCAGGCACTGGAAGACTTTGAGAGAGTAACTCAATTTGACTTGGATTTGAAAGGGTTATTTTGGCCACTGGCAGCCAGGGTAGGAGCAGAGAGACCATGAGGAGGCTACACAGAGCAGTGGCCTGGACTGAGGGCAGGGGTGGAGGGAGATGTGATGAGCAGTCAGGTCCTGGCCACTGATGGCCTGGATGCTGCGGGTGCAGGACGGGGAAGGGTCCGGTAGCTGGCAGAACAGGAGAGCTGCCCTGTGAGGAGATGGGAGAGGAGAGGGTGTGGCATTCATTTTGGCTTCCTTTTTGCCTTCCACATTTTGAGTGTCTCCTGCAGGCTCATGAGTCTTCAGACTCAGAGCTGTCAAGAAGTTGAGGACCACATCTCGTCAGTCAGGACTAAAATACTAAAATCGGGTCTCCCTAAATTGACCTGATTGAACCTGAACCACATGTGATCAGGAAAGGGCAGCCTCTGTTGCTAAGAGCAGTCATGTGTGGGGCAGGGGTTCATGGGAAGTGCCAGAGGGGTGTCAGATACAAGATGCTCTTCTGAGTGAGTGTGCCCTCTGATTGGAGAGACAGAAGTGTTCCATCCTCCCATTTTCCATGGCAAACGCGCAACCCACCTAAATCACTTGACATGGTACCAAGTCCTAGTTTTCACCTCAAACTGAGTGCCTCCCTCAGGCTCAGCCTTTGGGGCAACACAGTGAATGTTACTCAGCCATCAAACTCAGGACATTCAACAAGCAAATGGGCTGGAGATGATGCTTCCAGATGGGGAGCTATACAGTGAGGCAGTCGAGTGAGGAAGTCAGGGAAGGCCTTTCTCCAGAGGTGGCACTGGAGTGTAACTGAGTGATGAGTGATACTTTGTGCAAAGGAAGGAAAGGGGCCACAGGCCTGGGGTGATGTGTGCGGGGTGTTTAGGAACAGTGGCCAGGCCAGGGAGGCTGGAGTGTGGTGACCGCAGATGCTGAGGGTGAGGGCTCACGGGCCAGGGTCCAGGGTGTGGATGGAAGGGGTGTGGTCTCTGGCAATGCAGTGGCCATCTGAGAGTGTCAGTAAAGCTGTTTCTTACTCTTATTAGCAGGTTGTCTGTACGAAAATTTGTTTGGTGGTGATAATGTGGCAGTTGGTTTATCCTGGATAATTGCACAGAAAGCTCCAGACATCAGGCTGGGCTCTGTAGGACGTTGCAAAGTCATGAGAATTTGGGCACCACTTTAAAGACTTGAATGATGGGTTTTGTTCCTTCCCTCACAGGGAAGACCACTGGGATCCCCATCCATGTCTTTGGCACCGAGACTCATATGACGGCCATTGTGGGCATGGCCCTGGGCCACCGGCCCATCCCCCACCAGCCTCCCACAGCAGCCCACACTGCAAACTTCCTCCTCAATGCCAGTGGGAGCACATCGGTAGGTGCTGGCTGTCCTCTGCCTGAAAGCCTGACATGTCGTCATTGTCACTCCCACTTCCCCCACCCCAGAACAGCTTGCCCCTCCTCTGTCCCTAGCCATCTGAGGGCAGCTGGGGAACAGGAGGGAAGGTAGCACCTGGTTAGTTTCTGTATCTCTGCCAGGTTTTTTTCTGTCCTAGTTAAGGTAGTGTAATGGAAAATCAAGGGGTTTTACATCAGACCTGAGTTCAAATCCTGCCGAGAGTGGGACGTTAGCAAGTGTTATACCCGCTCAGAGCTTCAGTTTGCTCGTTTGTAGCACAAGTACGATCCTAATTCCCATCTCAGGGCTGTCAGAACAGTACTTCAGGAAGCAGCTTATAAAGAACAGTGCTGTGCATAGTTCTTGCTACCTGGTTTCTTTGGGGCCTTAGGGACCAGTGGCATTTTTTTCCCCTGCTGCTACCTCTGATGCGCGCTGTCTTCTTATTCCACCCCAGACTCCAGCCCCCAGCAGGACGGCATCTTTTTCTGAGTCTCGGACTGATGAGGTGGCTCCTGCAAAGAAGGCCAAGCCAGCCATGCCACAAGGTGACTTCCAGGGGTTTCAGGCTCCCCGCTCCCCTGCTTTCCCTGGCCCCGCTGGGCCAGCAGAGGCGGTGGAAGACGGTGTAGATTTTGCCCTGAGCATAGGCATGATGCGTGGGGTGGGAAAGGGCAAGGGCCTTCCCCTTGGGCTCTCCTGGTGCTGTGGGTGGGTCACCTTCCTCCCCACTGTCTTCTCTTCCACCCCCTTACTTCCTGTCAGGGTGCATGAGCTGGGCAGGAAGGCTGTGGAGGAGACAGGCCTACAGAAGTGCCTGGGAAAGCTCTGGGAAGAATCTGGGAAGGTTTCTTAGATTTTCTTAATTGGAGAGCAGGAACCCAGAGCTCAGGATGGCAGAGCAAGCTCCCCTAACAGTAGTTCCCCCACCCCATCATCCTGGGGCTTTGAAAAAGACACTCCTTTCCTGCAAGCCCCCCAAAAGAACACACACCATCCACTGGCCCTTCTGTACTCTGCCTGCTTGTCTCTGTCCTCATTCATCCAAGACGTGATCTTTGCCAGCTAGCCCTTAACAACAAGCATTAGATAACCAGTGTTAGTTAACACGGGGCTCATGTGGCCTGTGCAGTCTCTTCTTAGTCACCCTACCTTAAAGCATTTTGTGAAAAAGCAATACTGGCTCCAGGCACTCACATTTGGAAGCCACTTCCCTGTAATCCCCAGACCAGCAGCTTTGCCCGCACTGACAGGTGCAACCCCACACTGACCTAACACAGTACTGTGCTACATGAGGACAAAACATGATTGGCACTAGGAGGGTGGGACTGGGCTGGCCGTCCCTCCATCCCTCCACAGGGCCTAGGGGACTTTGGTGTTCACACCCTCCAAGCTGTCATGACCCTGCTTCACTGCCCCCTTGTTCCTTTGCTCTTTCTTGTTTCTTCTGTGCTGATCAGCTCTCTCCCCTCTTCTGCTGGTTTTCCTTCTGTCTGTTGTGAAATAGAGACAGTGAGGGTGTAAGGCCTACAGGGCTTGTCCATGGGTCCCTTCCTTGTCCCCACCGTTCCCCTCCCAAGCCTCCAGCCAGCAGGTCACTCAGTTGCCTTGGTCATTTTCTTTGACAGATTCTGTCCCAAGTCCAAGATCCCTGCAAGGTAGGATTACGGCGCCCTGCCTCAGCTCCTGTGTGGCTTTGTTAGCGGGGTGCAGTCTTGCCGTCTGCTTTGTTTCCCTGCCAAGTCCTAGTCTTCACTGTCCCTCCCTTCTCACCCCTGCGTAGTTCCTGCCACCACTCAGCGCTCTCCTGGCCGCGTGGCTGGCTCTGGCTCTGGCTCTGGCTCTGGCTCTGCACCGGGGGTGGGACTGAGAGCACAAAAGGAGCAAGAGTCAGGCCCATGGCCTGGAGAGTGCAGTGGTGCAGAGGAGGGGGGTCATCCTGGGAAGAAGGGAGCCGAGCCGTGGAGACTGAAGGGGGTGGGGCAGAGAGTAGTGGGTGAGGACCACTGCTCTGATTCCTGGCTATCTCTCGCGTTGTCTTCATTTTCTTACTTCTCCCCCTCAGCCTTACTACTGCTGACTTCATTCCCGAGTCCCCAGTACCAGGGACAAGTTTAGATTTCTCTGGGATTTGCGGGCAAGACAGGGTAGAGCAATAGAAAACCCAGAAGGGTATGTACCAGTTCTGTCATGGGCTTTGGTTCATGAGGTCACTGTTTACAAGGGACATTTCTGTGCGGCTCATGCAAGCTCGTGTACGCTTGAACACACATTCATCTATTGACCAAGGCAATAGATTCATGGGTTCGAAGCATTAGGGCTTTAACTTTCTGACATTCAACAGCTGTGGGAAGTTTCACCCTGGGGAAAGGGGAGTCTTTTGGTAATACTCTGACCCTTTGCTAAAGGGAGGGGAAGGAGTTACTAGGCTAAGTCACAGATACCTCAGAGAGGCCAGCAGTGCAGCCCTTTGACTATCTGTCTTTAATTCCTACATTTTCTTCTGTCTCTGGCAAGATCCACGTTACCTACAAGACCACACCTGAGGCCTGAGGCTGAGGCCTCTGGAGAGAATGGCCCCTCTGTTCTGCAGAGAGCTCTTTCAGCCCAGGGGAGGGTTCATCTCACTGTCAGTCCCAGGGCTGGCACTGTGGGGGAGTGGCGTGGGGGTCCTCCCTGCTGCTGGCGGGCTGAGGAGCTTTCTTTGGCTTGCCTTCTCTGTGCTTAAGGAGGTGTGTGCTACTTCTTGCCTCTTTTGTGCTGCCGGTGAGGGTAGGTGTGTAGAGAACCCGGCTTTGTCCTGTTTCAGTCCTGTAGCCTCTTGGGTTGGGAGTTGTGTGTGTGTGTGTGTGTGTACACACTGACATTTGGTCTCGCCTGCGAAGGTAGAGTGGTGGGGTCACCCTGGCTTATTTTCCTCCCCCTCAGTTGCACAACTGAGCTGCTGCTTAAGCTAGTACATAATCCTTGCTCTGATGCTAGCTGACCTAGGATCTCTGTCATTTGGCATCTCCGGGCTTCAATTTCATGGGACAGGGAAGGAGGAAACTGGATTAGGTGGCTTCCTTTGTTTTATGATTCATGTCTCATTGGAACCCAGATGGGACTGGGTGACAGTAAATCTCAGGTATTTGCAGCATCAGGAGCCTTCAGTCCTGAGACGCCTCCAGCTGCGGTGATGTGCAGGCCTGTGTAGGGATGAGAACCCTACATGCCTTGGGGAGGTGATCTCTTACATTTATTTAATCAGACCTTTGACTTGGTTAGCCAAGCCTGCATTAGCACACTAGGCTAATTGATACCAGATACCACTGAGCTCGACATTGTTTCCCTGGGGAGCTGCACGCCTCCCTTGAGGACTGCTTTCCTCCAGCAGGACCTATGGGGAAGGGAGGGTCAGGTCCCCTGCCTGCAGGGTGGCAGAGGGGCCTTTCCCATCAGGCTGAGAAATGCACTTCTGACAGCTTCTCTCTCTTCCTTTGTCCCTCACCCCTCCCTGCCCACTGGAGAGCCAGTGCGGGAGCCCTGTTCTGAGCAGGAACAGGCCACCTGGCAGGGAAGGACAGGAGAGATAGCAGAGGTATGATGGGGGTGCCAGAGCCCAGACTCAGCCTCGGTTAGAGATAAGGCTGCAGCAGTCTCTTCACTGGACCTACACTGGCCGAGAATTGTGAGAATTCAGATCCTGACCCAAACTGGGTTACGCCTGGATTTAGAGGTGACGATTGCTGGGGCATTGTTTTAAAGTCCTGTGGCCACCAAAATTGGGAGTGCTTAACATTTTTTCCCAAGGACTTTAAGAATAATTTATGAAGCCTCCATTTGCATATAAACAGGAGCTGATTTTGTACCTTTCCTGTGAGATTGAGCAGGTCTTACAGGAATTCTGTGCCAGTGGGCCCGTTCTCTCTGCTCAGGGAGTCTTTTCTGTCTGTTGCTGAGCTGTTTACCAGCCAGGCAGGTCCTTTTCACTGTTTTCTACCACCTCTTCCAGAGAACTCGGGGCACCTCTTATCAGTTTCTCAGATTTCCATCCTCTGGATGTTCCTTTGCAGTTTTGATGAGCTGCCTTCCCTGAGCTGGGGCGTGGAAGGGTCCGGCAGGTAGCCCCCGCTGGTCTCCGGGCGTATCTGTTCTGGGTGCACTCGCTATGTCTTTGCCCACCAGGAAAGAGCGCCACCCTCTTCAGCTGCCACACCAAAGCCATCGTGTGGGGCATGCAGACGCGGGCTGTGCAGGGTATGCTGGACTTCGACTACGTCTGCTCCCGAGATGAGCCCTCGGTGGCTGCCATGGTCTACCCCTTCACGTGAGTCACACTGCAGCAGGGAGGCTGGAGATGGCTGCCACGCTGGATCTCACGAAGACAGAGCTTGGGGAGTCAGCTGGATTACCCTTTTTGCTGGGCAATCCATATTCCTGGGGGATCCTTTCCCTCAGAAGGGGAGTCTTTGAGGGCAGAGATCCTGCCTTTCCACCTTCTAGATAAAGCTTCTCCTGCTGGTTTACCCCTCCCGGCCCTGACAGGTTGGGGCTGCCCTGACCCCTCCTCTGCCTTCCTTGCAGTGGGGACCATAAGCAGAAGTTTTACTGGGGTCACAAGGAGATTCTGATCCCTGTCTTCAAGAACATGGCTGATGCCATGAAGAAACACCCAGAGGTAGATGTGCTGATCAACTTCGCCTCCCTCCGCTCAGCCTACGACAGCACCATCGAGACCATGAATTATGCACAGGTAGTCACTGGGGCCAGGCTGATGGGGAGCAGGAATGCCCCTGAATGGTGCCCCTGTCACTGCCTTCTGGGACAGAGGGCTTGGGATTCGGGACTGCTGGTGAAGGGTGAAAGTGGTTGGAGACACTTGCTATTCAAAAGACAGGGTAGTAACCCAGGGCTGGTGGGCTGGGTAGGGCTGCTACCAAGAGTCAATCAAGGTCATCTGCCCCCACCAGATTCTCTGTGTTTGCAAAGATGTCTTTAAAAAGAGAATCAAATGTATTTTCTTTTCTGTTATAAAATTATCGCATGTTTATAATTGGAAATAAATACCTTAAGTCTCAATTCCCAGAAACTCGGTGGCTGACATTTGACTATATCCTTATCCACATCCTTTTCTGTATTTCAACAGGTGGAATGATACCATATATAACTATTTTATAATCCGTTTTCTTCAGTTACTGTTTCAGTAAATTTTGGCAGCACCAGTTTCACTTTTTCAAGTCTTGGGGTGAACATCTTGGATTGACATTTGCAGATATCCTTAATTATTTCCCCAGCATGAGTGTCTAGAAGTCAACCTGCTGCATCAGATGTACAGGTTGCAAAGCCTTTGATCTGTCCTGCCTAGGTGCCCTCCAGAAAAGCTGTGTGGATGTAAACTCCCATCACTGGCTTGAAAATGGCTTTTCCCTGTACCCTCACCAACACTGAATGTATGGATTTAAAAAAAACATATATTTGACACAGTGCTAGACATTCTATTTAACTTGCATATCTGTGATTATTAACTGTAGCCATGGCCTCATAGACACCATCCCATCCCCGACCAGGGACCTGAAGCCCCCCCGCCAGGAGTTAAAAATCCAAGTATAGCTTTGACTCCTCAAAAACTTAACTACTAATAGCCTACAGTTGATTTTATGGTAGTAAATAAATGATCAGACAGACTCGATATCTACATATATTTTATGCATTCATGACATATCTAGCTTTTCTTTATTCTTTTCGATATTTCTAGGCTATGCAATTCTAATATGAGTTATTTTTAATTTGTCCCAAATCTCAAAAAAAATTTCCAGTATATTTATTGAAAAAACATCTACACATAAATGGACCCACAGAGTTCAAACCTGTGTATTGTTTAAGGGGCAGCTATAGTTAAGGTTTTGGGAAATATTTGCTTCTGCTTGGTTACCTGTGGTGTTAACCAGTGGGGATCAGTTTGGGGTGTCCCTACCTCTGGGAGAGATTTGGAGTGATCAGAGGCAAAAAGTTAACAGGGAAGGTCTGTTCTTATCCTATAGATCCGGACAATCGCCATCATAGCTGAAGGCATCCCAGAGGCCTTCACGAGGAAGCTGATCAAGAAGGCAGATCAGAAGGGAGTGACCATCATTGGACCTGCTACTGTGAGTGTCCCTTCTGGAGAGCCTTTTTAAGTTCAAGGCCATCTTATAAAGTTCTGGGCCCTCAGGAAGCCCACTTACTCTCTTCTGTCTTCCTCTAAGTTGGGAGGATTTAGAGAGTACCTTTTGAAAGTCAGGCTGTCCATATCCAGTTAATTTGTTAAAGGGCTCTCTCTAGTCCATATCACCTTTATAATTTCAAGGGGCTAATGCAAAGATTTTTTTTATTTTAAGCTTTTGTCCACTCTCATATAACCATGGCATAGTCTATGATTATTCCTTTAACTATAAGCCAAAGAAAAATCTACCTGGAGGCTTTATTTACCCAAAGGTATTCACAAAAGAAGAAATTGACCTGTGAATATTATTGTATTATTTGTTTTTACATAGTTGTTGCATTAAAAATTTGTCTGAAGTCATTATTGAATTAAGCAAGGGAACTTTCACCTCAGAGGCAGGGATGATTTTGAGCAGAGGCACACCTACTTTGTACACCTTTACTGGGTACTGTCTCCCAGTAGAGCAAAGGAGGTGATTTAACCCTGAGTATGTATATCTGAAACCGCAGTAATAAGCTAGGTTTTACAAAGAAGGCTCTCTTTTTTTTTTTTCTGTGTAATCTCTTGAGGGAGAGAAGAGCTTCTTCCCAAGCAGGAAACCCAACGTACAGGTGTTAGTTCTCTTGGCCGTTTTCCCCAGCCTGGCCAGAGTGGGTTGGGCAGATAATACTGGGCTTTGTGATTCTCCTGAGCTCTGTGGTCAGGAGCGCGTCCCTCCTCCCTGACAGCCGTCCTTGCGCCTGCAGGTTGGAGGCATCAAGCCTGGGTGCTTTAAGATTGGGAATACAGGTGGGATGCTGGACAACATCCTGGCCTCCAAGCTGTACCGCCCTGGCAGTGTGGCCTACGTTTCACGTTCGGGGGGCATGTCCAACGAGCTCAACAACATCATCTCTCGGACCACGGACGGTGTCTATGAGGGTGTGGCCATTGGTGGAGACAGGTGATTGGCTGGGGTGCCTGAGTGTGGCAGGCTGGGAGATGGGGGCACTGGATCCTCCAGTCTGCTCCCTGCCGCCGAGTTCCAGGCCAATGGGACTGTTGTTTAAGTCTATAAAATGGGGCATCTCTACTCTGTCTCAGGACTAACATGACCATAGAATCAGAAAATACAGGGAGAGGTGTTTTTAAAAGGTATTCGGGTTTTAGGGGTAATTCTGTTTGTTGTCTGAGTTGTGACCATAGGGAGGCAGCAGAGTGCAGTGGTTTGCAAGACCCCTTCTGAAATCAGACTAATTCAAATCCTAGTTTCCTGGCTTACCAGGGGGCTGTCCTGGGCAGGTTACTTACCCCCCACAGATCTCCATCGTCCCTACAGGTCAAATGGGAACATAACAACACCCACCTAGTGGGGTTGCTGGGAGGATTAAATGAGGTAATATACACATAAAGCAGCTAACAGGGCCTGGCACTTAGGAAGTACCCAGTAAACGTTAATTGTAGTCCTTATCAGTGATAGGAAAATCTCTTTTCCTTTACCCCCTACTGGTGCCACACTCCTGGCCACAAATGTGTGTGTGTTAGTGGGGTGGTTCCCATGCTCAGCAACTCTCTAAGTCTCTGCAGACAGCACCTGCATAGGCATCCTACAGCTCAACTCCATTGTGCCACTGTCTACCTGGACATAGCATCAGATCCCACAAGTTAAGGGCTCAGTCCCATAAGACGCCCCCCCAGCTGCAGATGTCATTTCCAAGTCTGAGCTTCTGGTACTCCTGAGCGACTAGCTGTGAACTGAGGGATTCCACAACCCCCTCCTTGGTTTGATAATTTGCTAGAATGACTCACAGACTCAGGAAAAGTTTACTTACTAGTTTACAAGTTTATTATAAAGGAACAACCAGATGGAAGAGATGCATAGGGCAGGGTGTGGGGGGGTAATATGGTGAGCTTCCATGCCCTCTGGGCATATCACCTGCCCAGCACCTGAGTGTGTTCACCAAGCCAGAAGCTCCCCAAACCCCCTTCTTTAGGGACTTCTGTGGAGGCTTCATCATATAGGCATGATTGAATATTGATTCAATCATGAATTAATAGATGGGGGGGGTGGAGTTGAAAATCCCAAGCTTCTAATCATGGATACGTCTTTCTGATGTCCATCCCGCATCCAGGAGCTCTGCAGGAGCCCACCCAGACTTGCCTCATTAGAACAAAAGACACTTGTATCACCCAGGAAATTCCAAGGAATTTAGGAGCCCTGTGTTAGATGCTTTTGTCACCCTCGTTGCTTAGGATTACAAGGGTTTTAGTAGCTCTGTGACAGGAATGGGGGTCAGGAACCAAATACATATTTCTTATTATTTTATCAGTAGTGTTCTCATTATTTTTGTTAGTGGCAGCACTGATCAGTAGGTTATCAATAGTGTTTTAGCTTAGAGTAATGCCTGGTACTTAATACTATGATAAGTGTTAGCTATCGCTATTTTTTATTATTACTTATACTATTACTACTGCCTACTATTACTATGAACTACTGTTTATTACTATTGTTATTACTGTTACTACTGTTAGACTCAGAACAACAAGCTGTTGGGAGAGTGAGTCACCTTGACAATCCCCCTAAGCTCTCCCAAATCATGTCAGATGGAATTCCTAGGGGAGGAAGGACTTCAGGGTGTGACCTGGCGCATCCTAGTCCCTGGGTGTTGCCTGACAAAGGGCTCCTCGTCACGTAAGTCTGGGCGTTATTGCAAGTTATACTGCCTTCCTGGGATTTATAATGCTCTTGTGCATATCAAAAGTCCATGAAGATCATCAGAGAGGTCTCCTCAGTCTTAATGCTTTTGCAAACTCATGTGATAGTAGGAAAAGAAAAACTTTATATAGACGTCCTTGCAGTAGTCTGCCATCCTGGGATATTGTTTGGTTCATTGTATTACCTGTTGCTGGGATAAAAAAAAAAATCCCCCAAAACAAAGTGGCTTCAAACAACAATAAACATTTATCCTCATGGGTTCTGTGGGTCAGGATTGAGGAGTAGCTTGATAAGGCAATTCTGGCTTGTTGATGGTGGGGTGGAAGGGGTCTTGTAAGGTTGCAGTCAGAGGTGAGCAGGGCTGCACCAGTGAAGGTTTACCTGTGGTTGGCGGCTGCTCTTACACGTGGCTGATAAGGTGTTCTCTGTGGGCTTCTTAAGAGAGTCCCAGGCAGAAGCTATTCTTTTTATAGCCCCTTGTTGGAAGTCAGTGTCATAGAATCACTTCTGTTCACATTTTGAAATTGAAACTAATCATTAGGTCTGACCTATATGCAAGAGGAGAGATGTGAGGTTCCACCTTTTTCAAAGAAGTTGTGGCCATATTTCAAAGCCACCACATGCGCTCTCCAGACATCTCTTACTGCCGCATAAAGCTCTGCGCTTATTAATTCCTCTTCCTTCCTTTCTCTTGTGCTCCATTTGCTAACCGCCCTTTAATCCTGAGGCGTCTCTGGACCCTCGCTGGGCATCCACACTCATGAAAAACCTCACAGTATTCCTAGTACAAGCGTGCTTCCCACACATACACACACACCTCCACAAGCCGCCTCCTCATCCTGTATGTTCTCCCTGCTCTCACCAGGTACCCTGGCTCAACATTTATGGATCATGTGTTACGTTACCAGGACACTCCAGGAGTCAAAATGATCGTGGTTCTTGGAGAGGTAAGTGAATTTTAAAAAAAGCTTTTTTTCGTTTCTCTCATTGTAGAAGTACTGCATAAGCTCAGTTTTTAGGAATTCATACATTTTGGTACTCCTACTGCCTTGACTCTGGGACTTAGAGGTTGTCATTGTTGATACTGCCGTGTTCCTGAAAAAGGAATTCTTGCCTTTCAGTGGCACAAGATGTTTTAGTGTCAATAAAGGAGAAGCTTTGTGCTGGTTAGCCATGTTTTTACCGGGTGGGCTAGATAGCTGGAGTAAAAAGTGCATTTTTTAAATTTGGGAGAGTTCTGTAACCTCATCCCTTGCTCGTGCCTCTGATCAGGTCTGATCCTAAATCATCTTGTACCTTAGATCAGGAAAGGGGAGTCCCAGGGGCTCGCTGAGGATACCCAGTGTCCCTTTCCAATGCTTCCTTGCATCCAATCTCAATCTTACGGTGTATTATTTGGCCAAAGCCCAGGTCCCCTCATTTTCTAGCCAAGTTGTAACTCAAAAGACACCTGATGGTTATGGCCACTGCCTGACTTGGGACAGATTTCCCTGCTGGTGGTGCTGCTCTAGGAGTAACCTGGGGTGCTGGGGGGTTCTGTTAACCTGTGGCCTTTTCCTTGTTCTCTTGTCCCTGGCAGATAGGGGGCACTGAGGAATATAAGATCTGCCGGGGCATCAAGGAAGGCCGCATCACCAAGCCCGTGGTTTGCTGGTGCATCGGGACCTGTGCCACCATGTTCTCCTCCGAGGTACAGCCAGGACAGGCCACTCCCAGACAGGGAGGCTGAGAAGGGGCAGTTGAAGTGAACCACGTGGTCCTCCTGCTGAGAAGCTAGTTCCTTCGATACATGTTTATCACTTGCTCTGTTCCTACAAGATCCAGCCAGGGCCCTGCTCTGTAGGAGCTTACATCCATTTGGAAGAGACAAACTCACCAGCAGATTAAGGCTAGAACAAGGCTCTGAGTCCCTACTCAGAATGGGGAGCAATCTACTGTTTGGAGGAATTGATGAAAGGGCTTCACAGAGAAGGTGATGTTTGAACTGCATCTTGACAGACTAGATGGAGTTTGCTGATCAAAAGCTAAGCCGAGGAGGGAGAGAACACACCCCAGGTGGAGAGCTGGGGGGTAGGTGGTGAGAAGTTTGTGTAGGGAGAGGCTGCAGAAGAAAGCAGAGTTTGCTCTGGACATGTGTACCTGATGTGATGCATGGGAACATACCGGAAGGCATATGTAAGTGCAGCATGGGAGACATGTAATAGAAGTGACATAAACACTCTGAGCTATCTGTCTCCTGCTGGGAATAAGCCAGTCTTCAGCCCATCCTCCAGCTAAGAGTCCTCTGTCTCAAAGATGGCCCCTCCAGGGATAATGAAGCCAAGGACACAAGCACTTATCACCGATACATTCATCAATAGCTGACCAGGTGCTGAGTGTAAGGCTTTGTCCTCATGCCTGTGAAGACAAAACTTGGCCATCAAGGCTTCCTTCAATAATAATAATCCCTACACTTAATCCCTTAATTCTTACTACCAGTAGGCCTGTCATGCTACTTTTTCTCCCTAGAATGCTTGCCTTTCCCCCTTCAGATACTTGCCCACCTCAAAGTGGCGGTATTTGTCCAACTGAAAGATGTACCTCTCCTTTGAGCCAGCAATTCTCATTTCTGTAAAGTTACTCTGTGGGTGTGTATGCAGAAATGTGTCAGTCTGTGTACAAGCATACTCACTGCAGTGATGTAATGGCAAAAAATGGAAACAGCGTCATTACAAGTCAGGAGGGGACTGTGTCACCATGGCACGACCATATAATGGAAAATCAGGCAGGCAGGCAGAAGAATGAGGTGGTTGTTGATATTCATATAGAAAGAGTTTAAGTTGTGTTAAGTCAAAGGAAGGGCAGGATGCAGTAAATGCTCATAATATGATTTTGTGTAAGTATGAACTGTGTGTGTGTGTGTGTGTGTATGTGTTAGTTCTTTTCCATATAAAAAACACCGTTAGGGGTGAGCACTACTTCCCAAGGCTTTAGAAGCAGTTCTTGGTGGATCTACACAACCAGGCAAGTCATTTAGCCTCTCTGCCTCAGTTTCCTGAGCTGTAAAATGGGGATGATGCCGTTGTGTGGCTTACATAAGAAAGTAACTGTAAAGATAATGGCACATTTAGGTCTTAGCAACTGTTGGTTTCCATTCTTCCATCCACTTATTCCATGAAGCTGTTCCTGATACTCTTTCTTCTTGGCTGCTCTTCCTCCACCTCAGTAGTCAAAAATAATGCCTCCTCTGCCTCCATTGTTTCTCTTAAACACATTTGCATTACCAGCCCTCCACCTCCCCACCCCGACTACGTGAGGGCATCACCTTTCTCTCTGTGTCTGGCCCGGTACTCATCATCACTCCCTGGGTAGGGCAGGTCCTCAAGGTGTTTTTCAATGGATTTTTTAAAAACTATGAAGTTTCAAGCATATGCAAATGTAGACTAGTACAGCGACTGCCCAGTAGAACAGTGACAGGTCACATGACCTTGCAGAACATTCTGCCTTGTAGAGAAACTGAGATAGCACACAACAAAATCTCCATCTATCAGCACGCTGAGACAGCTCCTCAGGAAAGCTGACTTAAGCCTTAGGGGATGAGAGTAGAGACAAGGGGGTATCGGCAAGCTGGCATTTTTCAGAAGTATGTTCCACGGAGCACAAGTGCTGCAGTGATGGCCCACAAAACTGACAGAAACCAACCAACCAAGCGGGAGTTTCTGTATGCTACGACCATGCAATATAAACTGTCTTCCTTGGTTTTTTGTTTTGAGAAACCTCAGAGTTAAAAAAATTTGCTTAACTTTCCTGAACCCAGCATTTTCTAAGTTTATGGGTGCAGAATCTCCCCTTCCCACCCGATCCACTGGCAACTGAGTCCTACAAAGAATGCATGGGGATCCCTCAGTTTTAAGACATGTGTTTCCAAGCTGTTGCTAACCAGAGCAGCTGTTGCTAACCTGACCTTTTCAACCCTTAAGGCCCCTTTTGTTATATGCAGTGATTAAGCACACAGTGAGAGGCCAAGGTACCTGGGTTCAAATGCTACTACATATTAGCTGTGTGGCCTCGGGCAAGTTACTTTACCCCTCTTGTGTGTCCAGTTCCTTTGTTATAGGAAAGCATGCTAGCTACTGAAAGATCAAATGAGTAAAACTCTTAGAAGAGCGCCTGGACATAGTGTTATTTAAACAGGTTAGATATTTCTTTTTTTTTTTTTGGTATCATTAATACACAATTACATGAGCAACATTGTGGTTAGTAGATTCCCCCCATTGTCAAGTCTCCCCGACATACCTCATTACAGTCACTGTCCATCAGTGTAGTAAGATGCTATAGAGTCACTACTTGTCTTCTCTGTGCTATACTGCCTTCCCCGTGCCCCTCCCCCTACATTATGTATGCTAATCATAATGTCCTTTATTCCCCTAATCCCTCCCTTTCTGCCCATCCTCCCCAGTCCCTTTCCCTTTGGTAACTGTTAGTTCATTCTTGGGTTCTGTGAGTCTGCTGCTGTTCTCTTCCTTCAGTTTTTCTTTGTTCTGATACTCCACATATGAGTGAAATCATTTGATACTTGTCTTTCTCCGCCTGGCTTTTTTCACTGAGCATAATGCCCTCTAGTTCCATCCATGTTGTTGCAAATGGTAGGATTTGTTTTCTTCTCATGACTGAATAGTATTCCATTGTGTATATGTACCACCTCTTCTTTATCTTCTTTATCAACTAGTTGCTATTCTCCATCCCCCTGACCACTGCCTGAAGGAAGCCCAGAAGAGGTGTTTGTGGAATTGGATGGCCAGGCTTCGTATCTTGCCTCCCATACACACCAGCTGTGTGACCTTGAATAAGCTCCTGAACTTCTCGGTGCCTCAGTTTCCTCATCTGTAAAACAGGAGTCATCCACTATATGTATTCCGTGAGCCTGCTTGAGGCCTGAATGAAGTGATTGATGTGGAGTGTTGAATGGGGTCCGTCTGTGATCAGTGCTGATGTTCCCAGGAGCCTTTGTTTTCTCTCTCTTGGGAATGGACGAGCCCTGTAGAGCCATTTCCCTTTGCCTTCCAGGTACAGTTCGGCCATGCTGGAGCTTGTGCCAACCAGGCCTCTGAAACTGCAGTAGCCAAGAACCAGGCTTTGAAGGAGGCAGGAGTGTTTGTGCCCCCGAGCTTTGATGAGCTTGGAGAAATTATCCAGTAAGTGGACCTTGGGGAGGATGCCAGCCTTCCCTTCCCTCTCCAGACCCCTCCTTAGGACAGCAGCCTCTTCAGCACAGAGGTGTCTGATACTCAGTCCCTCTCAGGTATCTAGCACAGCAGTACAGATAGTCCAAAATCTTTTCTTTTGAGTTTCCATTTTATTTAGTTTGTAGAAGCAGCAGTTGTAGGCCATTCAGACTTGTATTAAAACATGTTCAGTTTCTGAGCCTACCCACTTGGCCTGGCTATAAATGAGAGATGAGCATAGAAACATCTAGAAAGTGTCATCTCTAATTGAGTGAGAGAGTTTTTGGGTAACCTGTTGTCTCTTCCCATTCTGCCCCTTGGTCCTTCCTTGGCCTCCAGATTCAGCTTTCTTTCAAGCTGCATTTGGGAAGGGGAAGTTCTTGGCCAGAGCTTGTTTTGTTTAGTTCTCAGGAGCCCAGCTGGTGAGGTTAGCCACTGATGGGGGGTGTGGTACAGAGCTAGAGAGCCTGAGGAGCTGGGGTTAGATGGAGGAGCATTCTTGGGATGGCTTAGAGGAGCCCAGAAGAATAAAAGTGGATGTCTTTTCTCTCCCCTTCCTCTGCCTGCCAGGTCTGTGTATGAAGATCTTGTGGCCAAAGGGGTCATTGTACCTGCTCAGGAGGTGCCACCCCCAACAGTGCCGATGGACTACTCCTGGGCCCGAGTAGGTGCTGGGGGTGTCCCTACCCGTGTGGGCAAGGGAGGCTTGGGGGCTAAGGTGGTGGCTCTTGAGTTGATTCAGTACCAACCCCTGGAAACCAGGCTCACCCTGCTAGTTAGGGCAGCCATGTAATCACTGCTCCAGGCTCCCAAGCCACAGCCTGAGGGAGGCTTCTCCCAGGGCATCAAAAGAAACTGTGGTGGTTACCCTTAGGTTCCAGCCCCGCCTTGTATGCTGGAGCTTGTGAGGCAACCCCTTCTGACCAACTCGTAAAACAAATGTAGCGCCCAGGAGAGCTCAGGGCATCATGTCTCTCCCACAGCTTTGTGGCCTGACCTGGATGCAGGGGCTGGGGACGGGCACTGTCCCCTAGAGTTGTTTGCACTTGCTTGGAGATTTCAGGGTGAAGTAGAGTCTGCTCTGCCTACGTGTCTAAGGGGCATAGATGGAGGTTTTCTCATACCTAGGTTTTCTTAGTATACAAGAACTCTTCTAAATCAATTTTAAAAAGACTAATAACCCACTAAGAAAATGGGTACGAAATGGTCTTTCAACGTGAAAAAATTCTCAACCTCACACCTAAAAGGAACCAAAGTAAAAACTGATGCCAATTTGCCCGTCAGGTCAACAATGAAAAACATTTCTTTGATAATGTTGTGTTCACATGGGTTTCACAGTGAGGAAACTGGTGTGTTTGTTGTCGGACTGGAAATTGGCACCACCTTTCTGAAAGGCAGTGGGGTAATATTAGTCACATTTAAAAGTGCTCATACTTTATGGCTCAGCAATTCTCTGTCTAAAAAGCTACTTCAGAGAAGTGCTCACAGACAGACACAAATATGTTCAAGAGTGTTTTTAGTTGATGTTATCAGGAGAGGAATGGCTAAATTGTGGTGGTGTATGAAAGGACTATATAGCAGTTAAAAGGAGTGAACTAGATCTGTGTAGGTGCTGACACTTCTGGAGCTCAGATTTCACCAAATAGTATATGGGACAATATCTCTATGATGATTATGAAGAATTTGTGCACACAAAGAAAGCAACATGTATATTTATATGTCTAGGTGTGATATACATAAAAATGGGAAAAGGAAGGTCCATAGTGATACTCACTGAACTAACAAATATTAAGGCAGAAAGAGGTTTTTTATTAAAGTTAATAGGGGATAACTGAAGAAATGGGCTAAGACATAGTTGGCTAATGATACCCCCATTGTGCCTCAACTCTTGAAACAGATAAATGCAGAAGCTTGGTCCCCTCCCCTGGGTAAAGGCCACCGTGGGGGGGATCCCCCACTTCTGCAGGCATGTGCTTCATTGCATTTCGGTGGGGGGTTTAAAAGTTTTAAAGTGTGGAGCATTTAAAGTTTCCCTTTAGTTCCATCCTTCCATTTCTTAGCCAGGTGACCTCGGGCTAGTTACTGAGCCTCTCTGAGCCTCATTTCCTCTGCTCTCATGCCTTTGTAAGGTTAAGATGGACTTGTGGGTGTGAACTGCTTTGTGCCCTGCCTGGCTCTACGAATGCTCAGTGAGAAACAGAAATAGTGCCAGAGCTGAGCAGGTGCGATAGGCATAGCACTCCTATTTTCTGAACCTGAAATAATATAATAATAAAGGGGCTTTTGCACTTCTTTCTTGGGTGGAGTTAGTCTGAGCACTGTTGCTTGGCTGTTGGAATTAAGACTTTCCTGGGACACTTTGGTTCTGAGGGCACAGACAGTGAGGCAGTCCTGGAAAAATCTCTGTGGTCACCACAGCTGTGCTTCCCTCTGCCCCCATCTCTGCCCAGGAGCTGGGCTTGATCCGCAAACCCGCCTCATTCATGACCAGCATCTGTGACGAGAGAGGACAGGAGCTCATCTACGCGGGCATGCCCATCACCGAGGTCTTTAAGGAAGAGATGGGCATCGGTGGGGTCCTCGGCCTCCTCTGGTTCCAGAGAAGGTGAGGCACGGCGGGCAGAAGATGGCCCTGCAACCTGGAGTCAATGATTTTCCCCTGGCGAGGGAGTGGAGGTGGGCAGCCCTGGGGAATATGCCCAGGGCCAGTCTTGATGGCCACAGATCAATGCAAGGCTGGAGGAAAGAGAGACAAGCAGTTCTTGTGTCTTCAGTGACAGAAAGGCCAGTCCCAACCAAGAGGAGTAGGAAGCAGTGACCTCATCAGGGATCTTGATCGGCCCCTTTCCCTTTGGAACTTTTAAAGAAGTGGAACATAATGAATGCAGGCTTCTTGAGAGAACAGTGGGGCTTAGCTGGGGTGATGTGCATGGCTCTGGTGGCTTACAGAGCAATGGCCTGGTGGAGGTGCTGAACAGGCATTGTTTAAGTACCTTGTCCTGTGACATCTGTAAATTTTGTCTCATCAGCCTGAATGTTGGAAAAAAATGGTTTTCTCTGCAGCTCCCAAGCTTAGCTCACCCATGACATGAGACTGACAACTGGGCAAGGGGGCCATTCAGTATAAGAGTCACAGAGCCCTGGCCTGGGTGGTTCTGGGTAGAAGACCAGGCTGAAGTGTTGGTATGTGTCATGCCCTCCCCTGCAGAGAGCTGGGTCTTGGTCCTGCTTTGGCTCTTCCTGGGAGAAACTCACACACTGTAACACTTGAGCAGGTTTCCCTCCATCTGCTCTTGCAGACCCAAGTCTCCAAACTTTTTCCTTCATAGTCAGTTGGGAGGTTGAACACTGTGAAAGGGACGGGTCTTTACTCTCCGTCTGGCTCTCACGGGGTAGCCACAAATACAGGTCAAATGCTGAAACTCATGCTAAGAACTGCCTAAAGAAGAGATTTCAAACCCTGTTTGCTAACTCTTAGTGTATTTTATTTTATCTTTTTTAAAATGTTGAACTACAGTTAACGTAATATTTTATTAGTTTCATATGTACAACTAATGATTTGACATTTAATACACATGCAGAATGCTTACCACGGTGAGTGTAGTGACCAGCTCACTCTATTTTAAAAGTGGTATTTGATATCAGCAATGTCCAGAATGGCTCAAGAATCGGGGTTTTGCCTTGGAGCTGTATGATAGTATCAGACCTGGACGGGGAGATGGCTGCCCTACCTGAGTTTGAGTAACTTGTTCAGGGAGATGAGAGAGAGTCGGAGCACGGTCTTGCCAGTGGTGCACTGTTGAACCGCCCATTTTTGTTCCTGCTCTCTTCCTGACCCTTCATTTTCCTACCCCTAGGTTGCCCAAGTACTCCTGCCACTTCATTGAGATGTGCCTGATGGTGACAGCTGATCACGGGCCAGCCGTCTCGGGGGCCCACAACACCATCATCTGTGCTCGGGCTGGGAAGGACCTGGTTTCCAGCCTCACCTCGGGGCTGCTAACCATCGTGAGTGCTGTCATCCTGGTGGGACGCTGGGGGCTGTTCAGGCATGCCAGGTGGGTCTGCAAAGCTGAAGGAGACTTCCAGCTCAGGGCACCATGGTTTTCTCCTACAGGGGGACCGGTTTGGGGGTGCCCTAGATGCAGCAGCCAAGATGTTCAGCAAAGCCTTTGACAGTGGCATTATCCCCATGGAGTTTGTGAACAAGATGAAGAAGGAAGGAAAACTGATCATGGGCATCGGTCACCGGGTAAAATCGGTAAGTCACTGCTCTCGCTAAGGGACTAGATGTACAGACTGGATGGTGATGAGAGCATTGATTTAGTTGGGAACACCCAGGTTCTCAACTCCCAACATGCAAAGCTTTGGACATGTTGACAGATGCCAAAGATAAGGCCGCTTGTTTTTTCCATTATAATACAAATTGCCCTTGAACAGTTTCTGTTGTGTTCAGTTGCACTGTGAAAATGTGAGCTGGAAACTTTAGCTTCCAAAATGAACCTTACAGGAAAAAATGGATAAGGTCTGGGTTAAGGGGACATGTGGGGCACCTTAGGCTAGACAATGCTGCATGCTGCGGTAACAGACACCTCCAAAAATCCTGGCATCTTATAACAGCATGGGTTTATTACTTATGCACCCTATGTCCACTGTGGGCTGGCTGTGGCCCTGTTTACTGTCATCTGTGGTAAAGGAGCACCCCTCCCTGGGATGTTCTGGTCTTCTGTCAGAAGAAACTCTTAAAAGGCCTGCTTTGAAGTTGCACAGATCACTTTCACTCACATTTCATAGGCCAAAGGAAGTCACATGGTGAAGCCTGGCCTCACTGGGACAGGAAGAATAATAAAATCAGGGCAAACCTGATTGGGGGGGAAGGGGAGCAAGTATTTTAGTTAATAGAGTCTGCCGTGGGCCCGTAGTCCTCTGCAGCCCTGGTAGGGAGTTGTGATTAAAAATCAAAGGAAAAGAGAAGCGATACCAGCAGCTGCTCAGGGCCTTACAGGGACAGCTCCTCATAGGTCCCTTAGCCTCAGGGTCTTTGGCCCTGTAGCTATAGAAACCTCATCTAGTTGGCCACTCCTCTGGTCTAGGTGGGGTGTATGACACTTTAATGCAGGAGAGTCAGGCGTGTGATCTGGGATAACCCAAACAGTGGGCCCGCCCAGGATAGATCTCCTTGCTTGAAGAGCAAGGACTGTGTTAGAACCTGGGACGGTGGTCAATCTGAGGGACATTCCATCCAGGCTTTGCAGAACTTTGCTCAGCCACTGTGGCTCGCAAGCAGGTAACACCAATGCACAGCTCAGGAACTCATTCCTGAGATAACTTCAGACTTGCGCTGCCACACTCAGTCTTGGGCTTCTTCCTTTCAGAGTCCATACTGACCTATGTCTCTTTGCTAAGGGAGAAGGATGGGGAGGACACAATGGTCTGGGGATTTGGCATGTGCCTAAACCTCATTCCCCCACTGAGAGATTATTGCTTTGTGTGGGTCTCTTAACAGATGATTCATCTCCATTCATTGCAAGTTCAAAGTTTTTGAAATTTCCAGGGTGCTTTGCAGCTCCACTGCCAGCATGTGTTTGCTTAGTTACAAACTGAGAACTTTGTTGCAGCTTGACTAGGCTGAGGAGGCTGCTGAGCTGATAGGTAGCACGATTGGTGGCTAGAACCTAAGACTTCTAGCTGGAGAGTGGGCAAGCCTCAGCTCCCTGCTGTTTATTACTGTAGGATGCATGGCTAACTCTTCCCATCTCACTTTCTTGTTTGGAATATGAAAGAGAGAATTTATAAAGGTTATTTTAAGTGCTCAAATGAGATGAGAGGACTTCAAAAACCCTGTGTCCAAGGCAGTGTGTCATAATCTATGCTACAGGGGATCATACATGGATCAGGTCCCTGAAATAAACCTTGTGGACACTACATGTACAGTTGTACCCACCTGCCAGACAAGCACGAACATGTATCTTAAATGTGGTGTTAGGATGGGTTTTTCTGTAACTATGGGTCGCTTTCTAGATAAACAACCCAGACATGCGGGTGCAGATCCTCAAAGATTACGTCAAGCAGCACTTCCCTGCCACCCCCCTGCTCGACTACGCGCTCGAAGTGGAGAAGATTACCACCTCAAAGGTAAAAAAGAAAATGTCCCTAATTCTCAAATCATAGTTTTGGGTGAATTTTTTTAGAGAAATTGAGAGCCGGGTTGTATTTTGATGTGCATCTAACCTGTGTGTCAAACCTGTTTTTCTGGAAAGTTTTATTTCTGTTGCACAATGAAGTTCAACAAACATATACTAAGTGGTAACAGGTGTTGGGTCCTTTACTAGACTGGGAATTGAGCTAAGACCCAGTTTCTCCTAACCAACCAAGATAGATGTTTTTGTGAGAGGTTTCAAATGGACGTGATAATTCATAGTAGTATAGTAGTAGTGGTAATAGTGGGGAATTACAAGGAAAAAAAAAGAAAAATGCTAAATGCTTTCAATTTTTGCCTTCCCAGAAACCAAATCTTATCCTGAACGTAGACGGTTTCATCGGAGTTGCATTTGTAGACATGCTTAGAAACTGTGGGTCCTTTACTCGGTGAGCTCTGCAGCCGTTTTCTTCTTCATAATGTTGATCGATTCTTGTTGCTTCCTCCCAGCTCTAAAAGCCATGCATGCTCATTACAGAGGATTTAGAAAATATGGAGAGGTACAAAGAAGAAAACAAAAATTGCCTTCTACTCCTACTACTCAGAGCACCCCTCTGTTTTACTTTGGAATGAGAGAGAGCTTAGTTTCTCACTCCTGGACAGAAGTACTGTCTGAGAGGAGGAGGGTGGTCATGGGAGCCATTTTAAAACTCCAAGTTGATTGTTTCAGGGAGGAAGCTGATGAATATATTGACATTGGAGCCCTCAATGGCATCTTTGTGCTGGGAAGGAGTATGGGCTTCATTGGTGAGTTGTTAGTTGTTATTAAGTATTTTTGTCTGTCTGTTTTACCCCATGCTTCAGCTATGCCATTTAACTTATGTGGTGAGATTCTATCAGATGTCACATTGCCTTCATCATTGTTCCTAATCCTTCCTTTCTGAACTTTCCCCATATCTTTATCTTTCCTTTGTTCTTAGAAATGGCTTTGATTGCTAGCCAGGAAAAAAATAAATTTCAGGACTTCTCTTTTACCAAGGGTAGCATTTATGTGTGGAATGGATCTGGATTTACTTCCCCATTTGTTTGTATTAAAAAGATTTCCCTTCCTTGTTGTCTCACCACTAACCAAACTTTTAACAAACTCACCAACTCGTAACAAAAAGATTCATTTGTTCCATTTTAGGACACTATCTTGATCAGAAGAGGCTGAAGCAGGGGCTGTATCGTCACCCGTGGGATGATATTTCATATGTTCTTCCGGAACACATGAGCATGTAATTCAGCCAGGAACCCTACCATAAAGTGAAGATAAAAACTCTTCCCCCAGGACACAGCGTGCAGACTGCTGGCACTGGAGCTTGTTGTTGGCTGGGCTTGGTATACAAACAGCCGCTGGTATACAGGCACTGAGACAAACACCCACAGGCTAACACTGCTCAGTACACACAAAGAAGCTTGATTTTTTTTTCATCAGCATAGAATTAAAAACCAAGCCAATACTTGTGATATTTGCTCTGCCATCTGCTATATTTATTGTATAGAAGGATAGTGTTTTTCCTCATTAGGGTATTATGATGTTGCTTTTTTTTTTTTTCCCTTGGAAGAAGAGAATGAAGCTTAAGACCTCAAGATACTATACATTTAAAGCACCCCTAATGTCTTGTTTTTTCCACTTCCCTTTCCTCCTTCTGTAACCTGAAGAGTATTGTATTAATCTGATTTTTAAGGATCTTTTATATGTTATGTGTAAAGAGTTTGTTTGGTATTCCATTGGAACATTCTGTGTTACAGTCCAAAGTCTGATTATGTTAGGAGGTTTGGGACCATTGCATCTTTAGCCATTGTCACAAAATATGTGGAGTAGTAATTTAAAATGTAAAGTTGTAACATACCTATGTTTAAAATGGAAATGCAAAGCAGAAAAGCTGTGAAATGTCTTGTGTTCTCTGTATTTATGCAACTGACTCATCTGTTACTGAAGTGTGGGTCCAGACTGGTCTCCAGCCAGTTTGTATCTGTATCCATGAAAATTCTGGGCAGCTGCCAGCTCAGTCTCTTCTCTGTATTATCATAGGTCGGTTTAAATAAACTCTGTAGTAACAATGAAGGCATACTGCTTGCTGTCTTGTGTCATACACCTGCATTCCTTTGAACTGTACTTCCTAGTAGTTTTACTACATGTAGTTTTAAAATTCTTCATCTACCTCTTCAAAAACAAAAACATGAACTAATCAAATTACTATCTTCAAAAACCTACAGTCTCCCCTAAATCTCCAACTCTCCCCTCAGTGAGTGGGCACCAAAGCTCTGCCCACACTTGGGAGTCATCTTTTCCTCCACTTCTCTGCCTAGTTGCCAAGTCCTGTGGACTCAGACTTTATCCCTCTGATCTAGCCTTATCTGGTATGCTAACCAGTGGCCCTAGTTCCACTTTGTCTCCTTAAAATCCATTCTCCACACAGCCACCAGCTGATTGAGCTGTTCCCTTGCTTAAAACCCTAAAGTGGCTTTTATTAACCTTTATTTAATAAATATGTTGTATGGAACTATGGACCAACCACTACGTAAAGCACTTGACAAGCACCTCAATTCTCAGGGCAACCTTCCAATGCAGGTATCATCCCATCTTCAGAAGCTAAATCAGTTCAGTTCATCCTCATCCACTTCACTGGGCTCGGTTGTAAGTCTTTTATAATTTTTACTCCAAAGCCATTTTAAAGTTTAAGTAAAAATCCAATGTTTGCAACCCTAATGTAAGTCTGGGGAAAGGAAATCCTGGGGCAAAATACCTCTAAAAGCCGGTATCAGTCAAAGGGAGAAATAAAGTTTAAAATCCGTTTATTGCTTACAAACTGCAGTCCAGGGCCAGTTCTCTCCTGCTCCAGCAGAAGCAAAACTGGCCCTCCGCTTCACCTCTCAGGTACAGGTAAGCCCTCAGTTGCCCAGGTAATTACCCACTGATATGGAGATGAATTTCTCTCCACCCCTGAGGAATGATGCAAATGCACTAAAGCCATACCTTCTTTCCATCTCTGAATGCCTATTGATATGCAGATGTACTAAAGCCAGGCGAGATATTCTGGAAATATTACCATTTAACCCACGCCGAGACATTAGCAGGTGACGGTCTAAGGTGGCTTTTGGTTGACAAAGTGACAATGGAGAGCATGCTACTCAGGGGAAGCCGTCGTCCCACCAGCCTGTGGTGCGAGGCCTCCGGGAAAGCAGTCTTAATGCGTAAAGTACCATTCAAGCTTAAAGCACCGGCCAGATCCCGGCGAGCGGGGCGGCGCGTGCGCACAGCCCGCGCCGCCCGGCTCCGCCCTGCGCCCGCTATTTATTCCCAGAATCCCTCTGTCGCACCAGAACAGTCGGATCATTTCGGGACTGCGGTGCTCGGGCGCGGCGGCGTCAAGATGGCGGCGGCGGCGGTGGCGGCGGCAGCCGCAGCGGCCGCGGCTGCATCTCTTCAGGTGTTGGAGATGGAGAGCATGGAGACCGCCGCCGCGGGCTCGGCGGGGCTGGCCGCCGAAGTCCGAGGCAGTGGCACGGTGGACTTCGGGTCTGGGCCCGGCATATCTGCAATGGAAGCGAGCGGGGGCGATCCGGGCCCGGAGGCCGAGGACTTCGAGTGCAGCACCCACTGCTCGGAGCTGTCGTGGAGGCAGAATGAGCAACGGCGTCAGGGGCTCTTCTGCGACATTACGTTGTGCTTCGGCGGTGCCGGAGGCCGCGAATTCCGGGCCCACCGCTCGGTGCTGGCGGCCGCCACCGAGTACTTCACGCCCTTGCTCTCCGGCCAGTTCTCCGAGTCCCGCTCGGGCCGGGTGGAGATGCGCAAGTGGAGCTCCGAGCCCGGGCCCGAACCCGACACGGTGGAAGCTGTTATTGAATACATGTACACCGGGCGCATCCGCGTAAGCACGGGCAGTGTGCACGAGGTGCTGGAATTGGCCGACAGGTAGGCGGGGGAGGCGGGATGCGGAGGGCGGCGCGCAGGAAGGTGGAGATGCTCTCCCACCGAGGGCCGCATCCAGGGAGCGGGCAGAAGGCGGGGACGGTAGTGCCTACGGCTGGGACTCGAGAGAGACCGGAGGAAATGCGCCCGTTTGATACTTAATGAGCGCCTGCTGTGTGCTGTGGGGCAGCCACTGCGCTGGGCACTGACAGCTACTGCCCTGGACACTGGGCGCTGAGGCTGCAGCCTGCCAGTCTGGCGGGGGCACCCTGCTCTTAGCTGATTCCAGGTGGTTGGACAAAGGTAGTGACAAAGAAAGCCCTAGTGTAAACAAGTGATGTTGTGATACTAAAAAAAGGATGAAAGGGTAGAGGAGAGGATGATTGGGTAGAGGAAAGACCTCTCTGAGGAGGTGACATTTAAGCCGACCTCTTACCGGCAAGGAAGAACTGGCCGTGCAGAGATGGGGAATGAACATTCCAGGCAGATAGCACAAAGGCCCTCAGGCAAGGTCTAGTTTGGCTTGCAGAAAAACTAAAAAAGAAAAATCCTTTGGGGCTGGATCTAGTGAAGGGGAGAAGGGTGTGTGAAATGCGTTGAAATGAGTTTGGATTTCACTGTGTGGTTGGGAAGCAGGGTAAAGAAACGATCTAATTAAAATGTTTAAAAAGATGATTCTGCTTCTGTGAAAAATAGATTGTAGCCAGCAGGAATGAATAATCCAGAGACTGATTAGGAGGCAGGTGAATGCCATTTTCAGAGATGGGGAGGAGTCTGGGCAATATTATGTTATAGATACCTTATTTTAACAAATACCTATTGAGTACCTATTATGAATCAGATCAGACACTGGATTCTAAAGTGCTGGGGATTCAGCGGTGAACAAAACAGAAGTCTCTTTCCTCTTTGCACTGGTAGATGGACAATAAATTAAGTAAAATACATAGCATGTTGGATGATTGCTACAGCTATGATGACTAGTAAAGCATGGTGGGGGCATATAGAAAGTGCCGGTGGAGAGAACCTGGTTTTGTTTTTCTTTTTTTAACTGGATGGATAGAGAATGCCTAATGAAGATGTTTTGCAAAGAACTAAAGGAGAAGTAAAGAGTGTTTCAAGTAGGGGACACAGGTATATAGGCCCTGAGATGGAGCTTGTCTGGACATTAGAGAATAGGAGGCCAGTGTGGCTGTATGAAAGGATGCAGAGTGAGAGGAGTAGGAGAGGCCTCAGGGTGTTAATGAGGATGGATCCAGATCCCAGAGAGCCTTGCCAGCCTGTGGAAGGACTCAAGCTCTTACTCTAAATAAGGTTTGGGGCAGAGAAATGATGATGCAGTCTGATTTGAAGAATCCTGCTGTGGTAAAACAAGGATGGGGCAGTGGGGAAGGGGTTGCAGGGACAGAGGCAGAGAGACTAGTTGGAATTGTTGCAGTAGTGGTGGAGGCTTGGACTGAGGAGGGAGAAGTAAAGGTGATAAGAAGTGCTTCAATTCTACATATATTTTGAAGGTAGAGGAGGTAAACTTGCTGATGGCTTTCATGTGGGATATAAAGGAAAGGACTGTTAGTGTTTTGACCCAAGGAATTGGAAAGATGGAGTTATTACTTTAGTAAGATGTGGAAGACTGCAGGAGAGCAAGTTGGGGAGAAAGAGCAGGAGTTTGGTTTTGGCCCAGGAGATACCTGAATAGGCAGTTGGATATCAGAGCATTGGGAGCTAGAGATTGGGAGGAAATTAGTGTGTATATGGTGATGAAAGCTATGGGACTGGATGAAATTACTTAGGAAGAGAGTGTAGATGGAGAAGAGAAGAGGCAGGACAGAGCCCTGGGGTTCTCCAAAATGTTAAAAAGGAACCAGCAGAGAAGGCTGATCTCATGGAAGCATTGGAAGAAAGTATGTCAAGGAGGGAGTGGCCAATCACATCGACTCTGACAACCATAAGTGATCATTAGGTTTGGCAATAGTAAGAGATCTTTGATGGCATTGAAAAATACTATTTAAGTCTTGCTATAAAGAGGATCATAAAAATGATACATGGAAATGTTTCAGGAGGAGTCAACAGAGAGGTCTGTCTTTCTCCACCCTCTAAGATAGGAGATACTAGAGCGCATTTGTGCACTGATGAAAAATGCATCAGTGGAAGAGGAGAAATTGATGTTATAGGAGCAGGGGAGTAATTGCAGGATTAAAGCCCCTGAAGCCAATAAGAGGCTAGAATCCAAATATAAAAATGGAAGACTAATGGTGTGGGAACCGAGAGTGTAGGGTACAGCTGCAGGCAGATGAGTAGTGGGAAGATAAAGATCCCACCTGATTGTTTTCTCAAAGGGTGAGGCTGGGTCATTAGAGGGGCGGGTATAGATCAGCGATAAGGGATAAGGACGTTTGGTGAATGAAAATGCATAGAGAAGGGCCATTGCTCTCACTCAAACTATGTTTGCTTCTGTCACGGGAGCTCTATTTTTCAGATTTGCCACTGCTTTGTAATGGAGTTGGAAGTGTGGGGAGAAGAGAACTCCCAAGGCAGTTCATTCAGAACTCTAACTTCTGTCCATCTGCCAGCTGCTCAGCAGCTGCCTGGTGTTAGTCACTGCTCTAAGTGCCCTGCAACCATCACATCTAATCTTATCCATCTTCTGAGGCTTGATCCCAGTCCCTACTGCCACCCTTCACCCCTGCCCAGCCCCCAACTCTGTGGATCATACCTACCTTCCAGAGCACTTACAACATTAAGAAATCATAAGAAGTTCTCAGCCTAATGCCCATCGCATGGCAAATGCCTAATACGTGATAACTATTGTTTTCATAGAGCAGTGTTTCCAAACACCCTGTTCAAGGGACTGTGTGTCAGAATTACCTGGGTGCCTGCCAAAAATAGGAGCTCTGGTGGGGAATGGGGACAGTCTAGGAATCTAGTGACCCTGGCACCCAGACATGGTTGAGAGCCACTAGAGCTTTTAGCATTCCACCAAGTCTTTGCCTTGTTCCTAAGATAGTGTGTTCCCTGAGAGGGTGGAAGGAGCCTGTCTTATTCACCTTTATGTCACAGATAGTTGTTAAGTGCAATAACCATAACCAGTAACAGATGGTTACTTTTAAACTGAGAGAGGCCTGCACTGATGAAGTCATCCTTACATTGTTTAAGGTTCTTGGTTCTAGGAATTTATTCTTTTTTAAACAGTGGCCTCAAATTGGCCACCCTCGGGGCTGAATTATGTCAGGTTTGTGGATTTGACTGAAACTGTTGTGGTGTTTTGTTTTGTTTTTTAATTTAACTTCAAATGATTCAGGTGGGTGTACAACTTCTAGTCAGCTACATACCAGATCACTTTCTTTTTTAACCTGGACTGTCCTATGCGTGTGTTTTTTATTGTTGTTGTTTTATTTCCTGGCTTCTTCAGATGCCTGAAGTTGCCTTGCCACCCCTCCTTTAATGAGGACCCAGCTTGGGCCAAGGCCGCAAGCACCATCCCCTTCCTCCCCTCACTAGCTGCCCAGACAGTAAGCCCTGGTGAAGACGAGATCAGAACCTCTGACACAAAGCCTCCACTGCTGTTCCTTCTGGTATTGGGGCAGACAGCCTCCCAGGACCCGCAGCTTCTGTACTGTCCAGTCACTGCTTAATAAAGTCTCCTTCCAGAGACCTACCCCATCGAAGAAGAGGCTGGTGACTGGCAAGGGATTAGGGCAGGACGGCATAGACAAGTTTGGATTGGGATTTGCCTATGCCAAGGACGAATTAAAGTGAAAATTAAGTATGGGACTATTGTACTCTGTTAAAGAATGTGTTCCAGAAAACCCTGTAATTAAAAACAATTTTTTGTGTGTATGTGTATTATGTATATATACTATATAATTATATATAAACTATATAAATAGTTAAAATAATATTTTATATATGTCTTAAACATACTTTTCAGCATAATCCTTTTTAGTTTGGGAGGATTTGCTTTTTCTTTTTTCCAATTGTACATAAAGCGAGAAGCTTGCCATTTCAATTTGTATAATTCAGATGCTCTCAAATGCAGCCACTAAAATTGCACATTTGAAACTTCTCTTTCTTGATTTTAGGTTCCTATTAATTCGTTTAAAAGAATTTTGTGGAGAATTTCTCAAGAAAAAACTTCATCTCTCTAATTGTGTGGCCATTCATAGCTTAGCTCACATGTATACCCTGAGCCAACTTGCTCTGAAAGCTGCTGATATGATACGGAGAAATTTCCACAAGGTAATTCAGGATGAAGAATTTTATACTTTACCTTTCCATCTCATTCGAGACTGGCTGTCGGACTTGGAAATTACGGTTGACTCCGAAGAGGTTCTCTTTGAAACAGTATTGAAGTGGGTTCAGAGAAATGCTGAAGAGAGAGAGCGATACTTCGAGGAACTTTTTAAATTGCTCAGATTGTCCCAGATGAAACCTACTTATCTTACTCGGCATGTCAAACCAGAGCGATTGGTCGCCAATAATGAAGTGTGCGTCAAGTTAGTGGCTGATGCAGTGGAGAGGCATGCTCTGCGAGCTGAGAACATGCAGTCTGGTACGTTCCAGCATCCTGCTGCTCATGTCTCATTATTACCGCGCTATGGGCAAAACATGGATGTGATCATGGTGATTGGAGGTGTGTCAGAAGGGGGGGACTATTTAAGTGAATGTGTGGGATATTTTGTTGATGAGGACAGATGGGTAAACCTGCCCCACATTCATAATCACCTTGACGGACATGCTGTTGCAGTAACTGAATCCTACGTGTATGTTGCTGGATCAATGGAACCAGGGTTCGCTAAAACCGTGGAAAGGTATAACCCAAATTTGAATACGTGGGAACATGTTTGTAGTCTGATGACAAGGAAGCATTCTTTTGGGCTAACAGAAGTCAAAGGGAAGCTCTACAGCATTGGAGGACATGGCAACTTTAGTCCCGGCTTTAAAGATGTGACTGTTTATAATCCTGAACTTGATAAATGGCACAACTTGGAATCAGCACCAAAGATTCTTCGAGATGTGAAAGCACTGGCCATTGAAGACCGGTTTGTGTACATTGCTGCCCGCACTCCTGTGGACCGGGACACTGAGGATGGATTAAAGGCTGTAATTACTTGCTATGATACGGAGACTCGACAGTGGCAAGATGTGGAATCTTTGCCACTTATTGACAATTACTGTTTTTTCCAAATGTCTGTGGTCAATTCAAACTTTTACCAGACAGCATCATGCTGCCCTAAGAGTTATTCTTTAGAAAATGAAGAGGCAGTAAGAAAAATTGCCAGCCAAGTTTCAGATGAGATCCTTGAAAGCTTACCTCCAGAAGTCCTAAGTATCGAAGGAGCAGCCATTTGCTATTACAAAGATGACGTTTTCATTATTGGTGGCTGGAAAAACAGTGATGATATTGACAAACAGTATCGGAAAGAAGCCTACCGATACTGTGCTGAGAGAAAGAGGTGGATGCTTCTTCCTCCCATGCCACAACCTCGCTGTAGAGCCACTGCTTGCCACGTGAGAATCCCTTACCGGTACTTGCATGGCACTCAGAGATATCCTATGCCCCAAAACTTAATGTGGCAGAAGGACCGGATCAGACAGATGCAAGAAATACATCGGCATGCCCTAAATATGCGGCGAGTGCCAAGCTCTCAGATTGAATGCTAGATTCTCTAATACATGCAGCCTAAAACGGTTATACCTGTTTTGTGAAGCTGAAGATACCTAGACTGTTACTTGAAAATGTATGTTGATAACTTATTTTTTACCTGAACTGATTATTGCCCCATGTAAAGGAAATGTAGTTAAAAAAGAAAGAATGGGAAATTCAATTCAATACATGGTAGTTTTTGTTAGCTTGCAGGCTTTTTCTGTCTTTAGTTTGTGAGTATGCACTAGCTAAAGAAGATCTTGTTAAAGACAAGTGGAAAAACCAGGTGTAGTTACTTGACTTTTTCTGCCAAGTTATAACTCCTTTGTCTTAGGGACTTCAGTTTTGAACATGCTTCAAGTGCCAATTTTATTTGCACATTTACTTTGTTGTTCCTTTTCATTTTTTCTGAATGGTTATTTTCGACAAGATCAGAATTTAGGCAGTGAGTCCTCATGCAGGAGGTATGTGCAATAGTGAGACTGAAATTTGAAAAGAAAAAGCACAATTTTTCAGCAAGGTGATTTCAGATGTTTGCATTGATATTTTGTTGTATGTATTTATCTAGAAATGCTATTTTGTTTATTTTTAGAAGAAATGACTGATGAGAAGTTTGTGATTGGCTCATGTATTTTTTTAAATTTTCATTTCTTTAGCAACCGTTAGAGACTTTGGGCCATTGCTCTGAGATGATGGTAGTTGGCAAAAATATCAATCTTTAGCAGATTGATAAATAGAGGAAGTTATGTATGTGTAATTTGTTACTCTAAGAAAAATAGCATTATTAGTGTAGTCTGAGAAATCAAAGTCATTAAAATTTCTTACTTTTTCAGTTGTAGGCTTATTTGAGGACAAGGTAGTATAAATAATGCCTATGACAATCAACATTTAATGCCTTCAATTTTAAATTTTTCTCTAATGCATATGGTATAGAATCCTCATCATTCCTTTCTAAAAGAAACTTTTTTAAAAACGGGAAGTAACAATTTAGAGAAATGTTGCTAAAGAGAAGCCTTATTATTTCTCAGCCCTGATTGTTATATTTTATCTAGTTGCCTTAGACCTCCATTGGAACTTTGAGCCTCAAGTACCAAATTTAAGTGTGTACTTATGGCTCTTAAAAATGTATTGATGTAGTTATCATTTATTTGTATGCATTCTGACTTTTACATGCTTCCAAGCTTTATCAAATTAGCACTCAGTTAACATAAAGAACTGCTCTAACAGTTTACAAAGTGGGTCCAGTATATTTTTCCTGTTTCTTCTGGAATGTCTCAACCTTCTTAGAAATTACAAAATACTGTTCTAGAGGTTGAATTCCAAGTCCAGTGATTTTTTTTTTCCCCTAGACCATTATAGGTAACTACCTTATTAGTTGTATTAAACATGGAAAGAAAAAAGCACATCTAGAAATTTTGGCTCCCAATTTGCTGCAGGACTATTATTATATTTAGCCCTTGGGCTATCTACTAAGAACTTTCCTGAAATTTCTAAATTAGTGACCCTTAGTAGAACAAAGTTTTCCAATAAATGTGTTGGAAATCTGCTTTAAAACCATTTAATTTAGACTGGAATGGAGATGAAAAACAGTTAAATATCTGTATGAGGATATATTATCCTACCCTACCTCTACCATTTTCTCAATTTCCATTTATTTGTAGTTATTTTAATAATAGCCATTTGGTGTCTGACAAATGCTACTTGTTAGTAGTGAGAGGTCTGCAACTAAGACAGAAAAGCTCATTGAACTCACTTGTCGTTTTTCTCTGATTGACTGCTAGCAAACTCCCTCTCCTTGTTGGTGGTGAAGTAATCTAGTAGCACACTAGGAGGCCAGTTTCTTTCCAGAAGGGTGTGATGTAAGGTTTTGGGTGGGTTTTGTCTCAACTGTTGTCTTCTGAGACGATTATCACCAAATTATTCAGAAGATTGTCTTTTTCTCACAAGATATGACAGAAATAACTCCTAAGATTTAGATACAATCTGGTTTGGAGAACTTAATTGAAAGTGTTGTTTTTTAACTCAGCAGGCAGCCTAGGCCAAGGCTGAAAAGAAGGGGTAAGTCCTTCCTTGCATGATGCCGTGTGTAGGTTTTCCTGACCTCTGAGTTTCTCATTTTCATATTTGAATTCACATGTGTGATTTCACATCAATAACGTGTGTTTCTGAAATATCCTAACTAACTTGTTAATAAGGAAAGAAACCAGATTCCAGAATTCCTTTAATCTGTTCAAGGCTGACATTCTGAAATTCTAAACTGGAAATAACTTCTGGAGTATTTGAAAAGGTTCTTACTTTGATGACCAGCCTAAAATGGCTCTGTGGGAAAAAAACTTCCTTTAAGATTGTGTTTGGTACTTTATGCAGTTAAAAATATGGCTTTAAAAAGACAGTTTACTGTGTATTCAAGCAAACCTCCTTTTGTTGCTTTTGTTTCATTTTGTGGAAGGAAAAGAAAGGAATTGATTATACCAAAAAATAATAACTATGTCTAACTTTGAGTGAGGTTCCTTGTATCTTAGAATGGATATCCTCTATCTCTACCTACCCAACCATGGTTTTAAAAAAACCCAGCAGTATATATTGGGAATGTCAGTCATGAGCTTAGTGTCACTTGCAGTTGTTTGCATGATTAGTCTTGTGTATCTTGATAATCCACTTTGCTTACGCTGTGCCAAATCAGAAATACTTTACTAAAAAAAAAAATCTCAAAATTCATTGACATCTTGTTTTGATTACTTGGTTTTGTATTTCTGGGACCAAAAATTTTTTAAATACTGATTTTTTTTGTAATATAGAAGTTTGGAGCTGGAAAGGTAGTATTTATGGAAGATTTGTGTGCTTTGTATTTTATACTTTTCAGGCTGCTGATAAGGCAGTTTCTAGGGCACACTTTTTTCCTGTATATGTTTCTTGGCTAGTGTAGCATGTGGTATGTTTAAATACTTGATACTCTGCTTCATAATTCTAATATGAACACTATACAATAGGTAGACAGGTAAGCTAAATTGTATATTTTAGTTACTTGGCCTAATCAAGCATAACTAAAGGGATTTTTTTTTTTTTGTATTTTGCTCAAGTTAAGCTTAAAAGGCTTGTTGGCCACATTCCATGTCTTTTGAAAGTATACAGAATTGTGAAGCAAGTTCTCTGCCTACACTAGGAAAATTGGGCGTTTATCGGTTGCTGTTTAACTGTAGAATGTTTGAGAAACAGTTCAGTCTTCCCTTTTTTAACTGTCATTTTGACACAGTTCATCACTCCAGTTGCTACTTTCTTGAGAATAGTGTATTTTTGTTTTTGTTTTTGTTAAAATTATAACAGTTCTGGTCATTGAAAACAAAACAGCTCATAGATGAGTGATGTAATACAACAACAATAACAGAATATAGTGGTCATTTTGCTTCAAGGAATTTAATTAGAGAGCCAATAACTGCTCTTTGTTGATTACCTTTGTGGGCTTTTGTCTTACTCTATATGATCAATACTCCCAATGTCTGACATTGAAGCACATACAATAGAGCACTTGTTAACTTACTCCTCCTGCATTAATGCACTTGTGAAACTAGTGCTTGCTAGTGTTTAAAGGTTATGATCCTTGTGCTAGGGCCACTTATTTATAAAATGAAGAGTTCAAGTTGATACTCAGTGAGTTTTTTGGGGGCTATCAGTATCCAAGCCCCTATTCTACTGAAAATATATCCTTGGCTATCTCCCTATAAGTCAGGAGATGTAGAATTTAGGACACTTTGAGACATTACATTGTAAAATAGCTTGCTTTATGTTCATAAGCTGTCTTGGTCTGTGTTAAAGCTCCTAATTGTCTCAATGTGAGTTTTAAATAAATGTATTTCTTTAGAGCTGGTTTGCCCTGTGTAATTTTTCCTTTTTAATTATGCACTGTTGAATGTAATTGCTTTCTTCCTTCCCTTTTACTCTTATCACTCATCCAACCCTTGGCTCCTTTAAGTTGAACATTTTCCAGTACTCTTACAAGTTTAAACACTGGATTTATTTTAAAAAAAATAATTCTTATTGCTTAGACTTTTTATTAGCTAAATTAAGAGGTTCACACAGGTAGGGTACTTGTGGAAGCAGAGTACTTTACTTCATCTCGCAGCGCTAATCCTGTGAAGTCGCGTCTAGCTGCGTATTCCCCAACGTTGGCCAGCCCTGGTACCACACAGCAGCTCAGAGCACTGCGGTATATGCTCATGTCATGGGCATCATACCACTCGTCGGCCTTTTCATCATAGCACTCAACATTAAAGGTGGTGGTAAACCCATTAAAGCCACCCACCACAAACAAGAGGTCGTCTACCACCTCAATGCCAAAATTGCTACGAGGATTGAACATAGTGGGGATTGTGCGCCAAGTATTAGTGACTGGACTGTAGGCTTCTGCGCTCCTAAGTCTATTAGCTCCATCAAAGCCGCCTACCTGTGGACAGCAAGGGAACAGATGACTGGTTACCATTGCTTCTGTTCACTGAGGAGGCCTTCTTTGGCGGCGGGGTGGGGAGAGAGGGATGAGGGTGTGGGAGGGATTTGATCTCATACCTCTCTCTCCCACTATTTTCCATGGAAAAAAAGGGTTTTCAAATGCTTACCAAAGGTGTGTAAAGCTATTTGCTAATAGAAAATCTAGGGATATCATTTTTTTTGTGGCACAAGGTAAACTCACTGCATATACGTGTTCTCCATAAGCAATTACGCCTATTCCACTCCTCCTGCTTCTCATGGGTGCTATGACTGTCCACTGGTTAGTCTCAGTGTTGTACGCTTCTGCTGTAAACAGGCATTCATTTCCGTTAAACCCACCGCATATGTAGACCTGTGTGAAGAGTCCCAAGATTACTAAAATTGTTACCTCTGGGGAGTAGAAAGAAAGGGGTGTATGTGGTGGCAGAGGGAGAACACCTCTGATGCCGGTGTACACAGTCTGAGTCTAGTCCAGATGTGCATGCATGGCTTACTAATAAGTAAAATAAGGGAAGATAATTACAAAGGGCCACTTAGTCATCTGAGGAAAGAGTTAGTACAGCAAAGTGAGTGCCACTTCTGTTTTCCATCCACCCAAGCAATGAAGAGAAGCATTTCTGGGCTTGTTTGCCTCCACACACACATACTGACTCTCATGTTCTCACCTTTCCATAGAGTGTCGTGGCACTCGCATCACTCCTCTGTTCGTGCATGGGGGCAATGAGAGTCCATTGATTGGTCTCTGGCTCATAACGTTCAGCAGTGTTGAGACGTATGTAGCCATCAAATCCTCCCATGGCATAAATAAAATTGTTGAGGACTGTCACGCTGACATAGCAACGTCTGGAGTGCATTGGGGCCACCTGAAGCCAAGTTTTCTTGACTGGGTCAAAACGCTTAACGCTGTTGAAATAGTCCACGCTATCAAACCCCCCGATGATGTAAACATAGCCTTTCAAGTAGGCTGCTCCATGGTAAGCACGGGGACTCTCTTCCTCAAAAGTGACATTCACCCATCTGTCTGCCCGAGCATCGTAGGCCTCAATGGCATTGGTGGGGCTCCCACCACTCCAGCCACCAATTGCAAATAGGATGGCATAGGGCAGGCGGGGCGTGGTGAGTGGGTTGGTGAAGTCAGAGGGTCCATTCATGTTTAGGTCATACATGGCCTTTAGGGCATTAATGATGACTGGCTTACATTCCTCACTGTCTCTGACATAGTCATTCAGCTTAACATTGTTCATAAAGTACTCAGCATGCATTAGGGCCAGGCGAACCTAAGGAGAAAATACAGGCAGTGATTCAGATGAGGTGAGGGTGCCTGGGAAACCCATATCCTCAACACCCTATTGAAGAGTCTGCCTTGAATTGTGTCAGGGTCATGTGTTTTCAAAATTTACAACTCACAGTTAAAATACTTGTTTTTCAAAGGTGGCATATGTTTGGATGCTGAGAATGAGCTAAATAGAAGGCACCTCAAATGGTCACAGAGCTAGCCTGTGTCCCTGGCCACCGGACACAGGTATTATTAGACCAGACCAAAGTCTAGACCACAGTACTATCAGACCAGAAAAAGCTGTGGTGATTGTTCAGTAGCTGAATATCTATGTCTATAAAACAATATGAATTAGCACCAACTGGCTACAATTATGTGCAATACTCATGATTTGGTTTCTTGCCCAATTTCTGTTAGTGGTCTGGGGTAATACAGAGTGGAAAAGGGTGAAAGGAAGACCCTTTAGAATTCTCTTGAAGGCCTTGCCTTCTTCCCCCGACTACCAGGGAGAATTTGGACCAAAGAATATAACAGGGGCAGAAGGAGCTAACAATGCCAAGGGGAAAGTTGCAAAATTCCAGAGAATAGTGGGAGATGCCTTCTACATAAGTTTATGTAAATACAGCCCTAGGATTGGTCAAACATCTGAGAATGGCTCCTCTGGGATAAAGGAATCAAAAGTGAACAATTAAGCATCCCACAAAAAATAAACTCGACCTTGGGAAGCAAAACTGATATATGCTGCTTCCTATTTTGAGGGTCATGAGAAATCCATTTTAAAATGGCCTCAAATACAGCATCTTCTTGTTTAACATTAAGCTCGTCTTTCTCAATGATGTCCTTAAGTTCAGTCACAGAGAGCTCTAAAAACTCTGCTGAGACTTTCACCATTTCCTCGAAGTTGTGCAGTATGAACATGTAGGCCTTCTGCCTCAGCTCAGGGCAGTAGTAGTAGTCCGTGAACTTGCAAATGCCGATACAATTATCCAAACACAGCTCCGACTTGAGGAACTCGCAGCAACCCCTGACAATACCCATGATGTTAAACTGGTCCGCGGCAGCCAGCAGCTTCTCCACATTGTCCCTTGTGATGGGGACGGTCCGGGTGTATGCATATTCAATAATTAGCTTCATCATGTCAGGAGAAATGCCAGGAATGTTGTATACCTTCTTCTCAGTGTTATTCCAGCCACTTGTAAACAAAGCTCTGGAAAAAAAGAAATAAACCGGCAGCCTCTGAAAAGTCCTCTCCAGTTTGCCAGGCTCTACCCCCACCCCTTTTTGTGTTGAGCAGTGTGTGGACATTTTCCAAATAGTGTACCTCCTAACTGATCTTGCTTTTGCCCTTGATACCTCTGGAGTTTATAGTCTTATCCCAGCCACCAGAATGACACTTATGAGCTCATGTTCCTTTTCCACTACAAACCTTCCAGTAACTTCCCTTCTATAGTACTCATGCATCAGGAATCTGCAAACCTACAGTCTCTGGGCCAAATTCAGCCCACCTCTTGTTTTTGTACTGCCCCCCAGCTAAGGATGTTTTTACATTTTCAAGTGGGGGAAAAACAAAAGACTTTGTGACACCTGGAAATGATGATAAATTCAAATTTCAGAGTCCATAAATCATTTTGTTGGAACACAGCCATACCTTTCATTTAGTATCGTCTATGGCTGTTTTTCCACTATAAAAATAGAGTGGAGGATAGTGACAGAGACTGTGGCCTACAAAGCTTAAAATATTCACTGTCTGGTCTTTTTGTAGACCCTGATGTGGATCTATAAAAATGAGAACTTTTAGCAATAGATGAGATGCATTTATCACATCTTCATTGGAATTGATTGTTCAAACATTTTCAGCTCCTGAACAAAATAGCTCTTCCACTTCCCGGGTAACAATGGTTTTGGCCCCAAATCCCTTTCTCTTCTGATTCTTCCTGGTTCTTCCCCCTCTTCCTCCTTTTCATCTCCTGAATCCTTGTTATTTTACCAATCTGTTTCTGAGATGGTCTACTGAGATAAGGGTAAAGGGTGGCTGAAACGGCATTGTCATTTAGGTTTAAATAGGATATCAGGTGTAGGTGTCCAACCTTCCCAAAGGTTAGTTTGGGTGGGAATCAAAGAAGAAAAAGCACCTGGCCCACCAATAGCTGGTTGAAAGCCAGAGAGGAGGCTCCGGCCCTCGTTGTGCCTCTTCAGAAGACAAATGAGCCAGGCTGCAACAGCCGGGAGCTTTGACAGTGTCCCTAAACATGATGGGGTGGGAAACATGAACCAAAATGTCTCAGAAAGAGCCCAATTCCCCTTATGGGCTTAGTTTGGCCACCCTGTCATACCTAAAGTAGGAACTGCAGCTACAGAGGATGTTCTTGTGGGCGTTGAACTCAAAGCCATTGACCTTGATGACCACGTCACAGAGCTTGCCCTCCAGCCTGAGCTCGTTGAAGATCTCACAGGTCATCGCACTCATTTTCCTCTCCATGTGAGGCTGGTGGGAACGCGCGGAGGCCGCCGCACCGTCCGTCTCCATGGCACCCTGGGACCGGCAGAGAGGCTGCTCTCTTAGGGTGCTGGGAGGGTTGTGGGGGGCCCTTTCAGCCCGCTGTCGCCCCTTTTCCCTGCCACGTCTTTCACGTAGGGCCCAGCAGGGAGCCCAGGTCCCAGAATCCTGGGCCCGCAGTGAGGTCACTCGCAGGATTGTGCTCTCATGTTCTGGAACTCTCTCCCATCCCGGCCCTCCTCCCTTCTCCCCTCCCCCACCACCCCTTCCCTGTCCTTGACCCTGGAGCAGAACTGTGACCACCAACACCACAGGAGAGGTTTTATTAATTCCAGTTCCCGTTGTTCCCTTCCGTCCGCCTTCCCCTGCCCTGCACCTGGCTCCCCAGACACTGAGTTCAAGGAAACCAAGTCAGAGGAGGCAGAAGGGAGGAGTCAGGCTGAGTAGATTTCATTCTGGCCCAGCTGTCCCGGGCGGTCCTGCCTTGTGGATGTGGCTCAGTCACTCATTTTCTTCTGTGATGTGGAGAGGGCCCAGTTAAGGAAGCGCCTTCTGGATGTTTAACGGAAATCACTAGGGCTCCTTCAGATCCCCTCCCATCCTGAGGCTTTTTTGTCATACAAACTTCACGTCTGGAAATGACCGCTCTTGCCAGGGTTTTAGCTATAGGAGGGGGGCACCTAGTAACTCCAACTCCTTGGGACCCTTACCCTCCTCGGCATAGAGCCCTCGACTCCGGTCACCACCGGTGGGCGCCTAGGAGGCCGCCGGCGGCTCCCGCCCCGCCCGGGAGGCGACGCCTGCGCAGTGCGCCGCGGGGCGGTCGTCCCGGCGCCGCCGACCAGGCCACCGACGCCATGGCGGAGGAGGTGAGGCGGGAGGAAGCGTCTGGCGATAGTCGCCCCGGGCCCGTCCGGAGCCCCCGCGCCGCCCCCTGCGCCCCGGCCTAGCCTGTGAGCCCCGGGCTCCCCGTGGGTCCAGGGCGGTTCCGGGATCAGCGGTTCTCTCGGTCTCGAGACAGGTGCGCACCCTGCTGAAGGCCACGGTCCTGATGCGGCAGCCGGGGCGGGTGCTGGAGATCGTGGGCGCCCTCCGCCGAGGCGGGGCAGACCGCTTGCAGGTACCGGGGGGCGAGGGAGGGCGGGCCGGGCCGGGGTGGGGGGCGGCTGGGGTGCAAAGCTGTCCAGGTGGCCTTACCGCGTTGCCGCGGAAACCTGCCAGCCCTCTGCCCCTGACGCCTGGAAACGGCTAGCGGCCTGAGGGCAGGCAGGTCGGTAAGCCCGTTTTACCTTGGGAAGAGCCCATCTGTCTGAAAACCTGGCTTTCACATTTCTCAGCGATGTCCTGCTGCTTCCTCTAATTAGGCCGAAAGCACCCCCACCAGTTCCCAGGGCCTCACTGTCCACACTAGGCCAGGTCAGTGGGCTCCCCAAGAAGTTTCAGATGTAGAGATGGGTCATAAAGGTGGAGGCACCTTAGGAAGGCCCCCCCGCCCTCTCTGGGCATTGAGATGGGTGCAATGGCAAGAGTCAAAGCGGCCCGGACTCCTCAGTCCCCACTGCAAGAAGCTGGGCCTCTCCTTAGGGTTAGCACAGTGTACTAACTAGCCCTTCCTAACTCCCCCAAGGGCTTTCCCACAGGCTGGGCACTGAGCTGTAATGACTTCCACATTATCCCCCCAGGCTACAGGCTGCACACCAGAAGGGGCCTGTCTAGGCATAATCTCTTTTGCATTTTAGGTCATTTCTGATTTTGACATGACCTTGAGCAGGTTTGCATATAACGGAAAGCGGTGTCCTTCTTCTTACAGTAAGTTACATATGAGCTTGCTTTGTTGGGCTTGACAAGGTGATGGCTTATAAGGGGCAAGTAAAAGGAATTTTGTGTTTTTGCAGATATTCTGGATAACAGCAGGATCATCAGTGAGGAGTGCCAGAAGGAGGTAGGTCACACCCTTTCTTTGCTCAGAAATGGCTGTCATATACTACTTCAAATGGTTCTTGGTTAGGACTAAATATTGCAGGATAGAGACCTAAGAAAATAAATTTTGTAAAGGTTGTTGCTATGCTCAGGTGGACCTAGTCTTAATACACAGGGACAACTTTTCCTTATTGGCCAAGATGTACAATGACTGATAGTTGAAATATTGATGTAATGCTTATGTTAGCTACAGTATTTACAAGAGACTTCAGCATTTGCGATTTAACCCTCCTGCAACTCCCAGAGGTGGACAGGACCCTTATGGTCTCCATTTACCTAAGAAAACAGGCTTGGAGAGGTTGAGCAGCTTACCCAGAAAGATGCAGAGCTTTGTTTTCTGGTAGATCTGATTCTGTCCTGAATTCTTTCTACTACATTATGCTCTTTCCTTGATAGTATAATTTTCTTGGTAAGGCAACAGGTATCAAGAAAGACTTCTGAATTAATATCATTATGTGGTTAACTCCCATTTCCGTATGATGCCTGCAAATATATAAAGTGATTCTGTAACCTTGGAGTTCATTTTACTGCATGCCACCTTCTTTCCATTGGTGTATTTTTTGGCAGAGCAGAACCATACAAGCTGCATTTCTCTGCATGTTGCTGAGCTCTTTCTGCTGATTAACTATATTTAGTTCAACTTCATTAAGAAATTTACTGAATTGCATACTAAGTTATCTGTTGGTCCATCATATTGGTCAGCTTTTCTATACTCTCATGATTACTTGTTAGCAAGATGGGCGGTGAATTATAGATAGCTCTTAAATTTCTAAAGCCTGTCTCTCTGGAGATGCCACTTCTGTTTATTAATTTTCCTTTCTTTCTTTTTTTAAATTGAAGTATAGCTGGTATGGACACGCCACTTTTAGCTTAAAGTAGCTTTTGGCTCCACCACTGATTGCCTTTGGCATCACTGTTTTTGTTTTCTCACATCCTTGATCTTACCAACTTCTAGAAAGCTGCATCCACAAATAAGACAGTAGGTTTGGATGCCCTCTCTAGGATAAAGAAGGGAGGAGAAAAACAAGATTCTTGGAGTTGATGGGCTCCTGAAAAAATGAAGAAAGCAAAGTTTATGTATGAAAATTTTTTCTTTTTAAAAAAATTATATTCTTCTGTTTAGTTCTCCTATACTTTTAGAAAAATGTCCTCACACCCAAAAAAACACTCAAGTGGAGAAACTTAATTTATTTCAAGAGCTTTCTGCTTCTATCTCAGTGTGTGATTTTGGAGTTGAACCCTCTTTGGGACTGATGGTCGTGGACTCCATCTGTCTTAAAATATTTTGAGGCCATGCATATACTAGAACTAAAATTCTTTACCTGGTCAGTTCCCATCTTTATTGGACGCTGTTACTGACTCACCCTGTGTTGCACATGGTCCTGGAAGTGGGCTCTCTAGAGGGTCAAAGGTCCTGGCATATGAAAGGAATATAGCCAAGGAGGCACATGCAGATGCTTGGCAGGTGGGTCTCCTGATGTTGACAGTGTGATAGAGCATCCACTGACATGCTGCGTCCCAAACTCCAGCGTTCTAGTTCCACTTTCATGATTTTAGCCTCATCTGTGCATGGCTTTCACCAAGTATTTTTCTTTAAGTTGTCCTGCTATGAAAAATCTGAAGGTAATTAACTGACAAAAGAAAGAAACCATCTTTATGAAAGCATGAGTTTGATGTGCTAGGTTTTTTTTCTCTAATAGACATTAAAGTGAATCCAAAAGCACTAAAATGATAAATGTATATCTATGTACTCCTGAAAGTAATCTTGCCTACCACCTGAGAAAATGTGCCACATTTGGGGAACCACAGCATTAAATCACTTCTATCTGGTTAAGCCCTGAGGACTGAGCTAACGAGTAGCAACAAAATCGAAGTGGCCCTCTCATCTGATGGCCAGAGTGCTTGATGCAGTTGGTTCCAAGACCACACTGTCTCAGGCTGGGTGCAGAGGGCTGACTGGCTCTGCAGGTCCCATCACTCCTGGACACCAAGTTGTGGCTTCTAGGTGCTTTTTTTTCTCATGTGAAACTTCACTGGGGAAACCTGATGTGAACTAATGGCTTTTTTCTTCATTTGGTTATACCAGCTCAAAGCCCTCCTTCATCACTATTACCCGATTGAGATTGACCCACAACGGACCATCCAAGAGAAGTTGCCTCATATGGTAGAATGGTATGTGACAGTGATGGTGGCCCTCGCGACAGACTGGTCCATGAGGGGGCATATTTCTCCTGAGCTTTGACGAGACGACAAGGCTCCCTTACCATACTGAGTGCTTCACTGAACACCACTAGCCCATCTATTAGAACAAACTGTCCAGACCCACCTGAGGCTGCTTATGGCTGCTGTCAGAGTCGGGGCCCATGGAGAATCTTTGGAATGACTTAGAAGCCCCTTGGTTTGGGGGAATAAGTACTTTGGGAAGATAACCGTCTTACAGAAACCAGTATCACTGAACAGAGCCCCAGTTCTCCAGGGTGGGGTCCTGGAGGAAGGGATTCAGAGCTCTTTGTCAGCAGTTAACCCCCTCCCCTGACCCCAACTTTTGTTTTTGGGTTGCTTTCTCACCCTCTTCCTTTTAAGGGCAGCCAGAGTCCTTAGGAAATGGTCCTGAGAAAAAGGATGAGACTTCTATTAGTACTTCCAGGGGGCACTTGGCCCTGAAAAGGGAAAGGACACTACTTAGTGACTGAACTTGGGGTTTTGTGGGGTGTTGTTTCCAGGTGGACCAAAGCACATGATCTCCTGTGTCAGCAGAAGATTCAGAAATTTCAGATAGCCCAGGTGGTTAGAGAGTCCAATGCAATGCTTAGGTAAGGTTCTGGCTCTGGAAAACACTTGAAACTGACATATTCACCCAGAACGGGTAGGGAAGGAGCAGAGGGGAGTTTGCTGCTGGGAGAGGCAGAAGAGACATGGCATAAGTAAGCTGACATGAAGAAGGTCTTGCTTTTCCTCTCTCGATACAGCTAAAGAATTTTCTACCTTTGGGTACTTCCTAGGGAGCAGCCTGCTGGTAGTGGATGGAGTGTGAATATGACCAGGGCTTCACCTCCTAGAACAAACAGCATATAGTTCACTTTTCCCAATGGTAAAAATAACTGGGGATCACCATGGTGACTGGGTGTTCACCGTGGGAGTTGGTTGGCCTGGGACTTTGACCACTGGCAGCCTTCACAGTGCAGCTCTCTCTGCTGGGGTGTTCTTTACTGGAGAAGGGCTGGGGATGCATAGGGAAAGGAAGAAGGCAACATGGGCGTCTGCCCTCAAGGGTTGCGTGTCCAAACCAGAGACAGAGCTAGCCTCACAAAAACCGAGGAGTGGAGACGTGCAGATCCACGTATGGGCTGGGTGGGTTTGGGGAGTTTCCCCAGTGAAGCTGCCCCAGGATAGTTGTCTGGTTGTATTTTGCTCAAACAAAACATGCCAGGAACAAAAAAACATGGGCCCATTTATGTGAAGTTCAAAGACAGGCAAAGCTAATCAGTAGTGATAGGAAGTCAAAATAGGGAGAGATGGCTTTGACTGGGAAGGGACAAGAGGGAACCTTGATCTCGTTAGTAATTACATGGGTGTCTACATATGCAGATATTAATAGAGATGAACACTTGAGACTAGTGCACTTGAACTATGTGCTATATTATTTTATACCACAACTTTAAATGTTTAAAACTAAGAAAAAATTTAAAATACATAACCCAAATAGACAGTAACAGTCGTAGAGGCAGGGCCATTTCAGAATCCATTCATCTCTTTTCAGAGAGGGATACAAGACGTTCTTCAGCGTGCTGTACCAGAACAGCATTCCCCTTTTCATCTTCTCTGCGGGCATTGGTGACATCCTGGAAGAAATCATCCGACAGATGACAGTGTTCCACCCCAATATCCACATTGTGTCTAACTACATGGATTTTGATGAAGATGTGAGCCAAATCTCATTTGGGCTGGGAATGGGAGAGGGGTGGGAGCCACCCACCTGGACCCATCACCCTAACCATTCACCTAACCTGGGGAGGGAAGGAAAGGGAAGGCATCCTGGCTTCTGTGCCCTTAGGCAGTTAGTTGTATCTTTTGCCCACTAAAGATAGTTACTTTTGAAGGATCTACTCTTTGGTGTTTGGCTGACAGTCATCTCTCTGCCCTAGAGACTAATGTAGGGGTCAGCCAGGCCCTGTGTCACTGTCATGGTCATGTATCATCCTTGGTACTTAAGGGCTTGGATGTAGATTTACTTGTCTAGAGCCAGAGGTGGGCTACTCTGACTCACCCATGTTCTGACTTCTTCATCTTAAAACCAGCAGCTGGAATTTTCATCCTTGTGACCTGTGGTTAGGACATGGCCCATGGCTAAGAGTTATCACACATGTAGCCTGGACAGGGCTTGTATCACTGGCTTCATTCTTCCACCCATATTGGTGATCAACAATATCTGATGGCTCCTGGTAGTTTAAAATAGGGGTTATAATCTTTTTCTAGTAAATATTTTAGGCTTTGTGGGCTATAAGATCTTTGTCACAACTACCCTGTTGCATATAAAAGCAGCCATAGACAAAATGTAAACAAATGGGCCTGGCTGAGTTCCAGTAAACTTAATTTACAAAAATAGACCAAATCTGGCCCACAGGTCCTAGTTTGCTGACCCCCAGTTTAAGACTACAGTGAGATTTTGGCATTAACTCTGGTTTCAGAGTTCTTGTTCCTCTGTGACAGAGACAGTAGAAAATTAGTCCTAAATGGATCCCTGCAGCTCTTCTGTCTGTCTCTTATCTTGATTACTTAGGGTTTCCTACAGGGATTCAAGGGACAGCTCATACACACATACAACAAGAACAGCTCCGTTTGTGAGAACTCTGAATATTTCCAGCAGCTTCAGGGCAAAACCAACATCCTCCTGCTGGGAGACTCCATGGGGGACCTCACTATGGCTGATGGGGTTCCTGGTGTGGAGAATATTCTCAAGATTGGCTTCCTAAATGACAAGGTAGGTGGGGGATCAGTGCTTCCTCCCTTCATGGCTTACTACTGTAGTCGCTGTTAACAAATGTTTAATGAGCACCTTCTGTGTGCTAGGTACTGTATTAAATATTAGAGGTACAGAGGTAAGACACAAGCCATATTCTCCAGGAGAGTATGCCACCTTCCCATAGGAAAATAAGAGATACCCTGGGGTTCCGGCTACGTGCTCACCACATGGCCTGACATAGGAGCTCAGAGATCAGGCTATTGGAGCATACACTTACTTAGCGCTCACCCTGTGCCAGGCATATCAACCCGCCTAATCCTTAAAACAACTTTCTGAAGTAGTGACTATTACACCATTTGCAGATGAGGAAACTGAGGCAAAGAGGTTAAGTGACTTGCTCAAAGTGACATAGGGTTTAGCAAGTGGTGGGGCTCATTACCAGTCCTCCTAAGTCATACCTATAAGGCATGATTGAGATGGGAGATGTCAGTATTCAGGATGTGGGTTTATAATTTAGAGACAAAAAATACAAGAATAGACCAAAGGCTGACGGGTGAAAACAGTATGGTCATAAAAGAGCACCTTATAGTATCAAGCTAAAAGGCCACCAATCCTCACCCTCAGCCAACAGGTGCTGAAACTTTGTGAAAATTCAGTCCAGATTAGAGGTAACATCTTGTTTTCAGACTTTAATTCTGTTACTGTCCTTCTGACATTGACCCAAGGGTTAATTGTGGCAGCCGGTGCCCATTGCCATCCAGGACTCCCAAGAGGAGGTCCCTGTAACCTTGAACTACTCTCCGGGAGTTGCAGCTTGAATGCCCTCCTCACCCAGCCCTAGGTGCTTAAGAGTTAGAGGCAGTGGGGGAGGCAGAAGGCAGGGCATTTTGGAGAATGTTGGTCTCCCCTCCTCCTGGGCAGGTGGAGGAGCGGCGAGAGCGCTACCTGGACTCCTTCGACATTGTGCTGGAGAAGGACGAGACGCTGGATGTGGTCAATGGGCTGCTGCAGCACATCCTGGAACAGGGGGACTGGATGGAGATGCAGGGCTCCTGAGTGTGCAGGCACGGAGCCAGGTCCTGCAGGCTGTGATGAGAAGGGGAGCCTCAATGGGAGGTCACCCAGCTGTCAACACTGCACATCCCTGTGTGTGCAGAGAAAAGTCCAGGGCAGCCACAAGCTCCTGGGCCCCTGTCCCTCCCTCCTTTCCCAGCTTCTTCTGTTAAGTCCAGAGGCATGAGGGAGACCCTGCAGGTGGGAGGGGCTTCCAAATGAACAAAGGGTGTTAACACGAGGAATCACCTAGTCCAGGGATTCTTTTTTTTTTTCCAAAAATTTTGAACATGGGGAGCTGTTCTTCCAACAAATCAGATGTGTGAAATAGATTAAAATAATTTTAAAAAAGAAAAAATAGGGCTGTTCTGATTTCGGGGGTATAGGGCAGAGCCTGTATCCTTTGGCCCTGGAGGCACAGGAACCTCCAAGAAGCCACTAGGGCTCCATGAAACATGGTTTGAAGACCACCAAATTTGCCCAGGAGACCCTCTGAGCACAGCCTAAATGTGTGTGGGGATCAGGCTGGGTAGACAGAGACGGAAGGGTGTGTTTCTTACCTTGACTGGTTTGGCCTCATTCTGATGCAGCCATTAAACTTGAAATTCAGTGGGTATCGATTGGCTCTGGCCCACCCTGTCTGCAGAACCCCCTCTTTATGGATCCCCAAAGGGATCCTTTTGGTATAGATTTTCCCTGGAGCCCTTGGCTCCTGTCCTTCCTTTCTCCTCCTCGTCTGGTAGATCCAGGGCCACTAAAACAGACGGCTTGCTGAGGGTTGAGACCAGGGCCCTGAAGGGAGAAGGTGCTCTGGCAAGTGAAAGAGGAGTGATTCACGTCTTGCATTATGGGGCTTTCTTCATTTTCTTTCCCTTCTTCCCTCCCTGTTGGCTTGGATGGTCAAGAACTGGCTGAATTCTCTCTAGGGAACCTTTTGAAGAAAACTATAGACCAACCAGTTCCCCTGACATTTTCCTAGCCTGTCTTTTCTCAGAATTCATTCCCTCACCCTCCTGCCGAGGATGCCCCAAAGCTTTGTTTATCCACAGATCTAAAGGGGAGAGTTGATTGAATGCCTGTTGTGCACATGGATACTTGCATTTAATCGATCCTCCCAGTAACCCTGAATCGATCCTCCCAGTAACCCTGGAAGTAGTTCCCATTTACAGATGGCTCAGTACCTTGCCCAAACTCCAGAACTAGGAGTTAGAGCCAGGATTTGAGTGTTAATGACCAGAGCTGGCCGTTTTCTTCTGCATTGTGCTACCTCCACATGGGCTTCAGTTCAGGGCTGTCCTGTTAGGTTTTGGTGACTGTCTAGGCTGGATGTGTAGCCAGTGTAAGACCCTAATGTGCCTTCTGGAGGCTTTGGATCCAGGGAATATGTGACTGGCCTTGGGGAGAGTTCATGTCTCTCAGGGGATCCTGGGCAAGGAAACTGTTCATGGGGGCTGTTCAGTAGGTGAGTCCAGTCCCATCATTTTCTCCCAAACGCCCCTCCCTCATCACCATCTGATGGCTTGGGTCATCTGCGTTGCACTGGCCAGAGTCCAGCTGGGCAGGTAAAAGCAGATAGCCTGACTGGTGGCTGAACCAACTCCTACCTAAGCCACTGGGGATCTGAACTCGTTACCTTTCTCTCTGACAAGAGGGAGAAGCAGCAGGCAGGTAGTAATGGCCAGAAGCCAGGAACAGGTAAAGATGGGAATACCACAGAATTGGAAATAACTGTATGAATAAAGGAGCGGAATCTGACCTGTGCAGTTTAACCCCTCAGCTTTGTATATTGCATTTGAGGTCAGGGACCTTGTCTTCCTTTCAACTGGGACAATTAGGAGACAGGATCATCTCCCCATGCCTCCCCTGCAGGCCCTCTCCTCTGGACACCCACTCCCCACCCTCCCTCCAGCAGACCAGGGTCCCTTTCCATGGTGAGGACCCTGGTTTAGGCCTCAGGGAGGCAGGAGGCCAAGAACTAGGGACATGGAGGCAGCCTGCATTGTTCCCCCTGCTCCCCCATCTTTGGGGCTAAGGGTCTCCCCCCACCAAAAGACTGCACTCCGAGGCTTCTAGTTTAGGCTTTTATTTGGCACAAAGGAGAAAGGGATCTGACACCAGTCTAGCCTTTAGGGTGTGCAGAGCTCTGCCCACCCCTCTCACCGCAGAGACCCTCTTCCAAATCTATCTCAGCTCTGAATCAAGAATTTTGTAGCCCTAAGACACATCTAAGTAGGTTTTCTCACTGCACCTCCCTTCATATTCTTCCTTTTTCTCAGTCCCTTAGAGAAAGCAGCCTTTTGAGGAGAAAGGTGACACAGAACCCAGCCCTGACCTGCAGCACCCCGGGGTTACCTCAGCTGCCACTGGATTTAGTGAGGGGGGGACAGGTAGCCACACTGGAGCTGCCCCCTTTCCCTAGGAGCCAGCCAGAGCTGAGGGAAGGCAGCTGTGGGGGTCCAACCAGCCCTGGCTCATGTTCCTGGGGAACTGCCACAACAGAGGAATGGGGGCTGGAGGTGGAGTGGTGGGGAGGTTGGGGACTGTGAGAAGTACAGATAAAGGGGTGTTTGGGGAAATAAAAGCACTCAGCCTCACTTGGTGTCTGGTGACATGGAGGAGGAAGTGTGGGTGAGGGGCTAGCAATGGCCCCATCCAACCCCAGACTCCCCCAGTCCCCAGACTGGCTTTGTAACTCCTAAACCTTAAAGAAGGGATTTGAGGTTGGAAGAGAAAAACCAAATAGAGGTCCATGCTGGGGATTTTACTCAGGCTAGTGGGAAGACTGGTGTCTCCTCACCACTTCTTAGATGCTCCCAGACATCATCCCAGCAAAGGGGCAGTGGGTGCCTGTTGGAAGGTCAGCCCCACTGCCCACTGTGCCCCCAGTAGTGGGCCTTCGCATTTGGGTCCAGGCCCAGGCCCCTGCCCGTCAGAGCTCCTCATGGACCCGCTCCTGGTCTTCATCTGACTTCAGCTTGAGCTCCTCAACAGTGATCTTGCCATCCTGGTTGCGGTCCTGGTTCTGGAACATGTCTGCTATGGTTTTCTCCGGGTCCTGCCCAGGCATGAGGCGTCCTTTGCCCTCACCGACTTGAGCCTTGATGAAGGCAGAGAACTGGGGGAAAGGAGAGCCAAGGGCAGGGTGGAGGGAGTGAGGGTCTCGCCTGAGCCACTGTGGAGGCCAGCCAGCGAGGACAGGAGAGCAGAGCTGGTGCTGGAGTCCCGAGTGGGCTGGGGCAGGGGGCGTAGGCAGCAGCAGAGGGAACGGGCTGCACGTGTGCCAGGAGAGAAGGCAGGGACAAGGGAGCTTAGCACTGTGACTGGCAGAGGGGCAGGAACATGGCACAGAGAGGATAGTGTGTGTGTACTGCCCCCACCTCCTCTGCAGGGACCTCGCCATCCTTGTTGAGGTCCAGGTCCTCAAACAGGTTGGCAGGAGGGTCCTCGTGCCACACAAACAGGTAGCCTGTGGGCAACCCCTCCTCCCGGGACATCAGCTCCACCTCAAACAGCAGCACAGCACTGCCAGGGACGCCCCGGGCTGGAGGGAAGGAGAGAAGGAAAGCATTCTTGTCAGTCCAGGGATTGGCCCTGCTTCAAAGCCTGCCCAGTGTGCCCTCAGCTCACAAGCCTGTGTCCCCTGCTGGGGCATGGGATGTTTATAGAACCATCTAGAAGCTTTCCTTACTCTTCCCATCAGCCATCAAGGCCCAAGGTGGGCAGAGGCAGAGAGGACACAACACAGATCAGACCAGTCTCTGCCCCTCACCTCCGCTCTCTCCGTGTGCCAGGTGCGGAGGGACCACGAGCTGCCGCCTTTCTCCCACACACATGCCCTGTAGGCCTGTGTCCAGGCCTTCGATCACCTTGTTGGCACCCAGTGTCACCTCCTGGGGAGCCCCATAATCATGGCTGTGGGGAGAGCAGATTGCCAGGTCAGCATCCATGCTTTCCCACCAGGCCCATTACCAAGTCACTCTTCCTGGTGCCCTAGCAGAGTGCAGGGCCTGACATTTCATGAAATACCTTTCTCATCATGCCACTGCTAAAGCGTGGCCTTGAGGGCTCATCTCTCCCTGCTTCAGTTTCCCCTCCATAAAATGGTAATAGCTATTCCCCTTAGTACTAACTTCACCCTCCCTTCACTTGCGGAGTAAAGAATTTCAGCTCCTTAAGCTCTCCACATCTGTGCATGCTTAGATGGGAACTTACAGAGGGAGCAAGAGTTGGCGTGCTATTAAGAGGAGCCCCCCAGGCCTGAGCCCACCCACCTGCCCAGACCTGGCCCTGCCCCAGACCCACGAGGAGAAGAGCTTGGTGCCATCCAGTAGAGAGCAGTTGTAATGGTAGCGAACAAAGTCCCCAAGCTTGGAAGTCTCGTTGCAGGTCTCAAGGGGCCGGGACAGTGTCTTGATTTCCACTGGGTCCGCAGGGTTGTGGAAATCGATGACATAGACGTCAAAGATCAGCACAGCAGAGCCAGGGATCTTGTCTCCTGGAGCCAGATGGGGGAGTGGGTCAGCCCAGAGTCTAAAAAAGGCTGCTTGAGGTCTCCACAGAGGCCCTTAGACCTCCCCCACCCGGAATTCCAGATGAGGATGGGATGGGATGGAATGGGATGTTTGTGCACACAGTCAACCTAATATACTCTTGCTGGGGTGAGGGTGCAGGGGAGGGGAGGGGCATGCCAGTTAGAAAGCCCTTTACACACATCATCCTGCAACCTCCCAGGCACTCACCCTGCTGGTCGATGTGATTAGTCCCATTTTATAGGTGAGGACATAGGCTTCCAGCAAAGCTGGGTCTCAAAGCCAGGTAGGTCTCTGCTTCCTAGGGCTATGCTGTTCCCTCTATAACCACCCTGCCTTCCCAAACTCAGGAGCTGGCTGCCCTTCTCCAGTATGGATGGAAGAGGGAAAGTGGCACACTGCCCCTGGAGAAAAGGATGGAGTCCGTGTGGCAGGAATTGGGGGGGGAATGGTGTTTGTGATGAGATGTGCAGAACAGTAGCTGGAATCGCCCCATGGTGGGGAGGTCAGGAAGCAGGTCAGGAGAACTAGGTGGTGTTTGTGGGAGCAGAGAACCAGCCTACCAGTCCCATTCTCCCCGTAGGCGAGGTGGGGGGGGATGGTGATCCTCCGGTGCTCCCCCATGCATGCGCCCTGTAGTCCCTGGTCCATCCCGGGGATGATGTAACCCTGCCCCACATAGGTATTGTAGGTGTGGTTGCGGAAGTAACTGCAATACAAGGTGGGGAGGGCCCCCAAAGGAGTTAAAGGGGCCCTGCCCTTCCAGGAAGCTCAGAGCAAACCCCCCACCCACCCTGCTGCCTGGGGTGGCCTCAGAACCTGGTACTTT